CATTATTAATTTATGACTATGAGTTAAAAGAGTTACGTGCTCTGTTACAGCTGCCGTGTACAATCGCAACTGTTGTGTTTTTAATTACTGCTACCCACCGTTCTGTGCATTGTTTTTCTTCAATAACCGAACATCTAATCATATATTCCTAGCATTATTTTAAAGAATAACATTCGAAGAACTTCCAAAAAATCTTATTCGGAATTAATTTGATGTTTATGTTATATATTTTCTTTTGGAAGTATAAACGATCAAACGTATAATTCTTAAGTGCCTTCTATGTAATCCCGGTGTAATCTACTGTATATTTGTAATTCAAGTACATATACGTACCTGAATATTATGGTTGAGAACGATTCCGTGTTACAGATGAATAAGGTGCAGTAATACAGGGTGTCTGCCTTTTGAGTTTCTCCTAATTGTCACTGATAGGATTTGACAGACATAATTTTATATAGCGATTTGTGTCACAGACTGTACATAAGATAAATATGTGGACAACAAACTTATCTGTTGTTTAGTTTGTAAATGCTCATTGGTTGATCCAAAAACCAGAGGCGGGGGGGGGGGGGGAGCACGTACCCCGTAAAACCCGTTTTAAATCTCTTTTAAAGGCAGCTAGAGGTGAATTTTGTACTCCAAATTGTCTCTCAAGCAAACGTTTTGCAAAACGTGACGACCTTTTTTCTCACTTACTAATTATAAAGATATATTTTGACTTATGCCCCCCCCCCCCCGAAAGAGAATCCTGGATCCGCCAATGATATTGTATCAATATTCGAAGCCTTCTACTGATAAGTGTCCTTCAAGAAATCCAGAGTTCAACTTCGTATCAGTTTCGTCCTTGAGTGGCTGATTGCCAAGTTGATCTTTGAACTACTGTGAGATTTCTTAACTTTCAAACAATCTGAACCTCGGGGCAGTCACAAACACTATTGTCAGTCGTTGTGCGCATGTCTGCACTATGACACTATGGTGACGGTATACTGCATTATGCTCTGTATACTGTAATTAGGACATCTATAGCCTATAGGCTGGTAGAGCTAGGCTCTGCTCTATGAATTCTGGTAATGTAAAAGTGTCAAATTAGAGTCTCTGCCTGCAGACTAACCTGAATCAGCCCTTGTAATTAAAAAGGTGTTGATCAAAGTGACATAGCCATCAGGGACATGGGGGGGGGGGGGGGGGGGGCTTTCACCTAATAAAAAGGTAGAGAGTGAAGAAAGAGGAGTGTGGAAGTGAGAGAGAGAGAGAGAGAGAGAGAGAGAAAGGAAGAAGGGCAAGGGAAATATGAAAAGAAGATGCTACAGCCCTTACCACAATCATTCGCCCTATAGCACCTCGGAAGTGTTGGGAGCCCCAAATTAGCCAAAAAAAATTGATGACAAAATTCACTTTAAAGGGATCGTTTAACAATGTTAAATCTGAGATGAATGGCCCTATGTGTTATCAGTGTCTGTGATATGGTGTTATATTGAAGCCCTAAACAAATTGCTAGTTCGTTGATGTATTTTAACATATTAATGTTCAGACATTTCAAAAGGTGATGTGCAGGGCTATTGTTGAGATTTTGGAAGTCTTTGCGACCATGTCATTTAGAATTTATTTCAGTACAAACAATCTCTTTCTCTCTCTCTCTCTCTCTTCCTTTCTTATCTCTTCCTTTCTTTATCTCTTCTCTGATTCCTTCTCATCCTTTCTCTCGCATTGCTTCTTGCTTTATATTTTCCTTTTATCTTTCCATTTTATTTCCAAACTTCTATCTCTCTCTCTCTCTCTCTCTCTCTCTCTCTCTCTTTCTCCTCCTCCTCCTATCATCCAAGTTGAATGTACATACACAGGTATAAAATTATGAACTTTTATTTACGTTCTTTTTATAGCTAGTTTAAACAAGTAAATATCTACAACTTTTCATCTACCTTCACAAATATATGTTTCTACACACACATCTCTAGCACACCATCTGACTTCACAATACACCATTCGTCAAAAAAAGTAAAGCCAAAGATACATATAAATTGTGCAGATTTTATAATTTCATGTATTTCCATAAAAATCATGTATGAATCCAAGAACAAATTTATATCAAAATTATTTACATCGATATATTTTCAAAGATAGTACTAGATATGAAATATAAAATATATAGCAAGATGATAAAATAATGTAATGTGATCATTCGATGGAAGTAAATGTATGTATATATATATATATATATATATATATATATATATATATATATATATATAATTATACATACATATACATATATATATTCATATATAATTATATTGACTGGGCTTGAGGGGTACATCAGACATATTGACCAAGCATAAACAATACAGCGCGTATGCACTTTAATAAATGCGCACTGACAAGAAAGAGTCGAATATGGCAGAATGTTGCCCTCTAATTTAGTACTGTGGTCTACGGGGAAAACCCAGAAGGGGGCAATATGGCAAATATTGCCCGCTCTGGTTTCGTATTCGGAGCAGCGTGCAAAATACGACTTTTTATTATACAGCTAAAATGCCTTGTATGGGTAACAATATAATATATTCTTCAGGCGACACATGATAAAGTGCACTAGCTAAACTCTGATCGTTCGGTCAGGCAAGGACTGTAATAATCATGTAGTGTTCATTTTTTACATTATTTTTTTCTCCATGCCGTGACTTGCAGAAACTTGTTGGAGAGATTCTAAGATTACTTGCATGCACTTAATTTACTTCACTCATTGAAACAGGTAAATTGATTCTAAATGATTTCAGGGTAGTTCTAATTCAAAGTAGCCAGATGTCGAGGAAAAAAAAAATTCTGGCGGATAAGGGCGACTTTCATCATTATTATTGTTATTTCATTTGGCAAATTAAGTCACATAAATACAACAATAATATTGAGACAAAATCAATAGAAAACATATGCACCTGCAATAGCAGGTGCATCCGGTCAAGCTGCATTGTTCAAATCTGATTTTAACATCAAATCACAATAAATTGATTTTAATTCAACTAAAGAGGAAGACATTATTTTTTTGCTTCTGACAATATTCAATGATATTCATTTAAAGTTGTCTGTCCAGTAGAACGGCTCAAATGGATGAAAGGATAACGGATGTACATTTAGAAATACATTCAAATTTTCAACATTTCAGTCCGTTCATCATTGCCTAAAACTGAAGTTTGTCAAATAAACCACAGTACATGAAAACCATGTAACTGAAAAGGCAGTTCAAATTACATACGATCTTAAAAACTTACTTTAAAAGAAAATAATTTGAAGGGGTTAAATGTTGCTGCATAGCTTTGCTTCATGAACAACATGAACAACAATAATAATTAACTAGATGGAATTCGACTGCACGCAGTCGAAAATGATGCCTCCGTTATAGAGCAATTTTACAAACCAAAACAGAAAAAAAAAATTGAATTCACGTTCAATGGTAATCCATTGACAGGTTCTCAGAATATTGTGATTACAAGCAATTTCTCATATACATATATGACCCTTTGATCTTTGACCTCATGACCATAAAATTTACTCAGTTCATTGGCTCTGCAAGATGTTCTGAGTTAAATAGTAATCCATCTGTCAGTTCTAATGAGAATGCGTTCACAAGCTATTTTTGCATACATAATGGGCCCATGACCTTTGACCTTTGACCTTATGAACCAAGAATCTACTCAGTTCATTGGCTCTGCAAGTAACAAACATGACCTAATTTTGGCATGAATCCATCAATCGGTTCTTGAGATAACGCGATCACAAGCTGTTTTTGCATTCATAATGAGCCCTGTGGCCTTTGACCTTGGACCTACGTGCTCCAAAATCTAATCAGATTGTCTTCCTATAGTGATACACGCTATCATTAAGTTTGAAGTTTTTACATCTCCAGTGGTTCTTGAGATATCATGATAACAATCTCAATGTATGGAATTTCATAAGTTGACCTCTGTGACCCTTGACCTTTGACCTACGTGCTCCAAAATCTAATCAGATTGTTTTCCTATAGTGATACACACTATCACTAAGTTTGAAGTTTAAATCTCCAGTGGTTCTTGAGATATCATGATAACAATCTCAATGTATGGAATTTCATAAGTTGACCTCTGTGACCCTTGACCTTTGACATACGTGCTCCAAAATCTAATCAGATTGTTTTCCTATAGTGATACACACTATCACTAAGTTTGAAGTTTAAATCTCCAGTGGTTCTTGAGATATCATGATAACAATCTCAATGTATGGAATTTCATAAGTTGACCTCTGTGACCCTTGACCTTTGACATACGTGCTCCAAAATCTAATCAGATCGTCTTCCTATGGTGATACATACTATCCTTAAGTTTGAAGTTTAAATCTCAAATGGTTCTTGAGATATCGCACTAACAAACTCAATACAAGGAATTTCATAAGTTGACCTCTGTGACCTGTGACCTTTGACCTACGTACTCCAAAATCTAATCAAATCGTCTTCCTATGGTGATAAATACTATTCCCGAGTCTTAAGTTTAAATCTTAAATGGTTCTTGAGATATTGTGATAACGGTCAAACGGGACGTACGGACGTACGGACGGACAACCCGAAAACATGATGCCTCCGGCACCACCTTCGGTGGCGGAGGCATAAAAATATGTTAATTTGTTCATTATTACAAAGTATATATACAATGGTAAAATACCTGAGATCAGAGGGTTGTTAGTACACAAACTCTGTATGAACACTTCCTTGAGCACAAACAAAAAAACAAAACCCTTTTAGTTGTTTTTTGCCAGGGGGGGGGGGCATTTTCATTTTTGTTTAAAAAAGGTAAAATTTATCATTTTTTAAAATCTCTTTTTTTGGCAGAGGGGGGGGGGGGGGGGGTCTTTTGTGCTTTAGTAAAATACATAGATAATGTGATCAATGAATACGTAATAAACCAGCAGTCCTAGTGCGGATGATATTAGGGTTTGGCAGAAAGGAGCGGGTTTCAGATCTTGTTGAGAGGTAAGGTGATTTCATGGAACAGCTGGTGGGCGTCGGTCTCCGAACAGTTCTTGATTAAAAAAAGGTAAAAATTAAAATTTACCACCTGTTTTCCCCTCCCCCTGGTTGGCAGAGAGTCTTTTGTGCTTTAGTCAAATACATGGATAATGTGATGAGTAAATACCTAACCAGCAGTCCTAATGCAGATGATCTTAGAGTTTGGCAGAAAGGAGTAGGTTTCCAATCTTGTTGAGAGCTAAGGTGATCTCGTGAAACAGCTGGTAGGCGTCGGTCTCCGCACAGTTCTTGAAGGCACTCACAGTGAACTGAAGCCTGATAATATTTAAAAGATATAAAAGAAGGAAGAAGAAAAAAAGGAAACTTGAAATTTTCACCCCAAAATATAGTATACATGTACCTAGCCTGCTCAAAGCATGCATTCATCACACTCTTTTCTTATTCAACGTACAGCTGTATTGGTCTGTTCTGACTAGGAGACATAAACTACGGAAACAGGTTCTTCATCAAAGCTGCACCCGTTTGTGGTTGTGATGGAATTATACTAACAAACCATTGTAATTCAATCCAAATAATTCAAATTGATCAAATTATCAACTGATCAAAAAGGGAGACTCTTCAACTTTCTTTTTATCTCCCCTGTTTTATTTTACCAGTCCGTTGATTTTGTAATTACATTATAATCGAACTCTATATGCAATGCTGTTAAAATGATATAAAGTAATAAAGTGCCTCGTATGAGGAAAAGAGAAGGAAAAAAAAAATGATCAAAAAGGGAGATTCTTGGCAAAGTTCAGGAGCTTGGATGAGAACTTTGATATCACTTACTCCTCCTTGCCGATCCTGTAGCAGCACATGTATCCATCGTTCCTCATGGGTGCTATAGACCCTAGGATGGGGGTGTAACCGAGTGTACTGGTAGACAATGGAAAGTTACCTCCTCCTCCGCTGTTAAGAAATAAATGGTTGAAACAAGGTGAAGTAAATGCAATAAAAATCTATACTTTTGCCCATAAGGCGTCTAAAAAAAGATGTTGTATTGCGACCGACCCAAAAATCTTGAATTCTACGGTCAGCTTTAAAAATAAGTTATTTTGTTGTCCCCGTTTTTTTAGGAAAAAAAATGTATTAAAGCATTCAAACCTGAGAAATATCAACCCAAAGAGGGAGGGGAAAAAAAGAAGATTTCTGACTGATTGACCGATGTTTTGGCACCTAAAGGGCAATGCATCATTTTTTTCTTACATCTTTTTATTCTTGACATACAAAGTTTACATCTTTATAGATCAATTTAGAAAAGTCATAAAGATTGATCAATAAAGTTCTGAGAAGGCATAAACTTTATGAATCAAGAATAAATCCTTTTGTCACAAGCATCTCATGAAACTATAGCTAAGAAAACTTATTTCAAGTTTAAAAGTAACAGTGCAAATGTATCTTTGAGGAGGCGTGATAGCTCAGTTGGTAGAGCAGTGGTCTCGTAATCCAGCAACCCGGGCTCGACACCGAGGCGATGCACCAGTGCCCTTTGGTAAGGCATTAATCCTTATTACCAGGTCTCTCAGAGAGGCCTAAAGCCGTCGGCCATCTGGTATCTTACTAACAAGCACTTATGCTTTCTTAGCAGTCAGGTAAAATAACCACCACTACAATATCAACCCTAACCAAAACAGAATTCAGATATAAAGCACACAGCTTATAATTCCTCACCTGAGGGTATAAGCCTTGTCTGTGAACAGGTCTGGTACCGGCAACCCCATTTCTTGAGACAGGATGTAGAGTCCAAGAAGATGGCGGTCAATGCCTTGACCGCTGGCTGCTTCGGCCATCAGTGTGTTATGCTTATCGTGGGCTCTCCTCAGAAGAGATAGCTGGTGTGTGGGCTGAACAGAGGAAAGCAGAACAAAAGTTGGATTGAATATGAATATTAGATTCACTGATTCAGTCTGTGTTTTATTGCTCCAAATGTGTAATACAAATAAAAAGATACAATTGAATAACATGAATAAACGTTTTCAATATTTATATTAATTGCTTATACATAAACATACAATTGAATTAAATGAATAAACGTTTTCAATATTTATATTAATTGCTTATACATAAACATACAATTGAATTAAATGAATAAACGTTTTCAATATTTATATTAATTGCTTATACATAAACATAATTAAACAAAAACTCATTTGCAGCATATATAACTTGGCAACAGATACAGATACATGCATCTGTCTATCTTTCCCTCTATCCATCAATTGATATATCTGCCCATTTTTCATCAATATATCTATCTATCTATATATGTGTTATTCCAGTTATCAATCCATTATTTCATATGCGTGACTATACAGCAATCAATGCCTTCCACAGTGCAAAATCTCATTGTCTCTGCTCATCTATCCATCTTTTTATCTTTCTATCTATCTTTCTATCTTTCTACCTTTCTAAACTATCTATCTTTCTATCTATCTATCTATCTATGTATCTATGTATCTATCTATCAATCTATTTATCTATCTTTCTATCGTATATCTCTCTTTCTATCTATCTATCAATCTATCTCTCTTTCAATCCATCTATCTATCTTTCTATCTATCTTACTATCTATCCACCAAGCAATCAATCCATCCTTACATCTGCCCGACTATCCAGCATAGCTTTGCACCAATCAATAGCTTCCATGGAACAAGATCTCATTGTGTCTGTTCGTCCATGGTAGAATTGACGAGTTGTTGCCGTTTCATATGCTGCACCAGGTCTGGAAAACATAGAAGAAATACTTTGTACCTTAAAAGGTATAGACCAGTTTTGGAAACACCCCCTTCTCAAAAAATGAAATGGAAGCTCTTATTACCAATCATGTGAAAGAATATGTTTTGACTAATACGTGATGATACAAATTTTGCTGGGAAACCGTCTACTAATTGATATATTTGGTAAATTATCATATCGATCTGGCCTGGATAGATATCGTGTGGTCCCATATACATATTTCTGTGTTCAGTGCTTGTAACTTTAACAAGACTGGGCCAAATTTCTTATCATTTTGATGATTCCAGAACATTGCAGCACACACCAATACTTATATGCTAGATGATCAACCCTTCTGATCGATTCCACAGTGTTTCTTTTACAATGTAATCGCATGACCAGAACTGGTCTATACCTTTAAAAGTTGATGGTTCTATAGAAATGTTCAAATATAATGAAGTAAACCACGACAGGTAATTAATTATAAGTTTAGTAACGGTAAGGAGGTGCACACAATGTCTACAGATGCTCGAAATCTTGTTACCAAAGTAATAACTACATGTATATAAAGTTTGTTCAAATATCATCCTGTATGAAGCATGAATACTTCCATTACCGTCCATGGACTATCCTCCTCTTCATAGACTATTGCCTGGAAAACTATCCCCTAAAAAAATTACCCTAGTTACCCATAGACAACTAGTCAAAGTAGTACTCAATGTCCGGTAGGGTATTTGTCTGGAGGTAGCTGTCTAGGGGTAGCCGTTCTTGGGTGTAGCTGTCCTGGGGAGTGTTTCACAAAGCCTAAGATCGAATTTAAGTTGGACTTATCTATAGCAGGCTGTTCATGCCACTGGTTGTCACAGTTGGTCTATCAATGATGATGTTTTTTCCTTCAATAATTATGTCCCTTGAGAAACCAATGCCAGTAAATGGTGAGAGAAAACAGTGGCATGAAAGGCCTGCCATAGTTAAGTCCAACTTAATTCGATCTTTGTCTTTTTTTAATCACTCCCCTGCGGTACTATAGTCAAGGGGGTCGTTGTTTTTTTAATTATAGTAGCTAAAATTAATAGTAGCTAAATTAATTAATTAATTTTAATCTATAGTAGCTAAAATTAGCTACTATAATTCATTGTAAAAACTTACTTCCCAGTTGCTGTATAATAGGCCAGTTGGAGAGCGAGCTGTATGGTTGCATCTGGATGCATCTTGTGTTTCTTCATGAAGTCTTTGCCATACTGGTAGTACGAACTACATACTATATCAAAAGTAGAAGCCTGTATTGGAAACAAACAGAGTTTATAAATGTTTGGAACGTAAACAAGCAAACTTGGAATAGTTAGCCTGCCAAGATATGTGAGACAACTGAGAGTAGACAAGGAAAGAACTTGAAACAAGTCAAAACATGAAAAGCAGTTTGCTGTTGTAGTCTGTCAGGCCTCGTTGAATTCCTATCCCGGTGTTCTTCAGTGCCCGTCTCTTCGCGATCAGCATCAGCCGATATCTGTAGCTAGTTAGCTTGACTATTAATAATTATTTCCATTTGTATTACCGGCCATGAACGATGTCCCTGTCATGTTTTGTCATGTACATGTATGTTTCTTTTTTTTAGTTTTGTTTGTATATGTAAATCTCTTAACTATTGTTCAGTGAACTATGCCTCCATAAGGCCATTTGGTCTTGTTTTTCAGTTCCCTATTTTCATTTTCTTATATATTGAAAATGCTTATCATTGCATATATCTTTGTATTGTTTTTATCGAAAATGGAAATGAATAAAACAAATTGAATTGAAGTCTTGCAAACAAAGGCATTGCTAGCAAGACCAAGGTGAGAGATGAAGCCATATACACACATACCATCTGTACTGCACTGAATTGTTTACAATACTGCATGCACAAGCATGGAGCTGAAACACATATCAGATAATGAGTTTGCGATTCTACTTTAAATTATAAATATCTAGATATCTAAAGGAGTGACTGGCCTAAACATATACATGTGAATATCAAAAAATTCAATACAAGAACAAAGTTTGCAATTAAGAAAACAATGGTCCTGAATTCAATGACTATCATTTTAGATAAAAAGTGAAGTTACCTACTGCCTTTAACAGTACCAGTCTCTAAATTAACACGGACTAAAAACTTCTGCTCTGACATGTGCTCCTGCAACAATGGCTCCAGGATTTTTAGGGTTAGGGTAAGTGATGGGTCTAGCGTTGAAGTTAGGAATTTGGTTCATATAGGAAATTACTGTGGAGCATTTGTTGCAGGAGCATGTGTGTTACAACCTGGGGGGTGTTTCACAAAGATCCTAAGTTGAACTTATCTCTAAGTTGGACTTAACAATTATGGAAAGCCATTGGCATCCTTGAAAATGTTTTATAAAAGTTATTTTAAAAGGCATAAAATGTTGTTTCAAATCATTCATATTTTTTATTATCATAGGAGATTTCATGGTCTTGATCTGAAATTCATAAAAAGTCTAAAATACTTGAATTTTTCCTTTTGAATATATTTCAAAATGAGGCTACAAATGGCTCTCCATAACATTTAAGTCCAACTTAGAGTTAAGTTCGACTTCAAATCTTTGTGAAACACCCCCCTGCATACCAAACACCCTTACCAGTTTGTGATAAGTCTCTGTAGCATGCTGAATGTCATCCCGAACCCTCTGGTCAACCGTGAAGATCATTTCTATCGGCATGGGAATGTCAGGTCGGACTGTAGGCTTACCCTGAGGTGAAGAGACAGAGACAGACAGAGATTATTAAGAGAGACAGAATGAAAGAAGACGAAGAGAGAGAGAGTGAAATTTCAACTGAAAAAATATAAATATATTAAAAGAGAGACATACATATACACAAAGAAACAAGAAAAATTGAGAGAGGTAGAGAAAGAAAGAGAAAGAGAGAGGGGCAAAGACAGAGAGGGAGGGAGAAGAGAGAGAGAGAGAGAGAGAGAGAGAGAGAGAAGTGAGATGTAAATAAAGAGAGATATGGCGAAAAGCAGATCATAACCCATTAGAGAGCTAAAGAGATAAAAAATAGATGCAACTAACCCCTACAATGGTTTTTGTGGTACTGTGTTATTGAATAAAACAAACGTACATGTATGTACGAGAGTCTACATACGAATTGCGTGGGACTAAGTAGAAAAATTATTTAAGCCCCTCCGCACTAGTTTGGCATGGCGGGATTAGACCTCTCTGCAAGGTCACTGGCAGGTGGTTATCTCATCAAAATAGCTCTCAATTAACATAAGAAAAAGGGCATCATGGGGGGACAACAGGTACCGCTAAGGCGTTGTTGGCTGTATAGAGGGTGCAAGTAGCTACAGTATAAGTAGTGCAGTGGGGCTTTAATTGTGATCAAGGAGAGAGCTTTAAAAAATAATATCATTATTACTCACAGGCATGTCCCCTCCATCCTTCAGCATTCGATGATGAATGTACATTGACAAAGCTACAACCACCATGCCATCGAACGGAGCATGCTGCAGAGAGAGAGAGAGAAAGAGAGAAAATAAAAGGGAATAATTTTTAGGCTCCAGCACATTCAAGAGCATTGAAAACACTACAGGTTTGTTCACATACTGCCAACCGATGCAATTCTCATTAATGTCTTTTACAATTTTTAAAGACACATGCTCCTGCAAAAATTGCTCCACAGTTACTTTCCTAACATAACCAAATTCTTAACTTTAAACTCTGACTCAACTATACTCAAACCTAACTATAACCCTAAACCTAACCCCAAACCCAATAAGCAACCCTAAACCTAACCCTAAGCTCATGACGAAATGAAGAAAAGGGGAGTTGTTACCGTAGAAATTGAGCAAATGTCTGAACACCTGAGCAATTGTCTGATCATCGCTAGCTCACCTAATGGCTACTTTAATACATCTGAGCAAGCACATCCATTGGCAGCGACGAAACTCAACTGCAACCATAACTCAACACTATATCTTTTGAAAAATAAAGCCTAGAGCAATTGTCCCTTGAGAAATTGTCAACGAAGCATCAAATGATTACTTACGGTACATCTAAATTTGAGCAGGCATTCGCAGTGATGAAACTCAACTGCAACCATAACTCAACACTATATCTTTTGAAAAAAATACAGCCTGGAGCAATTGTCGTTAGAGAAATTGTCGCCAAAGCATCGATTGGTTACTTACATCTAAATTTGAGCAGCACATCCATTTGCAGTGATGAAACTGGACTGCAACCATAACTCAACACTATATCTTTTGAAAAATAATGCACAGAGCAATTGTCGTCTGAGAAATTGTCAGCCAGGGGAAAATCGGATCACAGCTAGGTCACCTAATGACTACTTAAACATCTAAATTAGAGCAGGCACATCCATTGGCAGTGATGAAACTCAACTGCAACCATAACTCAAAACTATATCTTTTGAAAAAATAAAGCCTTGAGCAATCGTCCCTTGAGAAATTGTCAACGAAGCATCGATTGGTTACTTACATCTAAATTTGAGCAGGCACATCCATTGGAGGTGATGATGGTGGAGTAGCCTTTGTCAAACCATCGATTATGGGGTGATGGTCCTGCTATACCATGCGCACAGGTCTATATGAGGAGGGTGAAGTATAGAACATGATGTTCAAGATGTAATCATCATTTCTAGTTAAACTGTTTTTTTTTCTTCAATTCTTAGAGAATCCAACACAATCATCATCAAATATCTACATTTATGTATAAATATAAATAAATACATAGTGACATTTTCTAATTAATTCTGGAAGAATGATTATTACCTCATAATGATTCTTACTAATATTTTCTGGAAATGAAGCTTCACAACAAGTGCTCAAAGTTGGCTTTAACCCAACTAAATACTAGATTGTCCTGGATAATACTGGTTTGTACTGGATTATACTGGTTTGTACTGGATTGTACTGGATTATACTGGTTTGTACTGGATTGTACTGAATTATATTGTATCGTGTTGAACAACATTACCCCATGCAGCCATTGTCGTTGGGTGGCCATTAAATACTAGATTGTCCTGGATTGTACTGGTAGTACTGGATTGTACTTGTTTGTACTGGATTATACTGGTTTGTACTGGATTGTACTGGATTATATTGTATCGTGTTGAACAACATTACCCCATGCAGCCATTGTCATTGGGTGGCCATTAAATACTAGATTGTCCTGGATTGTACTGGTAGTACTGGATTGTACTGGATTGTACTTGATTGTACTGGATGGTACTGGTTTGTACTGGATTGTGCTGGATTGTACTGGATTGTACTGGTTTGTACTGGATTGTACTGGATTACAACATTACCCCAGCCATTGTTGTTGGATGGCCATCGTCCATGATACAGCCTACGATGCTGCTTTTGATGGTCTCAATGTGGGCTCTGTTTGCGGGGTCTAGTGATACCAGATGCTCAAAGGCCTGAGGAAGAAGTAATCAAATAGGGTTCTGTTATTAAAAGCCCCTCTGCACTAGTTTGGCATGGATGGATTAGACCGCCCTGCAAGGTCATCAAATCAGCTCTCAATTAACCTAAGAAAAAGGGCATCATGGGGGATCGCTTAGGCATTGTTGGCTGTATAGAGGGCGCTAATAGCCAGTAGTACAGTGGGGCTTTAAGGTTTGTACTAAGAAATCTGTCACCAAGCAGTCCTAAAGTTGTTGGGGGAGGCTCACTTAGCATATATCACTTTCCACATAAAAGTATGTGGAGCAGTATGGAAAAGATGTTGTTGTACACAGTTGTTATCCCTATATTTATTTGTATGACCCTGGTTTTACACTAGAGTCCAAACCGAAGGAGAGTGAAGTTTAAAGCTTAATCCTTCAAACATGACATGGTAAAATCTGACAGGGAAAAAAAAAGTTTAAAACAATTAAAAGAATTAATGTGCAAATAAACGGCGAGTGCCAGGGAGTTGAGAAAAATGTAGCTCTGTCCAACAAAGGTTCACATTTATAACTTAATAAACATCATTCTATACACACACAGAGTCAGACTAACATAAAAAGAGAGCAATGAGACTAACATACTTTTGCATACGTGGGCCTGTCGTCACCAGTGAGTGCACCAACACACTGTCCTCTTTCCCTGCTCATATCCTTGATGTATGACATTTGCCTGTAAGAAAATAAAGACAGCTGGTACTATATGATGACATGTGACTTAATTGCTAACAAGTAAAGATTTGGTAGGGATGATAGAATTATCCTGTTACATGTATACATCATTTGATTTTGGGGTAACATGTATCTGCCAATTACCATAGACCCAAGGCTTAGCATCAGCTCAATAATCATAATAATATAACATAACTATATAGCATACATCAGCGTAAATATCAGCAGGTATTACTGAAACATATGACGCAAATGTACATTGTTAGAAACTGTTTGACATGAAGTGCAACGCAACCCTAGAGAGAAAAAAATTCATTTGCCATACCACATCTTCCAAAGGCTCCCGTTTGAATTGCACTGTACATGTATGTCCAGATAATTGATTTAATATGTTGTGCAAAGTAGGAAAACAAAAACAGAGTGATGTATTTACTGCCTGTACATGTATCTTTAACTAACATGATTGCAAGGTCTCAAAAAAATTAATTATAGACACTTTCAACAGTAAATTACTCACCAATTGACATGTTTGGACAATTCAATGACTATTGCTCTAGACAATACAATAACCTAGTGAACTTTACCTCTGGTTGATTTCTTTAAAGTATTTGCAATCTTTTGATAATTATATCACTGTTAGTTTGTTTGCTTGCCTGCCATAGCGCTTGAGATCGACTTGTATTTACCTGTAAATCTCTGCAGCAGTCAGTAGCTGACCGTTCCGATCAAAGACTGTCATCTTGAAGATATGACCGTTACACATCACATGGACATGCGTTGGACACGGACCCTCCCGTTCTGTGCAAATGAGAGAATCAACCCTCTTTAAAGGCATCGTTTAACAATGTTAAATCTGAGATGCATGGCCCTACGTGTTATCAGTGTCTGTGATATATTGCAATATTGAAGCCTTTAAAAAATTGCGCTTAAAAATGATCAAGAAGTACCTCAAAAAAGTAAAAATCGTTGAGTGACCGGTTTTACCATAATCGTTTTGCCTAATAGACTGTAGTGTTATGAAAATCGTTATTAAAACGAAAAATTTGATTTCGATTTTCCGATCATAAATATAAGTCATGGGGTTCCTGACTGACCTAAAGGTTTATAATTATCATTGCAGCATGAGCTAAATCCAGGATTTTGTTTCAGAATCTGAGACAAAGTTACCGGATCCCTTTAATAGAGTTAAATAAAACAATGAAGGGAAAGGTTTATCGAGGCGGAAGATCACTTGATTTTTCATGGACCACCAGCGCAAATTCCTGAGATCGCTCGTTTGCCACGCATGCAATTAGTACAAAACTATATGCACCAATTAATTGAACATTTGCTTCATACAAAAACAAAAGCTCTTCTAAATTATCTATTTCGGGTATAAGAATTCCCTGAATTCTGTGAGTAGCACAGTACCAAAACGCCTAGCTAGAGCCGGAGTAATACTATAGTCGAGCACCTTGCCAAGTAGAAGTGAGTACTATTGAAATATCCAATATTAACATCATAATACGTGTACAGGGTATTATTCCCTTTAAATCCCTCTGCACTAGTTTGGCATGGAGGGATTAGACCTCCCTGCAAGGTCACTGGCAGGTGGTTATCTCATCAAAACAGCTCTCAATTAACATAAGAAAAAGGGCATCGTGGGGGATCAACGGGTACCGCTTAGGCATTATTAGCTGTATAGAGAGCTACAGTAGCTACAAGGAGTGCAGTGGGGCTTTAAATACATACCTGTCTTGAAGTACCTGTAGAGGGTGTCCTTCTCTAGTCCTGGTTCCCTGCAGCTGTGGAACATGCCTCTGAACTGATTCATGGAGAATATCTGGGTCCCAGCACGGTTCTTATCCACAGGTAACATTTCTCTGCAGTAAACAAACAAAAGATTGCACGACTGTATATCACGAGTAGGCCCGGACAAAATGTTTGATTCCTTAAAAACCAAAAGTTTTCGTTTCCACAAGACTTTTATAAATTTCTAGAGTGAAAGTTAAATGCCGGGAAAATTAGAGGTTACACAATGCATAGCATGCTAGTATATTACCCTACGATGCACACTATACAAGTAAATCGACTCGTATTGATGAATGTTCTTGTATCTACAGTGAACAACTAAATCAATCATACCCTTACCTAGTTTGTAATTTTTAAAGTAAATTAAAAAATGATTTGTTGCCGGTAATATTTTACTGTTGACTGAAAACAAGTTTTATCAATCATTCAAACATTTACCCAATAACGAAAAGTGAATGGCTTGCTATCAAATGCAAGGGGCATGGTTATCATTATGATTTATTTTCGAACTATTCAAAATATGGGTCTCTTGTATGAATATGCTGCCAGACTTCAAAAATCAAATCTGACTTTAAGATCTAAATGATGATTGTTCTTGAACCTTAACAGGGCGACAAAAAAATGAACCCTTCTTTCTTACTTTCTGACAAGTTGGTAGAAGCTGAGTAGATGCCAGAGGCAGATAGCGCCCCTCTCTAGCTGGGTCCCCTCCCTAGGGGGCCACATGGACTCCTGGGCCGGGATGGGTCCAGAGGGGTTCTGTAGCACCCCTAGAGGTAGACGTGTCTCTAAGTAGGCCTTCTCCTCCCACCATTGCTCCAGCTATAGAGTAAATTAGGGGGTGTTTCACAAAACTTGTCATCAGTGACAAATGACATTTTTTGTTATAAGCTACTGAAATCCTTGCTTCTGATTGGTTATCAGCAGATTTGTCACTGATTTTTGTCATTTGTCATTGAAAGAAGGCTTTGTGAAACGGGTCCCAGGAATAAGACATCTTCCTAGACTCATTTGATTATCTCCTTTGGATGTTCGTAGGAAAGCTTGGACAACTCTCTTTTCCAATCATCGATGACTATAGTATTCATTCTTAACCAATAACAATGATGTAGAACATTGCGAAACAACAGTTCAGTTAGTGAGATAACCATTCATATATCATTATTCTTATTATTATCATTATTTATTTGGCATGCCAAAGAAACAATACAATGAAGATATGAATTGTAAACCAGTAGCAAATGATTCAGCCTTCCCTGGTGCATTTCCAAAGATGCCTGGAAGGAAAAGAGGAATGTGGAATCCTTATGACCATTGGGCCTCAATCCCTATGGAATCCTGGAAACACACCCAGGAAAGGCCACAGACATTAAAAAAGAAACAATTGAATTGTATTGTATTGTGAATGCAGCCATAATGAATCAATTATGACTTCATCACAGTGAACAAGGGGATCAAGCCAGCAGAATATGCATATATGCACAGAGTGAAATCAGAAAAATGACACATTTAAGATACATTTAGGTTATAATCATATTTAATGATAAATATGTAGTTCTACTTAAAATGTCTCACCCAATTTTTCCTCTTTTCAGACCTGTCCACAAGTTTGGCATGTAACGTCTTGCCAACACCATGAGCAAACTCTCCCACAATGCCCTCTGTTTCATGAAGTTCTTCTTCTGAAAGAAAGGGCTTAACTGTGGAAGAATAGAAATAATTGAGAAAATCACTTAATGTAAGTAATTTAAAGCCTGTCTGCACTAGTTTATCCAGGAGGGATTAAACCTCCCAGTATGATCACTGACAGGTGGTTATCTCATCAAATCAGCTCTCAATCAAAATAAGAAAAAGAGGATCATGGGGGACCAACGGGTACCTCTTAGGCATTGTTTGCTTAAAGAGGGCACAAGCATACAGCTACATTACAAATAGTACAGTCCCGCTTTATAAATGATTACTGGTAGGCAAACTTTAATGGAACTACTTTAGGGTTAAGGTTGTACTGAAAACATTATTTTCAGCAAAGGCAAATAATGCTGCAAAAAAACTTAGGGGGGGGGGGGGGTGGGGGAAATAAGGAAGGGAAAATACACAAACAAAAACAGTGTTTAATCAAAGTTTGCAAGTCCTATAAAATGACATAATTACCTGATTGTAGATATTTATGTAGTGTTTGTTGTAGTGATGGAACAGGGAGCGGAGGCAGGTCCTCATCATACTGGAATGTACGTTCTCTTCGAGTATTTGATCTTGAATCCATGACAGATGCAGTGTGTGTCAAGCCACAGTGGAACTGTTATAACATAAAAGAACATAATTCAATTCCAATTTACTGTCCGTTAAATGTTTGATATTTCAAAAGTATAAGGCATTTGAATACATGCATGCTATTTACCTTGATAGAGGTGTTCAAAACAAACTTAAAATATCAGTAATTATGTTCAAAATTGTATGCTTTTAGATCTATTACAGGTCACATTGACTGACTTTTATATCTCCGTTTTAAATTTTAGATATAAATTTGCCTATTAAAGTAGACTAGGTTATATGTAAATCAACATGAACTGATTATTAATGAACAGGAAAGTGGTTCATGCATACACTATCAAACTGCATGAAATACACAAATTGGAACATTTCAGACATGGAGATTTTTTTTATCATGTTAAGAGAATTTTACCAATCATCTCCTTGTTTTGTAAGCAAACATAGACGGGCCCTACAAATCTCTTGTTCAACAGTTCAGGTTAAACTAACCTAGCTTTGATTTGGAGAAGACTTTGTACTTGAAGCTGAAATGCATGCAGGCCTATATTTTTAACAGTAACACTAACAGTCAACTGCCAAAACAATAACTTGACCTAGATCTACACTGGCACTGCACTGAACAAATACAATCATGATCTTATGCAAGATGGGTTAGTTTGGACTTTGGTTGGCAAACAAACAAAATAAAAGATCAGGGACACACACGAAAAAAAGTTGCAGTTCTTCTAAATGTTTAAGGTCAGGTTAACTGATAAGGAATCTATGACATCAAATGTGGACCTGCGCACTTCTCATCGCCCCAGCCAAGCCGGAGTCCAACGGCCGTGCTATGCTAACCGCCCCGAAACTACGGCTGCGACGAGGTCCTACCGCTCGATGGGAGATAATCAGTCTGCTACTGCTACTGCGCCAAAGGCCAAACATAATTACACACATTCTCTTCGGTAACACATCTATATGAAAGTGAAATCATTGATGTTAAGATATAAAGGATATAATTATATCATCAAAAAATTAGTTATATACTTACACAGCCTAGATGTTTGAACAGAATATAGTGATCTCCTCATCTCATGCTCAGCATAATTAGCAGCAGTAGATCGTTATAATGTTTTTGACGCAGAGGGCCTATATAGGTACCGTACCCTGCACAGTTACCGCCCCTAGCTGTTACCAGAGCTATGTATCTGTGCCCCCTATACCCCCTCTCTTTCTCTCTGTGTTTATCTCTCTCCATAATCTCTCCGGGGCCTCGATCTCTATTTCTCTTTCCCTCTCTTTGGCCCGAATTCCCAACGGAGGTTTGTGGACAAACCTCCTTTTGTTTTGCCAAACCTCCTTTTGTTCTTTATTAAACCAGGTTTGTAAACGCGTAAAATCGCGTCATATGACGTACGAAAACCAAGGTTTGTCGACAAACCTCCTTTGTGAATTTGGGCCAATATCTTTAGACTCAAGCTCTGCATTGAGAATAACATGAAGTTGAGCTAGGGGGTGTGGGCGGAAGGGGGTGAGACAGGTTTGGGCATTTCATTATACAATACATGCTTGACATGTACTGCAGGGAGTGTTTTAGAAGGAGCCATGATCTCAATTCAGGCTGGATTTTAAGCTGTCCTGTCAGCTACGTCGACCCCGACAACGTAAAAGTGGATGTGGTACCGGATTGCATTTTTGCGTCAAAATCCTAAATATTAACTTATGCATTGGTTTGGAAAGCGGTATTATTTCAATTTCAGTTCAATTTCCCAGCATTATTTTGAAATGTCTAGCTTTAAGTTGCTTCCTCCCTTTAAATGAAACTGTACAGCCCCAGCCTATTATTTTCCTGTAAGGATGTGGTGATATACTAATTTCCAATTTCCTCGATTATTGTTATACCTTTTAGCTGGCATATAGCTATCTTTTTCTATTCCTCCCTCTCCTCTCTCTCCCCAGGCCCGTCTCGCTATTTATTCCTCTCTCTCTCTCTTTCTCTCTCTCTCCCAGGCTCCTCCCCCCTCTCTCTCTCTCTCTCTCTCCCTGATCCCCTTCTCTCCCTGTATCTTAATCCTTTCTTGGTCTATTTCATCTCTGTGGATTTCTACATTCCCACCTCCTCAACAAATTGAAAGATAATCGTCCTGAAACTGTACGCCAAGCAAAAAATGATCCAGCTAAGAATGCGTCTACATTTGTATCATCATCTGATATCATAAATATTTTAATACAAAACACATACAGAAATAATATTTACAAACCATTATGCAGGAATGTTACCACAACTTGAGATTTGTAGACTGATTTATATTCAATAACAAATATATCAACCGGTACCTGTATTCATCCTACAGTACTGTAAGCACGTACAGAGAAAGAGACACAATAAGATTTTACAAATTTAACAATTTTTACATATAAAAGCCTGCATGACTATGAGAAACACAAAATCATTCTTTGGACCATTTCTGATAGCTCAGTCATAATGATCACATTATAGTTGGTAGTAGAATCAGGCAGGTGGGTTTCTACTTTCTAGCACCCTATATCACAGAGGGTGGGCGAGGGTGTTTGGACTGGAATGGTTAGTGTATAACCCTGAAGATATCACAAGAAGAATATTCTATAACATCACTGCTCAAGGAATTGAATATTTGCTCTATATCATATTACCGGTAAGTCAAATCTCCTGACCAGATAGCACAGGGTCAGGTAGCCAAAACGATTCTTGGCATACATGCCTTGACATCACATCAGTTTGCCACAATTCCAAAAGGACATTTCTTTTCATGTATTTATCCCATAGCTCCGGATCAGGAAGCTAAATTGTTTGGTACTTTCTAATCAGGTAACCCACCCTGACCAAAAAATTATGAAAATGTTTTTCAAAATCATGAGAGTTTACAACCATCTATTGACATATTAAATATCCTTGGTGGTGCTAACAATGACAATCTCTTATTCTGGAGAAGACTCAACCTCATATTTTGTCTCAGTGCCTCGAGTGATCTGGTGGCGCTTTGGTGACATCATTCATCTTCGAAGAGACTAGCCTTCATGTCTGATCCTGGTGCCCTGAGCATTTTGGTGGTACCGAAAAGACATCGTTTGGCGGTGGTGCTCATATTACATCATTTATCCTTGAAGAGACTAGACTTCATATCTGGTCTTGGTGCCCTGAAGGGTTTGGTGGTACCAAAATGACATTATTTGGGTGTGCTGTATGACATCATTTATCCCTGAAGAAACATTACTTTATATCAGATCTCGGTTTGGTGGTGCAGGTCGTACATCCTTGAAGAGACTAGACTTCATATCAGATCTTGGTGCCCTGAGCATTTTGGTGGTACCAAAAACACATTGTTTGGTGGTGGTGGTGCTGATATTACATCATTTATCCTTGAAGAGACTAGACTTCATATCTGGTCTCGGTGCCTTTAGAGGTTTTGTGGCCCCGATCATGTGCCTTGCGTAGGGATTCTCGTGAAGACCTGCCTTCCTCAAGGCTTGTTCTAGAATCAGCCGTGGATCAGACATCACCTGTGGGTTGATTGAAATAGAGACAAGTGTTTTAATTAGCCTTATTACTCTGTTATTTCTAAAAATTAATTTTACCAGGATGAGTTAGGAGTGTACTGATAACCTTTAAAGAATGATACAGAAATTCAAGTACCGGTACTAAATGTGCCTGTAAACTTGGAGACAGATATTTCAGATTCAGCTTTGATATTAATTTTAATTTTAATTTTAACTTTGATTTTGATTTTGATTTTGATTTTGATTTGATTTTGATTTTGATCTAAATCTTGATCTTGATTTTGATTTCAATATCTACCTGGTATTTCAATATTCTATTGTCCAGAAAATCTTTCTCATTGACGTGCAATGGCATTCAAACTGTATGTTTGGTGCCCCCTCCCCCTCCCATCTCGATGGCTGCATGGAGCAACAATATGCATCTGATTAAAAACGAAAGAGGCAAGAACTTGACTTGCCTTATCTGAGCTGAAAGTCTTCATCTCAAACAAAGGTTGCTGGATGTTCACATCTTGTTCTACTCCAATCCCCAAATGAGCTTTGGAAGCCTGAGAGAAAGAGAGAGAGAACACAGATTCAATGACTTACTTTAAATTTAACCCCTTGCCTACTGGAACCGGCTGGCTCCTGTATAAAAGCCTATGGGTATGAAAGAATTCAGTAGTCAATAGGTTAAATCAAACATGATGATAATAATAATAATCTTTTAAAGTCCACTCCAAATTTTATTAAGTTAAACCGAAAATGGAAATTCTTTTTGCCCAATTGATCGTGAGCCCGGCAGCCACTGACTGAGCAGCGCCAGATCGACGTTGCTCTATCCCTGGAAGCTACATTTTACAGTCATGATGGTGATGACGACACTGATTAGCAAAGAAAAGCAAATTTGATCAAATGGCGGAAACAATGACAAAATATTTTTCAATGAAATACCTTTTAAAAAATATTAAAATTGATGAAGTTTGTCAAAATTACAATTTTCACAAACTTACCATTGTAGCTTGCATCACGCGGAATGGATCACTCTCAACATGTACTGCGACCTGGAGAAAGAAATAGATATGTAAATGCAAAGTATGGCAGCATTTGTAATGGCAAAAAGGATGGTGAAATCTCTGTCAATAAGCTGCTTTCACAGTTAAGAAAATGCACCAAAATGCAACATCATAACAGCAAAGGTGTTATGACTTGCCCAATCAGGCAAGTATATGGTCATCTGCCTGGTCATTAACTTCACTTGTCTTTTAAATAACAAAATCTCTGAGTACCATGCAACTGTATAAAAAGAAAGTTAAACTAGATGGAATTCGACTGCGCGCAGTCGAAAATACCAAAACAGAAGAAATTTTTCGAATTCAAGTTCAATCGTAATCCATTGACAGGTTCTCAGAATATCGTGATTACAAGCAATTTCTCATATACATATATGACCCTTTGATCTTTGAGCTCATGACCCTAAAATCTACTCTGCAAGATGTCCTGAGTTAAATAGTAATCCATCTGTCAGTTCTAATGAGAATGCTTTCACAAGCTATTTTTGCATACATAATGAGCCCATGATCTTTGACCTTTGACCTTATGAACCAAGAATCTACTCGGTTCATTGGCTCTGCAAGTAACATACATGACCTAATTTTGGCAGGAATCCATCAATCGGTTCTTGAGATAACGCGATCACAAGCTGTTTTTGCATACATAATGTGTGCTGTGGCCTTTGACCTTTGACCTCATGACCACTAAATCTAATCAGTTCATCGGCTCTGCAAGTAACATACATGACCTAAGTTTGGCAGCAATCCATCAATCGGTTCTTGAGATAACGCGATCACAAGCTGTTTATGCATACATAATGAGCCCTGTGACCTTTGACCTTTAACCTCATGACCCCAAAATCTAATCAGTTTATTGGCTCTGCAAGATACATACATGACCAAAGTTTGGCAGGAATCATCGATCGGTTCTTCAGATAACGCGATCACAAGAACGGGACGTACGTACGTACGGACGGACGGATGGACAACCCGAAAACATAATGCCTCCGGCAACTTCGTAACGGAGGCATAAAAAAAGAATATAAACTGTTTTTCTATGTAAAATGTGGAATAAATAAAACTTCAAACTTCAACTCTGTTGGTTGATGGTATTGTTAACTCTTTACATGCCACACAAATAATCTCTCTGTGCCGCATTGTATTTACCACGGGATAGATGGGATACCAAAGGCTTCACGATTATTTATCTCAATTATCCAGTGCAAGATTAAGACACCGGTGTTCAAAGGATTGTCATGGAGATAATCAAGACCAGAAATTGGCAACGTTGCAAAGCAATTGTGTTGTACAAAGCAATTATTCCCTCAATGGGTGCCTATTGTTTTGTCCACATTTGCATGTGTGCCATACGAGTGACTGTGTATAAGGGCAAAGAGAGCAACTGAATTATTTTGAAACAGGCGTATAGGGATTGAGTTACCCCAAGTAAGCATATACCTTATTCTTCAAATATTAATATCCATATGAAAACTTTTATATCAGGGTTGATAGTGAGCACTACAAAAAAATAGAAAAAATGGCATCTAACAAAGAAAATTGGGGATAATAGGTAAAAATAGGGAAAATAAGGGGAAAATCTGGAAAATGGGGGTAAAATCAGGAAGAAAAAAAATATCAAACTAGATGGAATTTTGACTGCGCGCAGTCAAAAATGATGCCTCCGCCATAGAGCAACTTTACAAACCAAAACGGAAGCAATTTTTAAAATTCAAGTTTGATTGTAATCCATCTGTCGGTTTTAATAATAATGCATTCACAAGCTATTTATAGTCATACATAATGAGCCCCATGACCTTTGACCTGATGACCCTAAAATCTAATCAGTTAATTGGCTCTGCAAGATACATATATACATGTCTTGAGTTTGATAGTAATCTGTCTATTGGTTCTCATTATAATGCGATCACAAGCTATTTGTGCATACATAATGAGCCCTGTGACCTTTGACCTCGTGACCCCAAAATATAATCAGTTCATTGGCTCTGTTAGATACATACATGACCCAAGTTTGGCAGGAATCCATTGACCGGTTCTTGAGATAACGCGATCACAAGCTATTTTTGTATACATAATGAGCCCTGTGACCTTTGACCTCCGACCTCGTGACCCCAAAATCTAATCAGTTCATTGGCTCTGTTAGATACATATATGACCCAAGTTTGGCAGGAATCCATTGATCGGTTCTTGAGATATTGCGATCACAAGCTATTTTTGAATACATAATGAGCCCTGTGACCTTTGACCTTCGACCTCGTGACCCCAAAATCTAATCAGTTCATTGGCTCTGCAAGATACATACATGATCTAAGTTTAGAGAGAATCCATCAATTGGTTCTTGAGATAACGCGATCACGAGAACGGGACGTACGGACGGACGGACAACCAGAAAACATAATGCCTCCGGCTACTTTGTAGCGGAGGCATAAAAATCAGGAAACCGATTTTAATCGGGTAATTATCAGGCCAGTTTTATACTGGAACGTTAGGCAACTGGGTTTGAATTTGGTACCTGTTCTCTTAAGGCTTCCAGTCTCCTTTCCCTCTCTAATTCCTCCTCTTGTAACCTCATCTGTTCTTCCCTCATCCTTTCTTCCTTTAGCTCTTGCAAGTATTGACGGTAAACCACTCTGAATGATGGAGAGATAGTAGGAGGATTGCAGAAAGTGAATATATTCATTAGACCTACCTGTACTACACTTGAAATTAACATTTTTAAAGTTCCACATGACTGCAGAAAGCTGGCAACTAAAGTAATTTAAAATTACCATTTCAATGAAGTTATTGCTTATTAAACATCTATCAGTTAATCATTTTTAAGTTGCTTTTGTCTTTAAATCACATGTATAGATGTGAAAATCAGATTATTTTTCAGACATTTTGCAACGATAGTTGAATAGGAAATGAAAGTTTGGCTTGAGAAAGTCCACAGGAGTGGATGATCGAGCTTACCTAACGTTCAGGTTGGTAGAAACCAAAACATGTTATGATCACCCCACTCAATTGAAGTTGCTTTTGTCTTTAATATTTAATCTCTCTCAATTACATGTACATTTAAAATTGACCCCTCAGAAGACAAGTTTCACTATAAATAAACTGAGCATGGCTGTTCATCTGGATATTTATATTTACCAGTGCTGAATTTTGTGTTTTAAATATATGTTACACGTTGTTATGCACAGACAACAGATTAAACTCAAATTAATGTACTCTCAAGAATAATAAACAGCAATGAACAAACATTCATTTGTAACAAAACAAAAGAGCTGATCCGGCAGATGGAAATAAACGATATACAATTCCTACTACTGAACTATGGTATTTGGCCATAGAGGGCAACACAGGCGATAGGTATATTTGGCAAATTAGGCTCTTCTAGTTCCCATACAAATACAATGGGACGGAAACAGGAAAATTTGATAGAAATTATAGTTTCGGAGCAAATAAAATATAAGCAACAGATTATGATGGTGCCTTCAAAGATCTTATGAAATCATCCGGGGAGTTTACGGGGTGTTTCACAAAGATCCTAAGTTCAACTTATCTCTAAGTTGGACTTAAAAAATATGGAAAGCCATTAGCATCTTTGAAAATATTTTGTAAAAGTTATTTTGAAAGGCGTTCATTGTTTATTAAATCATTCATATTTTCTATCATCAAGGAGATTTCATGTTCTGGATGTGGAATTAATAAAAAGTCTAAAATACTTGAATTTCTGCTTTTGAATATATTTCATTTAAAGACTCCAATGGCTGTCCATAATTTTTAAGTCCAACTTAATTAGAGTTAAGTTCTACTTAGGATCTTTGTGAAACACCCCCCTGAACAATAGTTTGCGGTATATTCTCTATGGAAGCCGGAAGAAACCTTGTCTTATCGTCTTCCCTATAGTGTCGTATCTGTGTATGTGCTGAACCGCCTAGTGTGGGAGGAAGGTCGCCATCTACTGTTGAACATTGTATTTACGGTAAGGTCAATTGGTAATAACAAGATATTAATGGGAGAGGGTCGTCAGTTTTCATGTGCAGAAGGTCATAAATTGCTGACACCAGACTTGGTGGAAATACCATTAATGGGTGTACAAGTCTGCACACAGCACTGAAACCCGGAGTTCTATCACAAAATACCCCCTAGTCTCTCGGAGAGTCTTGGGGGAACGTAAAATAATGACTTTACCAATGGGGGAATGGGAAGAAAATGCAAAGCATTATATAAGGCCTGTTGGTCATAAAACTGAAGGCTGATCCTGGTGATTGACAACACCTGTTATTGGGTAAACACCCGAACGGTGTCTAATTCCCCATGAAAGCCTCCTACTATGTGTCTTTAAAACACTTGCCTCTCTTTGTCATGCTCTGCCTGAACTTCCATTTCCTTGCGGAGCTCAGCAAGCCTCTCTCGCTTCTTAGCTTCCTCTTTCTCTTGCTCCTTCTGCACTTGCTCCTTGTATACCTGGATCTGTTTGGCAGAAAATTGTTGTAAAATCTGATTTGAAGGAGCTGAAACAAGTGTGTTCAGTTCAAGAACACATGCTACAGCAATATATAGTTGCTCCACGGTCAATATCCTACACTAACCGAAGCCATAACTGTGATCATGGATTTGAATTAACTTCTGGGTGCACTAGCTGACTTGTCTATATTCACAAGTTATATATTTTACCATTCTTTAGAGTCCAACTTATCATTGAATATAGCAATATTGGTACCTTTTATTTCCCAAAAGCTATTTCAAAACTAAATATTTTAATGAATGATAAACTAACATGGAATGCAAAATACACAAAATAGAACACTTTAGGTGATCATTCCTCTAAAATATTATGTTTGCTGGTTTCAACACTTACATTTACTTTAATTCTGGTTTTAAGAGGTTAACAAGTTAAACATCAATAATAATAATTCCGCTTTTATATAGCGCTTAATACATGATGTCTCTAAGCGCTTTACAGATATACTATTACCCCGGTCATTGGATTCAATACTTGCCCACACACACCGTGTCCACAATCTCCACTCCCTGGGGAGTATTCCAGCCAGGCGTTACTTGACGATGAAAACTGTTTGACCAACAATGACGGTCACATCCTACCATGCAGGTACCCATTCAACACCTGGGTGGAGAATAGCAAGTGCAGGTTAATATCTTGCAAAGCATACCTTTTGTTTCTCTGCCGTTCTCTTCTTTTCTTCCTTCTGTTTCTCCCATTCCATCTCCTTCTGTACATTCTCGAGTCTCTGCGCTTCAAGTTCTTCTTCTATCCGCATCGCCTCAAGTTTTTGTTCTCTCCAAAGCTCAATCTGATGAAGAAAAACATCAAATGCATATATTAAGGGGTCAGTGACACAATGACGCAACTCCATTTTGGCCATTTCGAGAAAAAGTGGTTTACGGGTCACTGAGCACTTGGGCCTTTAGGAGTTAAGTCTATGTTTCACTAGCCATTGACTTTAATGGGGTGTTGGGTGGATTTAAGGCTTTGTGTTATTTCCTGGAAAGCCCACATTTTCTGAACATTTTGATATCAAATACTCATTTTGGCGTTACTGAACCCTCAAATTATGACGTTCACTAAAAAACTTTTATTGCATACTCTTCATTGATCTACCTTCGCACGAAGCTGATAGTTGATCGTCTCCTGTCTTTGTTCGTTGATTGCTGCGATGGACTCGAGCTCCGCAGCGAGACACACATCGGCAAAGATGGCTGCCGCTTTCTCGTACAGCTCCTGCTTGTCCTTAGCCCAGCAGTTGACCAGGGTGTTCCTGAGGCGGGTGTGGTAACGATGGGTGATCATCCAGTCTTCATGTTCAACCTTCAATAGCAGAACAGGGAAGAATAAATGTTAAGTTCATTTGAAGGGTTTGTGACCAGGGTGTTTCTGAGGCGGGTGTGGTAACGATGGGTGATCATCCAGTCTTCATGTTCAACCTTCAATAGCAGAACAGGGAAGAATAAATGTTAAGTTCATTTGAAGGGTTTGTGACCAGGGTGTTTCTGAGGCGGGTGCGGTAGTGATGGGTGATCATCCAATCTTCATGATCAACCTTCAATAGCAGAACAGGGAAGGATAAGTGTTACCGGTAAGTTCATTTGAAGGGTTTGTGCATGAGTGCATTTGTAGTTGACCAGGGTGTTTCTGAGGCGGGTGTGGTAGCGATGGGTGATTATCCAATCTTCATGTTCAACCTTCAATAGCACAACAGGGAAGGATAAGTGTTAAGTTCATTTGAAGGGTTTGTGCATGAGTGCATTTGTAGTTGACCAGGGTGTTCCTGAGGCGGGTGTGGTAGCGATGGGTGATCATCCAGTCTTCATGTTCAACCTTCAATAGCACAACAGGGAAGAAGACGTGTTAAAGGGAGGCTTTACTACTTCAGCCAGAAGGGATTAGGCCAGACACCGAGCCAGTGAGGTCACTGTGACAGGTGGGTATTTCATTAACTCAGCTCACATATTAAGAAAAAGAGGATCATGGGGGACCAACAGGCACCGAAAGTTTTCTATATAGAGGGAGCAAGTAGCTACAAGTAGGACAGTGTGCCTTGAAGTTCACTTGAAGGGTTTGTGCATGAGTGCATTTGTATGATGGCTCTTTTTCACAAATGCTGTGTGGAAGGAAGTACTGAAAGATAGCATATTGACAGCACAAGCATGTAATGTAGAAAAAACAATCCACAAATTCTAGAAAGAGTTATCAGCGAAAGTTATAAGGTACTCCTGGTCCAATGGGTGGAAATTTGTGTTCATGAAATTCAGTAAATGTTTCTGAAACTAAAATGTAGTCTAAGTGAACAACATACAAGGACCCATGATTTAGACCTTTCTATAGACTATGATTTCTCACTAGCAGTGCTCTATAGTTCTCTCCTAGAATTGTTTTTTGGATCTAGTCTAAGTTTACATTTACAACCTCAAGTAATTTTTGAGCCCTTCTGGAATAGAAACCGTGCTTCTTATTGACTGTTCTCTAGTTCCCTTTGAGAACATTTTTTCAAAACCTAGTCTATTAAAGTTGACAACTACAAGGCTCTAAAAAAGAGTTAGATCTTGTTAGAACAGGACCTAGACTTCTTACCAGCTGTGCTCTAGTTCTCCTTGGGAACTGTTTTCTGAGTCTATCGATGTAAAGCGTACGTCTGTTTTGCATGTCTCTAGGGTACATTTCAACGATGCTCTCAAAGAATAAATGATCATCTCTACTCCAACCTCCAAAAGAGTCTCTGCAGAAGAAATGTGATGGAAAAAAAAATGGAGCAATATCTCATTAAGCAAACTCAAATGCCATGCAGTGTAAATCTAAAATAATAAATAATAATAATACATTGTATTTCTAGAGCGCTTAATACAATGTTTCTAAGCGCTTTACACAATTGGCGATACTAGTACATTAATAGTACATTCAAAGGATATACCTGTAGCATGTTATTGATTGATAAGGTAAAACAAAATAAAAAAAGTACAACTCATAGCTGCTAGTCTGCAAACAAAGACCCCTTTTTTAACATATTCATGGAGACTGTAGAAAAGCCAAACCTTAACTACATGGTTTACAAATATATGGAGTTTTTCAGCTAGGATAATCAAGACCCTATGCATGACTTATGACTGCCTACAAATGAGATGGTGACAATTACTCTGTTCAGATCTGTAAGGCTGCTGTCTGGAGCAGTTCAGGGGGTGTTTCACAAAGACTAAGATCAACTTAGGCCATTCATGTCACCAGTTCCTCTAACTATTCTGGCATTGGTTTCTCAAGTATAATTTGTGGTCACAAATCTACATTTTTTGATAGTTCATTATTGAAGGAAACAATATTATCTAAAGATCATAATTGAAAGCAGCCAGTGGCATGAATGGCCTGCCATAGTTAAGTCCAACTTAAAGTCGATCTTAGTCTTTGTGAAACACTCCCCCTGGATATTCAAATCTTGAGTTTTAAAGTGCCTGGTAAATTTTCCGTTCAGCATGCAGATGTGACCTATGACATACTCACACTAATGTACTTGAGTGCCTTTTATCAAGGTCGCTTAGTCTCTCCTTGTACTTTTCATCGAGGGTAAGAAATTCTTGAAGGACTGCATCCCTTATCTCCAGATCTGGGCATTCCAGAACCTCTGCCTCCATCGGTATCCCTTCCATCACACATTTCTCTGTACCTGCAGAGGAAAAATAGGGCCTTACGAGTTGTAGAAATGCAATAAGGTTGAATGGCGTCTTTTCTCTTTTAACTCCAAACAAAAATCTGCAGAATCCGGGCACTTTAAAACTCAAGACTTGAATATCCAGGGAGGTGTTTTATAAAGATCCTAAGTCGAACTTAACTCTAAGTTGAACTTTAACATTATGGAGAGTCATTTGTAGCCTTAAGATAAATATATTCAAAAGCAAAAATTCAACTGTTATAGACTTTTCATAAATTCCACATTTCCACATGAGCAGGTACAGAGAAACTAGCCATGTCCAAAATAGTAGCTTGTCTAATATAATTCTTTCAAATTTTGGGGGGCAAAGTGTCATCCAAATATCCATCAAGGTTCATTGTCGTAAGCTGCAATAAACTGTGATCTCTTGATTAATGAATGGCAAATGGAGGTGAGAACAAAGTATTTGCCCAAAACAAATGTCTAATGGCTACCAACTTATTTCTGTCTTGTAAGATGGAGGAATGCAGCACTCAGGATAAAGGCTGTAAGTAACCATACCATTAATCATCATATGTAGTTTGGAGACTAGATTTACACCCACCAGCATATTAGGAAGACTGATTCTAATACCCAATAGATGTCAAGTACATGTAGCTATGTTCAGTATTTCAGCTGACAAGGAAGATGCAATATTGACATTCAACTGTCGATTACCAAATTCCAAACCGCACACAATTTCCTTACTTTTTTCCAAACATTATCAGTATCCCTTGTTTTTTAAACAGTTGATCACAAATTCAGAGGTCTCTTTATGTTTTCTACCTCTTTTAACACTGATTTAAAACTTAACAAGCACAAAAACCTAGATAAAGCCCGGCACTCAACATTCTTTAAAGTTCAAATTGTTCTCCTTTCTCAATACGTCACGTAAAATAAATTAGTTCTTACTTTAGTCATAAAATGTGCTATACAAGACATAATTATTAAATATTATCAATCATTATTTTTAATACTTTCATTTACAAGACCTAATTATCAAATAATATCAATTATCATTTGCAATACTTTCATTTACCTAGACTTAGACCTTGTAGGAATCCTGAATCTAGCTCGCTCTCTAGCGCCCATTGCTCATGTTCAAGCTGTTTCATCACCGCTTCCTGCTGGCTCTTGACGCTCTCGATGACATCACACACCTCAGCGTGTTCATCATCGAGTTCATCATCTCCTCCACGCTGTAGTTTCACCCTGTTCCTTGATAACCAGATCTTCAGATCATCCTAAGTGAGAGATAATCATTGTTGGTGTTACTATTATCATATTCTAACATCTCAATTCAATTTTGCTGATGATGATGGTCATCACTACCATCATCGTTATTACCATCAACATTACCATTACCATTATCATAATAAAATATTATCAATCATCAATTATTTTTTAGTGAAAGAGTATACCGGTAAGTATAAGGCGTAAATTACGACCGACCCCTAAATCTTGAAATCTACACTCGGCCGTATCGGTTTTTGGAAGAAAAAAATGTTTAATGAATAGATTCATCAGCTTAAAGAGGGAGAAAAAAGAAGAAAAAGAAAAAAAAAAAAGATTTCTGACTGACTGACCCATGGTTTGGCACCTATTTTTTTGTTTTTTTGTTAGGCCTAAGAATGAGCACAATCACTTTAATGCTCTGGACCCACCAGGCATAATTTTTGGGCTCTGCAATTGTACCAACAAACCAGGGTTTCTTCTTACTCCTTGTGAAGTGTTTTTTTTTCTTCAAAGAGTATGACAATTTAATATCCTTACTGAGGGATGGAGAATTGTCTCATCTACATTATGTAAAAGGGGAGGGGAACGTTAACATAAAATGAAGGTTCTGCCTCTGCTGAATTTGAACCCGCAATTTTAATTAAACAGGTAGATAACTTAAAAACTGCCAACTCGCTTTCTGGGGCCTGTTGCATAAAACTTGCCGTTGATGGTAACTTTGCCATCAATAGCAACTACAATGGTAACAGCTAGGGCTCAACAGCCAATCAAAATCAAGGTTTCCATGGTAGTTACCATTGATGGCAAAGTTACCAATGGTACCAGTGCAACGGGGCCCTGATATACAAATGATATTACCTTGAGTGACCAGACAGGTTCAGCTGTTGCCTTTCTGAATTTCTCCAGCTCCTCCTGGAGCTGCATGTTGTAATCCTCGGCCTCCAGCATGAACATGGTGATGGAGGAGCCTTCGGACGTCCCCTGCAGGATCAGTCGCTCCTGCTCCCTCTCCAGTCGATGCCTGATGCCGTCCAGCCTCCCCAGCTCCCTCTGCCAGACCGTACTGTGCTGCTTGAGCAGGGTGTTCTCCTTGCTGGCCTTGAATTGAATTAAATTGAATTGAATCGAATTGAAATGAATTGAATTTAAATTGAAATGAATTGAATTGAATTGAATAAAATTGAATTGAAATGAATTGAATTTAATTGAAATGAATTGAATTGAATTGAATTGAAAGGAATTGAATTAAATTGAATTGAATTGAATTGATAAAGGTTTTATAGAGAATAAAAGAACAACAATGCATCGCGGCCTAAAAGGCTAAATTGGGCAATGTTTTACAAATGTAACATACAATATATCAAAACATTCATATCAAGTAACATCAAAATTAATGAACTGAACTTGAATTGTTAAAAATAATATTTAACTTTGAAATTCTTATTTCTTATTAGAGTAAAGAAAAAAAAGAAAAGAGGATGGTAAGATTAAGAAGGGGATGAAGAGGAAGAAGAAGAAGAAGAGAAGAAGAAGAGAAAACGTAGAAGAGAAGGAGGAAAAAGAAGAAGGAGGAAAAAGAAGAAGGAGGAAAAAGAAGAAGAAGAAGAAGATTCAAGTGGGGATAGTTAAGATGATAGAAAGAGGGTAGTGCGAATAGTAACACTATCATAAGGTATCAATATCAATATTCAAGCATTACACATTATACAAACTACAAATGAACAGAAGTGAAGTTATGTAGAAAATAGATACCTTGGAGAAGCTCTTGAGTTTGTTCATCTTGAGGAGGGAGCGGTTGCCGGAAATCTTCCGTTCCAGGGCAGCGGCCTTCAGCTGGTCGTAGTCCTGCTTGGTGTAGCGGGTGCTGCCAAGGCCTGCCTTCATGCGTATCAGGAGCTTATCTGAGATGGGAGTGAATGCAAGGCACAGAAATGATTAACATACAGTCAAACCTGTCTATAGCAGCCGCCCAAGGGAAACACAAAAAGTGGTCTTTGAAGACAGGTTCCTTTAGTACATGTTTCAATGAGAAACCATTTTTAAGGGAAACAAAAGATGTGCTTGTTGTAGACAGGTGGTCACTAAAGCAAGTTTGACTGAACAATGTGAACATAGTAAAATTTACATACATATGTAGTGCATACACATAACATGTAATGTACATGTACATGCACCACACACAAAACTAATTGGGAGATTGCTGATGTAAGAAGTTCTGCTAAAGCTTTTTTTCACACATGCATGTATAAGGAGTTTATCTAAAAAGGTGCAAGTACATATAGCCACAGGAATGACTTATACATTGTATTGTCTGCATGCCAGACTTGACATTTATTAATATTTAACAATTGTTTGGAAGGTTTTCAGAAGACAAGAAAAATTGGTATATATCTTACACTTTGCATAAAAGTACCTGGATGGCCATGTCATTTTAGAACACATGTTCATATCTGGCTTAGTATTTTACAGCTTAATTTTGTACATAAAGTACATTAGCACCATGTTAAGGATTTGAATGCATTCAAATAGATATACAGTCAAACCTGCCTTAATTAGTGACTACCTGTCTACAAAGATCACTTTTCTTGTCTCCCTTGGGTGGTCTTTATAGACAGGTTTCACTGTACATTTATTTTTATACTACACTTATACAACATATTTTTTTACTTTCTTTTGTAAAGCCCTTAATTTATAACAGATACATGTAACTTCATATCTACAGTAGATAACTCATAATTGGAAACATTTTGAATGATTCTTTTTCACCATAGCCTAAAAATGTTAACAAGTAGCTTTGAAATTAATAAAATAAAGAACATTTACATGTATAGTAATATTTCTATAGTGTACAAACCATAATAACTTGTATTGTTCTTCATGTAAGTCGTTTCATGTGGCTATACTGTATTTAATGAGCTTCAATTATTACTTCTACAATGAGATATTGCAATTTACATATATATTCTCAGTCAACAGCACAACATCTTGTTGAGTAAACACACATATAACTCGCATAGAATAACACAGGGTTAATGTTATCCTTTAATTCCCTCATACTCCCTAACCATTTACCTATAGAATGCAACTTAAAGTTTTTGAGGTTGAATTTTGATACATTGTATCTACAAAAGATACAATTATTTTTCTTCTTAAGGTTAAGGTGATTGGTTCACTTTAGTATGGAGTTAGCAAGTGCAAAATTGAACAAAATAACAGCTTTAACCACTACACAGAACTGATGTTATTACCCCAGTTGTCAGATTCATTCCCAGTTTCCCACTCCAATTCATAAGCATTATTTTGGTCACCATGACGAAACATGGTATTTACGATGATAATGGCTTTCACCATCCTACTGCTTCCCCATTTCTTTCCAGGGTATCGAGAGGCAAATGCACAATAATTTCTTGCCATGCAGTCACATGTTCGAACCACTTATCTTTCCCACCTCTACACGAAAAACCCACCTGCTTCATCAGGCCGCCCAGTTTCCCTTGCACCAGTCCTGTGCGTAGTCAGAAAGCCTCTGTAATCCCGCCCTGTCATTTTCCTGCTCACGAGATGTCTCTTGATATTGCACAAATCTCATGTATACTGTAGATGCTATCTAAAAAAAAGAATAATCATTAAAAGAATAACAGACAATTAGCTGGCCACATTAACATATTTTATGCCGTATATATAAATGAAGGAAGGATGTGCAAGCTGAGTACTGTGTACCTGATTTCTCCAGCACCGTAAAAGCAAGAAGATGAAAATAGAATATAAAAAAGAAGGAAAAAGAGATGAAGAATAAAATGGAACTAGGATCACACTAAAAGGGTAAAAAAAGAAAGAAAGGTGGACAAAAATGTTTGGGAAGAATAGATCTAAAGGAAATATCAGAAGAAAAGGCGCTAGTTCAGAAGCCTATCCAAAATGTGACCCGTAACTCTGGCGTGGAGATACCCTACTAAAACATACCCAAAATGAAGTAAATATTAATTAAATGTCTGTTTTGTGTCAATTAATTTTCTTGTTATATATGGAGTATTTTTGGGAAAAACATTGATATTAGTATACACTTTTTTTACAGGTTTAATGGCAAACCGCTGCACAATACAGGTGCATACTGATGGTGGGGGAAGAGAGGGAAGGGAAGGGTGGTAGAGAGAGAACTGAAGAGAGAAACAGATCAAATGAAAGCCAGCGGGGACTCTGACGGGGGTGTGCCACTCAAGCATAACTCAGTTAGGGTGTCTGATCGCGCACCCGATGTTGTGTGCTAAAATTCTTCCCATAGAGATTACACGCATCCCTATGCAGTCTACGTGCATTGCGCGACCATGCAAAAAAAAATTTTTTTTCAATTCGAGATTCAAACTTTTATCTGTTGTGATCCTGAAGGTGATACTCAATAAATGAGGTTTCATATGAAAGAGCAGGTGAATTCCAATATTTCCAAAGGGGCGTAGCCCCCGAAATTCTAAAAATATCTTGGTCAAAACAGCAATTTAAACATTGTGTCCTGGCTAACTCTGAGGTTTGTCACTTTTGAGATATGACGCCCCGATCGATAAGTAGTCCCAGTCCTAAGGAACAATTCTATGTGCTTATATTTTCGGTAGCCCCCAGGGATCACAACTGATAACAGTTTAAAAATACCCTTCTCGCTATTTGGTGGATCAGCTAATTAGGGGCGTGCACTCCGCTCAGTCCAAACCATGGTTACATCGCGTAACATCTCCACGTACGAACGAAACCCCAAATTCAATTACACATTATAGTGAAAGAAAGTATGGGTGGCCATTCGCGCCATAGAACCCGGAAGTGAATACACGTTATAGTCAATGGCAATATCGCGGAGACAACGTGCATTGTCTCCGCGATATTGCCATTGACTACAGCGTGTATTCACTTCCGGGTTCTATGGCGCGAACGGCCACCCATACTAGTCAATGGCACATATCACGGAGACAGCGTGGATCAAGCTGCAAGTCGCGCATTGGCTTAGCAATATGCGTACTATTTGCATACGCTTGCGTATCGCGCGATACAGCTGTTTGTCTGAATTTAGCAAAACTACATCACTCTGCGTGGACGTCTTTTTCGTCGATTTTGACCAAAATGATATGAATATACCAGCGTTTTGGAGGGGCTGTAACTTTTGATAGAAACATCGGTGAGACTTGAAATTTGAAATGTTTTATTCTGATAACATTTTTTATTCAAATATCAAACAAAAATGGTGAAAAACGATCCCAAATTGAAAATTGAAAAATCGTTCAGACACTCTAACTCTAGATCTAAGTAAGCTAACTCTCGTAGACTCTAACTTTAGATCTAAACTTTTGTTTGTTTTGATTTTCTTGTGTTGCTATTTTATTTAAAAAATAACGCACTTGACCCTGTTGGACAATAGCGGTAAATGCAGTGTACGCTCGTTTTCTTCAGATGGTGCACACGGTGAACTTGCCGCAAGCGGCTCGTTGCACAGAGGTGTCACCAATCTAAAGAATCCTTGCTGGGATTCAGATTTGGTTTGGATGGGGGGGGGGGGGGGGAGGGGGGCAAAATGATGATAACGAAATAAAACTGAACTTAAAAACATAGAAAATCGATGAAGAGAGAGAGAGAAAGAGAGAGGGAAAGAGAGGTAGGGAAGGGTGGTAGAGAGAGAACTGAAGAGAGAAACAGATCGAATGAAAGCCAGCAGGGACTCAGATTTGGTTTGGACGGGGGTGTGCTGCTCAAGCATAACTCTAGATCTAAGTAAGCTAACTCTCGTAGACTCTAACTTTAGATCTCAACTTTCGTTTGTTTTGATTTTCATGTGTCGCACTTGACCTTGTTGTGCGATAGCGGTATAGAATCTATGCAGTGTAGAGTAAAGGAGCCGGTAATCGGCCAGCTCCAGTTTTCGGCCGATTGGTTGGATGCAAGGTAAAATCACTCTAAAATACATCGCATAATAGCATAACACATATCCCACACATACCATACCATGCCAGTGTCACTGAAGAACCACATTTGCAATGGAAAATATATCCTAAAATATCACATTTTAGCGATGTAATCGCCGGTCCCGCTACCCAAATCTGAAAAATCGAGTATCTTACGCGTGTCTGTAAGAAATATGGGTACCATAAAATGAGCTTTATTTTATTTAGAGCCCGATTTTGTGCTAGTCGCAAGCTCAAAAGTATCTCATCGCATGTATTAAATCAATGCAGCCGCACACCGCGACGCACACACGATATCTCTGTCTAATTCAGATTCCAACTTCCGATCACCGCTGTGCCTGTCTTCGGCCAGGCGAGCACCAGGGAGCTCCGGCGTGGGATACCTGCTCCGCCCGCTTGTGCTGTACATCAGCGCGGAAACGCACAGCGCGCGCGAGCGCTTCCTATTGACTTTGTACATGCGGCCGTAAACTGAAACGCTCGGCCGATAACTGGCTCCAAAACAGTGAAAATTGAAATGAATATTGTCATGGCAATTCGTGATTTTTTTCTGGGATTCTTTTTTTGTTTAAATAATAATAATATTTGCTTCATGATTTGAACAAGAAATGATAATAAATAGGAAGTAAAGAGTCCTAAAAATAGGATTGTGTCTTAAAAAGTGGCCGAAAACGGGCTCCTTTACTCTACGCTTGTTTTCTTCAGATGGTGCGCACGGTCAACTTGCCGCAAGCGGCTCATTGCACAAAGCCTCAGAGGTGTCATCAATCTAAAGAAACCTTGCGTTTACTGCATTCACCACTATAGCATGCTGGGCCGTGCGTTAATTGTATAATATTCACTTCTGAATGACAAACGCCTGTAAACTAAAACAACAACAACAACAACAATTTAATGAGTGAACAATACTTCATAGCCAACACGTTGGACTAAAGACAAAGTAGATTAATCAAAATTTAGTCTGCTAACAAAATTTCTGAAGGGTAAAAAAGATAGATGCACATCATGAAACTAAAGAAGAAATGTCTAAGTTAACTTATTTCACATTTTGATCAATTCATGTGTTACTGAATCAGAAAAAAATATAACAAAACATATCTGACACTGAATTTATTAACGTCAATTTCACAACTTACGTTTTGTATGCAGCGTATCCATTGGTATCTCACACATAGTTCATTGACCTTCTTCGGATATGATCTTGCCTTGCCAATGCATGTAATGCAAACGCGAAGCTAGCGGCGTTGACTTTTTACTATCCCATCATGCATTATTAGGACACTGCGCATGCGTATTGAGTGGCGCAAGCACAAAATAAGAAAAAAAATTAGGATTCAAAGCCGTAAGAAAGAGTCTAATTATGGGCTTAATAGGGCTCCTAGGATAGCCCGACCTTTCTGGTCAGTCCGTTATAACTCAACTTTATTAGCAGAAGAAAATGAAGGAGATGGTTGGTGGCTGCTGCGTATGCGGCGACGAACGAGGATGGACGGAAAACCCGTTAGTTTACTGCGATGGTCACGGTTGTAATGTAGCCGTGCACCAAGGTACGTTGGTTTCCTATTGATAACTGCACGAAACTGTGTTGTGTGAATGTAGACTGAGCTGAGCTGTGTTTGCAAATAAATAAATGATTGGGCGGGACTGAAGTTCATTAAACTAGAGTACTTGGTCTATTATCAGTATCAATCAGAGTTTGACATTGCTTAGTCTGTAGTGTGTTCATGTGTGGTTCAGCGTACAAATGCCATGGTTAATTACACAAAATGATAACAAATTTTTTTAGTTGTTGAAAGAATAATAATATTAAAAAACTGAAAATTAGTTCTTGAGAGTTGTTGGTTGACTTGTTGACACAAGTTGAGTGGTGTGGTGTGTGTGTAATTAGGTTCTTAGAGACGAGTATCAATCAGATACGATTATTTACATCTGGGGTCAAACCTTTTTAACGTCACCATCCAAAACACGTGACTCAGTTTTGAACTGGGGTCGCCTGAGCCAGTTTGTAGGCAATGACATTGACAGAGAGCTGACCAAGTGAACATGCCGCTACTGCGCTAGACCAACTCACATCTCCAAGATTCTTTTTGGACTCAAGGAGCCTTTTCCTTGAAACCGTCATGAGTCTAACTTCTTGACTAAATTAGCATAGATCTAGCAAGCTACTTGTCCGCTAAGTTTTTCACAAAGCCCTCTTTGCCAAGATCAAGGACAACCTGAATAAGACAAGTATGACTATGAAGTACATGTAGTTATGATGCGTCCGACCCGTCATATCTCTGTCATAACTTTTTAGTCGATGGGGAAGCGCCATCACATGTCTTACTTACTTTGGTTTACTTTGGTGTCGAGGCTTGAAGCTTCAGCTTACAATATGTGCCCCTCTTTACTGCATTGGATTCGCGTTGGTATGGGTGGTATTTCAGCAGATGGTGCTTCCAGTGATTTTCAAGTTCTGACTTTAATTTATTGATTGATGAGGCATTTATGGCAATTTCAGGAAGGTTATTCCAATTATTAATGCTCCGCACTGAAAATGACATCTGCCTCATCTTAGATTTGCAGCGGGGCTTCCTTATTTTGAGCCTGTGTGACAGTGTCCCCTTGTTCTGGATTCTTTGATGATTTCAAATATGTCATTCCTCTCTACTGCCTCCAATCCATGCATGATCTTGTATATTTGAAGAAGATCAGCCCTCTGTCTACGGTACTCTAGTGATGGTAGTTTGAGTGTCTTAAGTCTTTCTTCATAGCTTAGATGCTTCACATCTGGGATGAGTCGCGTAGCACGTTGCTGGACCTTTTCCAATAGATCTTGATCCTTTAGGTACATTATTTATTGGGCAGTCTATCGCTGGCAAAAAGGACAACAAATCCTCCAGCTAGTAGCTTTGATCTTTCTAATTTTAGTACACATTCACTTGAACAGAATGTTGGATTCAGTTGTAAAACGGTTGAATGTAGGGTTTGTGATACATGTTTTTTTTCCATTTTTTTTAAATTTTAAATTTAATTGTGTTATATTAAATAACTGATCTAAACAAAGTTGTGTCGATCTAGAAATTAGTGTAGGAGTAGGACTAGACCCTCCTTTTATTTTAAAGTTATATTCTTATTGCCAACTTGTGTCTTGTTCCTTTCTTGGATAGATGGTTTATTTTGTAATGTACACAAAGGCTGTTTATCCATTTATCATTATTTGAATTCTCTCTCCCCACCAACTGGTTTAACCTATAAAGTTGGAGTCTTAGTTTCTGTTCAGATTTTTTAAAAATGAGGAGGAAGTTTCCCGTTTTTTAATATTTGATATTTTTTTCTAAAGATAGAAATGCTATTACATGTATATGTACGGTACTTGGTATTTAATGACTTACATGTTCAAACAATGTACATGTAGGTCAATTTCAACTCTTTTTAACACTTTATTTTCATTTGTACACTGCGTACAAGCCTTTTATTAAGTCAAAGCAGACCGGGAGCCAAATATCTGAAAAAGCGGCTCCCGGTCCTTAATTTTTTTAGAGAACCGGGAGCCGTTTTCCAGGACCAGGAGCCGTTTCCAAAATTGATGAAAATATGTATTCTTTTAAATTATTTGTTAAACGTTACCTTTTATTTATACATACGGTAGTTTAATTTCTACAGTTTACATTTTGAGCACTCTTATATTAAATCACTCTTACCTTGGATAAATCTGTAGTTGTTGTAGTTCATGTTTAATACTATTTTCATGCCGTTAAATGTCAAAAATTGAAAAATGTTAGGAAAGGGGGAATTAAATTATTTTTATAAAAAAAATACTTAAGAAAAACCATCTATAATGACAATGCAGAGCTGCCAACCTGTCACTTTCAAAAAACATATTACCGGTATTCAGCTTGAAAAAGCATATTTTAGGTGAAAAAAAAGATTTTGCCTGTTTAACGGGTTTGTTATTTAGACCTGTCACTTAAAAAAATATTTAAAAAAAATAAAATAAAAATAATAATAATTTTAAAAAAAATAAAAAAATTTGTTAAATATATTTACCTATTTGATCAAAAAAATCCATTATTTAAAACATCACAGAATTTTAGTCAATGAGTACGAGGGCCGCTGAATCAAGGCAAGTCTGGAGTTGCAATCAACTTTGTACATAAAGTCAATGCATCAGCAGGTGCGGTGTTCTGTTTTTCATTTGGCTTTTTGAAGATACCATTACATCCGAAGGGCATGCGATAGGCAAAAAAACTGGCAACAAAATCGCTGATTTCTTGATTTTTAGCGCTATTTTGATGAAACTGTTTCTTAAACCTGGGCTAAACCCCCGTGAGCTTTGGAAATATGACTCTGATTCCGCATTTTTGACGGCAAAATTTGGCTTTTGGGATGGATTTTTGGAAGTTACATCGAGACTTTCTTGTACTGACACTGTGTGTGTAGTGCAGTACAGCACTGATGTCATTTGTGTGTGTATGCATGGCTTGGGGAAATGCGCTCGTCTTAGCTTTGAGTGGTGTACATCCCCTGTATTGTGTGCTCCGTACTCCGCTAGGAGTAGGAGATAGCGGCCGCTCGTATTAGTGCTGCAATTGTTTCTGGGCGATTTTAATTAGGATTCTCATTATGTAATGATTTGTTAGGGTTCATTCAGTCCATGTTTAACTCGTATCAAGTAAGTTTTTGTCACATTTGTGAACATTTAGTGCTAGACATGTGGAAGTTTATGAAACAGAAAATGTTAATTCTCCCAGACCGGGCGCCAGAAATAAAAATGAACCGGCGCCCGGTACTCATTTTCCCCGTCTTACCGGGCGCCAAAAGTCAGGGACCGTAGGGTAAAAATCGCCCGGCGCCCGGTTAATAAAAGGCTTGACTGCGTACATGTGCATGTAACTATCATCACATCTTTTGTACCAACAGAAAAATTCAAAGTAAACAAATAACTGGTAGTGGCAGAAACCTTGAAAGAATAGTGTTCAATGATTCTTCTCTTTGACACTTATACTGTACATGTTCCATTCCTGATGAGACATTTAAAAGTACACATGAAAATGGTTGACATAGAGAAGTATTAACTGCTCAAAGACAGAACATGTTATTAAGTTTATTTCTATTTTTCCTTTTTTAAAGTTTCTCTTACCTTTCTACAAATTACCATATTTCTTCAAGGTTAAACTCCATTCTATGTTTTCTTTTACTTAAGCCTCAACTTGTATTTTTGTTTTTAGTTCCTATTCAACTTCTGCATGTTTATTTTCATTTTCATATCTACATGTGTTTTGCAAAAGAAGATGTAGAATTATAAAATAAAGCCAGAACATACACTGTAGGTTGATATTAATTCAAGCTACAATATAGAAGGCACTTCCAAGTTCTAGTCACAGAAAATATGGAACAGAGTGGTATAATGCTAGCCTATTGGTGTATTCATGGACTTATTTTGACCTTGTTTTGTTGAATGTACTTGTAATAGTCTTGAAGAAGATGTGCCTTCTTTTCTTTGTCATATCAGCATTATTAAACGACTCATAATAATCCTATTAAAATATTTGTTTTTTTACAACTGAAATATGTAATTTTCATTTACATAAAATGTATTGCCTTCTTCCTTCATTCTCTTATATTCATCATTGCAATTGTTTCTTTCTGTCCCTTCCAGCGTGTTATGGCATTGTGGCTGTACCGACTGGGCCTTGGTTCTGTCGGAAATGTGAATCTCAGGAAAGAGCAGCCCGTGTGGTAAGTCCTAAACTGACGTTGTCACTGCTTCTTCACCTACAAATGTACATACAGTCAAACCTGTCTATAGTGACCGCCAAAGGGAAACACAAAAAGTGGTCTTGGTAGACAGGTTCCTTCATTACATTTTTCAATGAGAATCCATTTTCAAGGAAAGCAGAAATGTGGTCTTTGTAGACAGGTGGTCACTAAAGCAGGTTTGGCTGAAAAGACCTTTTTATCAATCTGTTCTACAAATCCTCATAAGCAGCATTGTTCCATGTATTTCTACACTGTGACATGAAGTTACAGGAATCAATTGCTCTTCTCCATCACAATCTATCAAGTTCCTGTATTAAAGTGAATTCATTCAGAAGGAATATTTTGCATTTCAGTTTGTATGAAAATGGGATGTTTTAAGCAACCAATGTTGTTCTTTTAATTTCAAAATGACTGCAGACACATTTTGATATTGTCAATTTATACATGATTAAAGTGTACATGTAGTAATGAAGAGAAATTATATATAATATATATTTATTTTTTGTATTTTCCTCTAACAGAGATGTGAGTTATGCCCTCAAAGAGAAGGAGCGTTAAAAAGAACTGACAATGGAAGTAAGTACAGTGAAAATGTAACCCATAAACTTTCACAAGTGTCCCATTCGTAAATACTGGAAAAGTAAACACAAATTGACTGCTCTGGCTATAAAGTTGGGATACATTGGAAATACTTGATATTCTTTATGTCATTCTCTATTTACCAATCCTATAAACTCTCTGTTGTGTGTAGGACAAAACTGGTCTTGGACTTTGGATAATGGTTCCAGAGTATTAGAGTCAAGTAATCTTGTACAAAATGTTTTTTGTGTTCATTTCTTCTTTAGTATATGTGTGAATAGAATTGAATAGAGGCCAAGTATTTTATGGCTGCAATCACTGCTTAGGTATAGATGTACTTGTAATTGAACATCTTCAAATGGTGGTACCGGTATATGTTTGTTTTATCAATCATTGGCAAGCACTTGTAGAATTTAATGATGTAAATTTATAATATTATAACTTCTCAAAATGTTGTTTTCAGTTGCATAGAAATATCAAAAGAACTGTTTCCCTCATTTGATATAAATATTATTGTAAAATCACTCTCATATATTATTTATGACATTGCAAATACTACATTACACATGACTTGGGTAAGAAAAAAGGAGTACAGGTTGTGTGGCCATGTCTCTGTACGACAATATGTACTCTTTAAAAAAAAAAAAAAAGGTAATTTTGTTGACCCAGGGAAGCCTCATTAGCTACAATTCTGTTCTTCCCGACTGCCCTGTAATTGTTATTAACCCAGCGATTGAAAGGTACCCATTTACATGTACATCTGGGTGAAGAGTGGCGAATGTGGATGAATGTATTACCAAAGGATGTTACTGCCAGGCTGGGATTGGAATCCTAAACCCTAGGATTGAAAGTCAAGTGAATGAACCACTACACCATGTTGTTCATTATTGTTTCATGAAAATAAAATGATACAATTTATGTGTTATTAAGCTAAGTTGACTCTATGTGGAGGCATCAAGTTTTATTCCAATTTTGAAATTGCCCTGTGCATACATGTGTATGTCCTTTGACAAAGAAAATCTACAAGTGTCTCTCTCTCTCCCCATCCTGCAGTTGAATGGGTACCTGGCGGGATTCAATGTATTATACATTGTGCGGTGATATGAGCTGCTGGACCTTTTATGCGCATTATCAACATTTGTAATTATCTCTATTATGTTTCACTTTTTCAGGTTGGGCACATGTTGTGTGTGCTCTGTATATTCCTGAGGTGTGCTTTGGTAATGTGTCAACCATGGAACCAATCCTACTGGCAATGATACCGCATGAGAGATATAACAAGGTACGATTCAAAATTACTTTTTATTCTTCTTCATGAAAGCTCTTTTATGTTTTGCAATTGCAATGTAAGATTTTCTCACTTATTTTTATATTTTCTGGGGAGTGTTTCTCAAAGATCCTAAGTCAAACTTAACTCTAAGTTGGACTTAAATATTATGGAGAGCCATTTGTAGCCTTACAATAAAACATTTCAAAAGCAAAAATTCAAGTATTTTAAACTTTTCATTAATTCCACATCAAGAACATGAAATCTCCCATGATAATAAAAATAAGATTGATTTGAATAAAAATGTTATGCCTATTTTTTCAAGGATGCTAATGGCTTTCCATAATTCTTAAGTCCAACTTAGAGATAAGTTCAACTTAGGATCTTTGTGAAACACCCCCCTGGTGTATTTTCACCAGAACTCTCTGTCGAGTTTACCAGAGTTTTCCAATAGTTGAAACACTCTCCACTCGGTGTATTTATTTTCTTTTTGAAATAGCTTTGATATTAATTTGTTGGTAGTAAATAGGCATACCCATTACAACAAAATCTGTGAATGTAAATGTCTTTTACTTTTTACATCATTTGCCTAGCAAGTTCAAGAAAATGTTTAGGTATTATACATTTTTTTGTTTTTAACTCTTTTCCAGAAAATAAGAGCATCGCAAATTTCCCTGTACAAATTTTTAATTGAATATCTTATTTGTCACAAACTTTTTCATCTATGAACGTTCTATTGAAAATTTTGTACAGGGTGATTTTGGAAGTACGTTGTTTAAATCCCTTGAACAGTATACCTAGAGGTTTATATTTAAGGATTATTCCTTTATTGCATTTCTTTTTCGAGTGAGGTTTTTTAACTGGGGGGGGGGGGGGTATGATTTACAGTTTTCTTTTAAAGTCTGATGTACAGGAATGAAGCAATAAGGCTGGCACTTCTTTTTAATTTAAAAAAAATATGTACATACCACATATCTGCCCAACAGTGGAAAGATGTAAAAGTGGATACCTCTGTTGATATGGAAGTGAAACTAGTCCTTGAATAAAGCCGTAATTACCTATTTTATGTTCCTTGTAACAGTCGTGTTTCTTGTGTGAGACGAAGGGCAGGGAATCCAAGGCAACTTCTGGATGTTGTATGACGTGCAATCGAAATGGCTGTAGGCAATCCTTTCATGTTACATGGTAAGTTGTTTCTGTCTACTCTATGGTACGGGAGAGGATTTCTACCCACCTACCCCCCCCCCCCCCCCCCCCCCTCCTCCTATTTCTTTAACCCGGCTTGTACATTTACAAAAAATGTTTGTGCTGACCAGTTCAGTTTTTAAATAGTTTTCTGTCCCCTAGAGCTCCTCATGGATTTGGTATTGTAAAAGAGTGACTGTCATAGGAAATATTCTTAAGTATTTATTTCATCTCAACCCCCCCCCCCCCCCCACCCCCAGCCCCGTCCCTTTGATTAGTCTTCCAGGGCTCTATTTTAAAACTTATCATTTCAGTGTATTTTTTTTTACTGAATGAATTTCTTATCTCATACCATGTGCATTTCAATTCATAATTGAATATTCAAAAGAGGGGGAAGACAATTGAATGTGTGCAATAATAATGCTTCACATCATTTCTATGATGTCGTTAATCTGTTTCCACTTCTCCTTTGCAGTGCACAACAAGAGGGTTTGTTATGTGAGGAAGCTGGGCAGCACAATGACAATGTCAAGTACACTGGCTACTGCAACTATCATTACCAAAAATTAGTAAGTATACTTCCAAACCATTACCCTCATCCAAGGGAATTTCAAAGAGAAAATGCAAGAGAATTGTACAGAATTAGAAATCTACACATATGGGTAATTCCATAAATTAGGGACCCACTTTGTGAAATTTTGAAGTGAGATTGTTAAGTGATTCTAGGTATATGGATGCAATAATATGCTTGGAAATCACTTTACAATCTCACTCCACTATTTAAGTCTTTACTCAGAGCCACAAGAGACCTTAAGAGAGGTTGTCTCTATCGTGAGGCTAATCCAATTTGATCAATAAAGAACCCCTTTTTTATTGGGAGGTCCACAATGGGCTGGAGTAGTTTTGACCTTTGAAATTACAATTAACTCTGCATAGTCGAACTAGCCAAATTTTCCTAAATCAAATAATTTTTTTGACAAAAAAAGACTATGCAAAATGTGTCATTCACACTTCTTAAGTCAAATTTTGTATAAGTTAAAGTATTTTGTGGACTTAACAGATTCTGCTTATGCAGATATAACTGTATTTTCTAAGCATTGGCTTGTCATCATCTGTTATGAATGGTCTTTTCAATTTTAAATCCCAAAGTGAAATTTCTTTTGCATGGCAAATACATGGAAAGGGTTAAAATAATTTTGTTCACTGTGTTGGTCGCACAAGTGACTTAAGAGTTGTCTCTAAGAGGCATTGTTGAAATGTCATCCTTGAAATCGAGGACGTGTTTCTGATGCAATCTACCTTTGTTACAGAAGAAAGACAAAGATATCAAGACGATACCACCTTTCAGACCTTGTGGAACCAACTACACCCCTGAGAAAGAGAAGCCTCTGAATGATAGACCTTCTGATAAGACAAAGGCAGACCTCAAGGAGAGGCATCGCAGATCGGAAAAGAAACCCAGAACATTTGAAGTGTGCTCCGTGTATAACGCCAAAGACAATAATGACAGTAGCACAAACTCGGCCGGTGGGAACTCGACGGGCCACAGTGCAAAGTTCACCAATGCAAATTTCACTGAGACGACGATCGTCCCTACGACGTCAATATCAGAGGTGGAAACGACAGCCACTCCAAGTGGGGGTGATAGCTCACTCATCCTCAAGTTTAGAAGGAATACAGTAACTTCTGGAAATGGACAGAAGAGTAAGAAGGAAGGGAAGGGTAAAGGAAGTGGTACCGACTCTGGGCAGGGGGGAACCACCGTGGAGGAACCAAGCGGTGAGACAGGAGAGGTGAATTCAGTGACGGAAGAGCGGACCCAATCCCCGGATCCAATCCCCGTTGAAAGTGCACCCACAAATAGCAAAAGCTCCAAAAGTCGGAAATCGGCTTCGCGTGAACCTTCGCGCACCCCAACTCCATCGCGCACCCCAACTCCATCATCATCAGTTTCAACTGCGCCTTTGGTGATAACTGAAACAGTGATGGTCAAAGACTTGCCTCCTGCTGTTGAGCCGGAAATAGCGGTGGCCGATACTGATAGTGGGACACCCGTCAGTAGCAGCTCAACGTCCGGTGCACCTGGCAGCACCAGCACCATGGTGGATGTGGAGAAAGTGAGTTCTCCGTCGACATCTCCGGCGCTCGACGTGAAAAGCATTGACGTCAAGAAGCCGATCATTGAGGAGGATCGCAAGGACAAGCAGACGATCCTAGGAAGTGGGAGTGAGAAGCATGAGAAGAAGAAGCACAGGAGACAGAGCAAGGAATCCAAGAGTTCCAGGAGCCACAGGGAACATCCTGGAGACGATGACTACGGCAGCAAAAAGCGCAGGAGAACAAGTGGCTCATCCACAGGGAATCCTATGTCTAGAGACATGGGTATCTACTCTTTTGGGCAGAGAGGTGTCCTTGCACAGGGCTTGTCACCGCTGGGAGATGGGTCTCCAGGCACGAAGATTGCCACGCCCAATCCTGGTGAGTTCATGATCTCATTCCAATTTCAGTTATTTAAAGATATGTGACATGTAATCCTACTCTCATCATAATGATTTTAGCAATGTTCATGTGACTTCAACCTCTATCTGCAGCTTTGTTTCTGTAACTGTAACTTTGACTCCCAGAAGTCTGTTAATTGATTGCAGATTTATTCAAAGGCAATACACCCTTTTACGGTTACAAGAGTGGCATGCACTATATGATGTGAGCGCACAGCGCAGGCAGTGACGTAACAATACATATGCGCGTCTGAAAACATGATGGTGGCGCAATGTTTATTCGTAAATTAAAATGGCGGCCTTAACTGTGAAAAGGTGTATTGAGAGACATTCCCCATAGCAGGGAAAAGTTGAGGAAAAGTCACTTCTTGAATTGTTCGTCATATGAAACGTTAGACAGGTCAAATCAAATGTATACATTGTTGTGTTTTTATTTAAGATGAACTGGCCATACATGATGTGTTTAGTACTGCTAATCAGAGCGGACTTCTGATTGGGCCACCCAGACCAGGAGCTGGGAGGCAAAGCCAACACAATTCAACTGGGTAAGTAAGATGTAGTAGAATAGTTTTGATCAGAGCATAGTCTGATGAAAAGTTGCACTTGGTTCAAATCAATGTCAACTTGGTTTCAGTTGCAACTCTGTACTAAAGAATTGGGAGTTTGTAAGATTTCAGTTGTATAAAGGACTTGCAATTATTTGTCAAAAGTCTTTAAAAGTAAGTGCCCAAATTTTCACCAGGTGCTTGGTAAGATATTCAGATAGCAATGGTAATGGGCATATTCGACTCGGAGCTAGCTTTAATTACTCTTAAAATTTCTTCAAACAATACCACTACAATGTTTTGTCATGGTCAAATGTTTTATTATGAAAGATTAAAACTTCAAATGACACTCATTCTACACTGGCTGTAACATTTTTTAACCTTCTTGAAGTTATACAATGACCATTTGATGGTTTGTGTGTAGAGTTTTCAGTACATTTCTTGTATAGAAATACATGACTATTTCCATTTGGATAGAGGTGTTGTGGTCGAGTGGATGCTTCACTGGACTGTCGATCATAAGGTCCGCGGTTCGAGTCCCACTGCAGCACTAATGTCCTTTGGCAAGACATTGATCTACATTTGCCACTCTCCACCCAGTTGTTAAATGGGTACCCGGTAGGATGCGAAAGCCAATGTGGTGTGCTTAGCAATTTGAGCCTAGTACAATGTAGCTCTTGTTGGAACGCTCCCCAGGGAGTGGAGAAAGTGCATACATTGTGTGCGGGCAAGCCAGAATCTGATGACCGGGGTAATAATGTAAAGCGTTTATAGAAACTCGGACATTGTCGACGTATAAAGCGCTATATAAGCAAAATATTTATTATTATTTGATTATCTTATTTCAGACCTGCAATGCCAGCCACCATGGAGCAGCTACTGGAGAGACAGTGGGATCAGAGTTCAGAATTCTTAATGCAGCAGTCATCACATCTAGACAGTGAGTATCAAAGATCTTTAAAACTTTCTACTCAGACAGAAATACTACTAGGAATAGTGAGAAAGAGAGAGAGAGAGAGAGAGAGTGTGTGTGTGTGTGTGTGTGTGTGTGTGTGTGTGTGTGAGGGGGAGGGGTCGTGTATGGGGAGGGAGGAGGGATTGGAGAAAGGGGTTGTGGAACAGCTGCTAGAGAGGCAACGGGATCAGAGCTAAGAATTCTTAGTGCACCAGTCATGGCATTAAGACAGTGTTTGAAACTTTCTACTTAGAAAATGTGACTAGCAAACCAGAGAGCTAGCCCAGCATTTTTCTGATTACTTTGACCTCGCAACTATACCAGACTTACCGACAACTAGTGATTTGCCTATTACTTCACTGACTACCATAGAATTTCCTTTATTTGAGATGGTGAGTTATTGAGAACACATCTTCATAAATATTGAGTATATTGAATATAGTTGCTCTTACTTTTATTATCATTTGTAAGATAATGGAAATATTTGTTGATCGATCTATGCAAAAACATTTTGAAACCTACAAATTACTTTCTCATAAGGTGTTTAAAAGAAAATTTTGTATTGGCCTCTGCGACCGACCCCAAAATCATTGAATCTATGGTCAGCTTTTTAATAATTTGTTTGTTCTTTTTCTTCTTCAATCTGACACACTTTTATAAACTTATGTTTTGCTGTCTATCCCCTCTAATTTCATGTACAGATTTGGACAGAGTTGACGGGGTGTGGGACAGAAGACCTGAGGGTCATGGTAATTTAGTTCCCCTTTTCTTGTCCCAGGCAGCCCCGTCTGCTTTGTCAAAATCTCTTCACCTGTTTTGTATCGTGATCAGTCTGTTGTTTTATTATTTATTTTATTTATTTTATCTGTTGTATGTACTTTTTTCTTCTGAATTGCTGAATAGATAATAATAATGATAACACACTAACTTTTTTTGGAAGGGGTTCTGGATTGAACTTTTTAGACTTTGTTTCCATGAGCTTTATGTAAACTAATTTCTTGGGTCCAGACTTGGAGTTAAGAGGCCATGTGTCCTGGCCCTATTGAGCCAATCAAATGCAGCGATAGGATGGCAAGGTTAGGTTAAAAAAAGAAGTGTCCTGGGCGCCTCTTGGTGTCAAGCCCTGAATCAGGGTATGAATATGAAAATATTTGATAGCAATATCTGTTTCTCTCCTCCACCAGTTGCATCGTTACTCTCTTGCCTGCACCAGCTACGGCAAGAGAACCTCCGCCTGGAGCAGCACATCAGCACCCTGGTCCAGCGTCGGGACCACCTCCTTGCCGTCAATGCCCGTCTCTCCCTGCCCCTCACCCAGGGGGGCGCCATAGCCAATGCCATGGGGCTGGGGCTGGGGGTGGGGGCAGGAGGGGACAACAGCCCAGCAGGGTCGGCTGGCAGTGGATCCAACTCCAGGAGTCCTAGGTTCAACAATATCCTGCACAACGCACAGGGCCAGGTCAGTCACTGCTGCGTTCCGCCATAATGATAATAATATTAATACTCAGTTTTTATATAGCGCTTATTACAATCACTAAGCGCTTCCAAACTTCGAGATTACATTACGGCGCTCTAGCTTTTCAAAGAATTGATTCCTGCCAGGTACCCATTTACACCACCTGGGCTGAGTATGGCAAATGTAGATCTATGTCTTGCCAAAGGACATTAGTGCTGCGGCGGGTCTTGAACCGTGGACCTTGTTATCGACAGGGCGACTTAACCACTCGACCACGGCACTTCTACACCTCATCTAGGGCAATGAATTTCTTTACGGATCCCCTTTGTGTGTATCCCATTAATAATGTAGTCAGTGCTGCTGTAGTAATTCCTTTGGTAACATTGAATCGCTTACCGTATATCAGGGCTCGACACTGACAGGGGCTCGGGACTCATAGGGGCATGTATCAAAATTTAATCAAGACCTCTTTTCAGAAAGAGTTAGTGTGGAGCCCGGCTTATAAATACACAGCCTGTACTCTATGATTTATTCAGTGCTGACGTCATTCTTTTAGAATTACGATGCTAATGAACCCTGTACCTTTTATATGATATATTAATGGCATGATTTTTCTTTAAAGCTCTTCATTTCTGTATTGTTTGTGATGTAATTTTCAGTTTTCAGTTATCAGAAGCAAATTCAGGCTCCTGAATGGACCTTTTTTCGATCTGTCAAATCAGTGAAATATTAGAATTATTATTATTATTATTTTTTTGTTGCAAGTGTGATTTTCTTTTACTTGGACACATTTTATTTCAACCTTTATTGATAAACATTTTGTTATTGTCACCTTAATCTTCAAATGCAGGATTTAATAAGTAGCTATGGCAGCAGTCACAGCTTAAATCAATCCCTCAACCAATCATCCATCAGCCTGGGTGGTAGCCCCGCCCATGCCCAGTCCCACAGCCAATCGCCCAGCTCCTCTCTCAACCAGTCCCACCCATCCCACTCATCCCTAACCAATCACATCAGCCAGCTAACCTCCACCCCAGTCAGCAGCCTGAACCACTCTGCTGGAGGTGTTTCCCTGTCTCTCACACCCACCTCGACGGCGACCACAACCACCGCAAGCGGTAGCGTACCGCTTGGAGCCGCCGGTCATGGCGCCAGTCATAGCAGCGCACTCTTATCTGGTGCCAGGTTGCCGGTGACGGGGCTACCTCCAGGCCATCCGATGGGTACGGAAGCCATGTCTACAGGGGGGCAGCATCTGCACCCCGGTCATGGGGTCCGATCCTCCCCCAGCAGTCATCTCATGAGTGTCAATCACAGCAGATCAAGTCCAGTTCCAGGTAGGATCATGGCGCCACTTATCCTTCTCATATTTACAATGATAATAAGGCCTACAAAAAAATGATGTTGTATTGCCCTTTAGGTGCCAAAACATGGGTCGGTCGGTCGGTCGGAAATCTTCTTTTTTTTTCTTTTTTTTCTCCCTCTTTGGGCTGATATCTCTCTGTTTTGAATGCTTTAATATTTTTTTCTCTAAAACAAAAACTTTCTTCAAAAGCCGACCTTTCATTTCAAGATTTTGGGGTCGGTCGCAAATGGCAATACAACATCTTCTTTTTTGGTCCTCATATTTATGATGATAATAATAGTTGTAATAACAATGATAATTGCTATAGGCTGTTTCAATATCCATAATTCTGTTTACATATATTACAAAAAAATTGCATGGGGTTCCTGACTGACCTAAAGGTTTATGATTATCATTGCAGCATGAGCTAAATCCAGGATTTTGTTTCAGAATCTGAGACAAAGTTGCCTAATGCCTTTAACATTGTCTTGTCATTGTCTCTTGGTGCAGTGAGGACAACACCCAGCAGAGGGCAGAACCATGGAGGAGGAGGAGGAGGAGGAGGAGGAGTGGGAAGGTCGAAAGCCTCTGGAGGAAGAGTAGGAAGCGGAACAGGGGCCAGGTCATCACCGGGAACAGGGGGAAGCATCTCAGCAGGCACCCCGATCTCAAGACCTTCAGACGGGTAAGACAAGCACTAAAAACGTGTGCATTTTTATGGGATATCGTCTGCTTATACTAATTTGGTCCAGTGCGTGACGTCACAAATCCCGGCAGTGTTCGGAGAGCTCTTCAAGTGCCAAAGTGGGGCTGTATTTTACCGTTTTAAAATTGATAATAATCGTTTCTATGAATGTTTCCAAATGGGAAATTTTGATAACCTTGTTCAATTTAACCTTCCCTCATGCAATGATACAAATTAAATCAATATTTGAAATCAATGAATGTCTACTTGAACTAGTGGCAAAGTCAATATTGCCAAACTGTTCAATTTAGGAATGGTTTTTGCTAAGAGACAAGGGAATATCAGGACAATATACAGACATCTCTTATTTTAAATTTTAAATTGAAGATTCACTTTTCTGTTGTTAAACATTCTTCATTAGTACCTGTATGCAGTTCATGGTATTTGAATCTTGTTTCAATCTTGAGTCACATTGGTTTCTGTAAAAAGCTGTTATCATGATGAGTTCTGTGAATGTTGTAGAGGTGTCGTGGTCGAGTGGATACGTCACTGGACTGTCGATCACAAGGTCTGCGGTTCGAGTCCCGCCGCGGTACTAATGTCCTTTGGCAAGACATTGGTCTACCCAGGTGATGTAAATGGGTACCTGGCAGGAATTAATTCCTTGAAATGCTGGAGCGCTGTAATGGCAGCTAGGCTAAAGCCGGGGTAATAATAAATGTGCCTCAGAATAATATTTCTAGATAGAAGGCGCTATAGAAATGCCTATTATTATTGTTAATGTTGGTTCTCTCCCTAGATCTAGTGACATAGCCAGTATCATCAGGGAGAAGCAGGGGTCAGCAGCAGGGGGCAAGGATAGTGGGTCATCCTTGTCGTCATCGGCAACGGCAGGGCATGGGATGGGTATGTACCACGCCCACCAAGTCCAGCAGCAGCAGCAACAACAACAGCAGCAACAGCAGCAGCAGCAGCATATGGGGGTCAACCATGGCAGGCATCTTACACCAGTGAGTAGACCATTCAAACCCATCAAGCTTGATGGTTTATGTCGAGGGGTCAGTGACACAAAGACGTAACTCCATACTTTGCCAAAACAAGTATTTGATAACGTTCTTTATCTTTATGAGGGTTTTCTGCCCTGTTTGTCCTTATTTAGCACTATGCCCCAAATGTACAGGGTGAGAGTTTGGACAGGAATGATTCATAAGAAAATATGGTTTGCGTGAAAATGTGAAAATTGACCCCAAATGACATTTCACCTTTTAAAAAAAAAATTGTGTTGATCTAATAATATGTAATGATGCTTAAAGGTAGCGAGTTTGAAGTTCATGCCCAAAGTGTTTATTGAATTCACAAGAAAATGAGAAGAAGCGTACAGTTATGTAAATTGATCCGTGTGTAACCTTTGACCCGTGTGCTACCTTTGAACCCTGTGAGTATAAAAGACGATGCATTGTGTGTGTGTTTAACAGGAGCAGCAGCATCTTGTCTATCAGATGATGCATTCCTCCTCCTCGTCGTCCTCCTCCAAGTCTCATCATCATCACCACCACCACCAGGGAGGAGGGGGCGGGGGCGGGGCTTCTCAGCGCCACCAGGGCACCCCTTCTTCCGCCCCTCCTCCTCCAGCCAGCTCTTCTGCTCCCCCTAATGGGGACGTGGTGGCTAGGGGTCACGCTCCGACCCTGTCTAAGGTTAGCTGGCTGGGAATGAATGCCTTGCTCGATTATCGGTTCATGTCACCCTGTATATGCCAATGCATGGTCACAATCTGTATTACCTATCCACGTTTTAGTTTGAATGTTTGTGTGCCTCTCTATGTGACTGCATTGTAGGTATTGCTGTAGAGTTTGGTGGTAAGGATGGAATTTGAATGTAGGCACTGTGATTAGAGATTACGTATTCTTCATTCATCTTTCTCAACCCAGGTGTTGTAAGTGATGCCTGTTAGGAAGAAGAAAATGCTTGTAGCTACATCATGGCTGTTTGGTTAAAACGGGGGTGATGGTATGAAAAGACTCGCTACAATTACCGGGAACGTCGCCCAAATCTCGCTTGTTTCTTGCTGGTGAAGTGCATGGTATATACACGTAAACTTTTACGCTAGCATGATTTCAAAACTTGGGCAGGAGACGAGTGAGAATTTGGGAATAATTTTATGATTTTATGCGTTCATTTCAAACAAAATACATATTTTTTAAATCATAAAACATTGCTTTTCTAAAAAACATTAAAAAAAAAAAATTATTTAAAAGCCGGCCACAGATTTAAAGATTTTGGGGTCGGCTGCAAAGGGCAATACAACATTTTTTTGTGTACACCTAATAAAATGTCCTTATTTCTTGTGCATATGAAGTGCTGAAAATTTCTGTTACTGAATTGAAATTCCTGTACTAATGTACAAAATCCAGATTAACTGTAGCTTTCAACTCTTTTATGAACCCGTTGAAAACTAAGCCCAAGAAACAATATAACTCAAAGAAATTCATTGAAAATATATGATGAATGTAAATAATCTCTTAACGGGTAAAGAAAGTTGGGACAGGATGCATCCCCCCCCCCCCAACCCATTCCAAGAAATAAAAGTCAAGGACTCTTTTTTTCTTTTTTTTGTTGATGTGGCACAGTCACAAGTATTCATTTCCTGTCATGTTGCGGTGCATTTACCATTGTCTTGCAGTTTTGATTTAGTGGTGTTTTATATTCACCTTGTATGTACCTCTTGTATCAATATGCATGTGTATGAAGTTTTAGATTGTTACATGTATTTTGTAGAAGGCATGTTTCTTTAGGGAATGATGTAGTATGGTTCACGTATGTTGATGTAGTGCATTCTACATGAATGTTCTTGCATCTCTAGTACATTGCAACTTATAACTAGTGGTAAAATTACAGTTCAAGGGTTTTGGGTGCACAATATCCATTCAATATTGTTTGAATATTGCCTTCAGAGGTTTAGATGGCAATACTTCAACCTAAATTCGCAAAAAAGCAGAAATATATGCCCAAATGTTATATGCGATATCTATCCAGGCCGGATCGATATGATAATTTAACAAATTTATCAATTAGTAGGTGGTTTCCCGGCAAAATTGGTATCATCACGTAAATAGTCAAAACATATTCTTTTACATGATTGGTAATAAGAGCTTCCATATCATTTTTTGAGAGGGGGGCGTTTCCAAAACTGGTCTATACCTTTAAGTGTGCTAGGAAAAGAAAAAAAAAGAATCATAAATTGTGTACATTTACAAGTACAGGGTGCTACAAAAAAGTGTACTCTAGTCTTTATGTTTGCTTGCCTACTATAGCTAGTTGGATCTTTTGTAGAATCGCTTCAGCATGCACATTTACTCATGGTGCAAAAATTCTTCACAAATTCATGATGCTTCTTTCTACCTCTTGAAATGCGTTTAAGTCATTTTCTTTTTTAAAGTCTGCTTTGATTTAAGTCTGTTGCAAGATAATTGATCTTTCTCATAGATCAAACCGTGAAGAAGCCTCAATAAACAATGCATTGGTCATGCAGATAAAATATACAATTAACAACTAAATTATTCATAGTCTTACAAAGTTTTGTAATTTTTTTAAATATGTAAAAAAATTGATTTGTTCCGATTTGTTTTCTTCTTGACGATATGACATATTAAAGCTTAGATCTTAAAGCATCCAACAAAGGCCCTACCCGGTAATTCAACCAATCTCCCTTTCATTTTTGAGTTTAGAAAAGCAATTTTACAATGGGTATGAATGATTTCTTTGTTAACTGTAAAATGATGTGTGTAGTACTACCTGTAACAATCTTCAAATTTCACAGTTTTTCACAGAAATGTGTCACTTTTTGTTTGTTTCTTGGTTTTTGTACTTCCTGTGTGGCTATGTTAATTCTTATTTCTTTTCGTGTGGGCTATTATAAGTTTGGCAAAGTTTTTCTTAAAGGTGGATAAAATATGCATGGAGGGTGTTATTCTCCTAATTTCTATTACTGCTCTCATCACTTTCTAAAAGCTCATTGGGACTGCATCTGTGATGATATGTGCTATAGAAATAGAGTGTAATATCATTTTCATACTGATATTATTTGAATTTCTAAAACGGGCTCTAAAATTTCAGCAATCTAATTGGTCAAATGACAGCACGTGACCGTGCATCATTCTTTCCCACTACGCTTATCCTGCAAAAGTTTCCATCAAAAAGTGATAGCACATGGCTAAGAGTAATGCAAGGCCAAGATGTACCTATGCGGTATCCCTGGCCCATACAAAATGAAGTATCGATGAATAATGATGTGGCCACTGAGATGATTGTTTTACTGTTGGGCTTCACTTGTAAGATGGCATTCAATAAAGCAAATGTGAGACAATTGGCATTTTGATTTGGTTCATTGCATATTTCTTGACTATAATTAGATATATATTTCCGACCCATTTAATAAAGAAAACAATACATGTTTTGAGGCTAGTGCATTAGTTATGTGCTCCCTACTCGGTTAAGTCACAATTAGCCGGATAATAAACTCCACAATTCTTGTTCATCATCTGATTGTGACTTCTCCTGCGTTCAGTGCGTATTCACTAATGCCCTCGCAACATGAATTATTTGTATACTGTTCATTCTCACTCAAACTTATCTTCTTTTTTTTAATGTCCAGGCATCTACTGCAGGGAGAGCAGACAGGAGACCAGGGAGTAACAACGCCAAGGATAAGACCTAGCTGTCAGGCCTGAAGTCAACCCTATCAATTCACCTTGGTCCTCTACCCCCCTCCCCTCCCCCTCCTCGGCGTCACCACCGGCACCACCCCTCGCCCCCTGCCATAGTCTTTTGAAAGGGTCAGTTTTGACATGCACACACAAGTGCAGTCATAGGTTAAATCATGTAGCTCTGAATAGCTCCCTCCCATGTACAATTTCTACAGGAGGGAACTATTTGAAGCTCCATGAAACCACTGACCAATCAGGGGCAGCTTCCGCTGATGCAACTATCTCTCTCAGCGAGCTATGGTCCCTCGTCGCATCATCCTTTAGGGCCCTGACTGAAGCAGCAGCAACCCCAGCAGGCCAAGACTGGTAACATATTATATCTTCCTGACTTCTCTGTCTGTGTTTGTGTACCCACCAGCCAGTATTAGTAAAGATGCAACAAGAACAGTCTAGAGTGTCTTGGCAGCCTCTGCAGAGCAAACTAGATCCCAGTAAATGTTCTAAAACTTGATGAAATTTGAATAATCTTAATGAGAATGGATTAATTATATTTTTTTGTTTAAAAAAAAACAGAAATTGAGAAGACTTGACAATCATATAAATGTATTTCATGACACTGAACATTGAACTGTGCAATGATCTTTAATATTACACATTATCAAGAAAGTTGTTATAAAAGGTTTTGATCCTTATCTGTATTCCAGTTTAAAAGAATCACAGTAGATCCATTGATCCATAGAATCTGTGCTTGCAAGATGTGAATTTTCAGAAAGATAAATTGCTAGGTAATTGGTTCTCTTAAATTTGCAATAATAGTGACCTGTTCATAATATAGTAAATCGTGATTTAAAAATAAATAAATTGTAAGACAAAATAACTTCTGTAGCTGACCATGGCACCAAGGGGACACCATTATTCTGCATGCCCCAATTTATTAAATTTAATTAAGTTTTCAAAAAAATTTCTACATCTCTGTGTGAAACATCTGCAGTAATAATACAAGTCACTCTTTTTAATCTAAAACAAGAAATGGGTTTGGTGTAGTATCATGATCTTGGGCCTGTCAGACACTTCATACCAAGATTCAATACTTGCATCTCTGGCTGAAAAGGTGAAAGTGGTCCGCCTTATTCCTGAGGCAAGCCAGTAAAGTTTGACGCTTTGAAAGTCGATCCTTTAAAGCGGGACTGCACTACTTCTAGCTACTTGCGCCCTCTGTACAGCCAACAATGCCTAAGCGGTACCCGTTGATCCCCCATGGTTCCCTTTTTCTTATGTCAATTGAGAGCTGATTTGATGAGATAACCACCTGTAACTAGTGCAGATAGGCTTTAATGGTGAGACGTTTTAATGTCATTCATTTGAAGGTTATTCTCTTGAAATTCAATACTTTGAAGGTTGTTCCTATGAAGCTGAAAGCCTTGAAAATCAAACATTTGAAGATCAAACTTTGAAGGTCAACTCTACAAAGTTAGACCCTAGGAGGTATAACCCTTGAAAGTCAAACATTTGAAGGTCATTCCTTTGAAGGTGAAACCGTGTGATTGCTAATCATAAAATAAAAGGTCATGAATTAATTTCTTTAAGAATCCTTAAGAATTGATACATAAATTGAATGCTACAATGTTTATACCTTGTCATGCCAAAGAAAGAAAATTGATATTGAAAGCTAAAAAAGTTACTTATACATGCTGTTTTCCTTTTCTTTTTTGAATCGCTTAAACTAGAGCATGCCATATCAGCCCATTTACTTTCAATAGAGCTTTTTGCCGTGGCCAATTCAATGCAGTCTTGCAGATTCTTTAGATAACAAAATATAATTTCATTTCCAGTGAAAGTTGGAGACCTTATTAATGCTCTAAGTTTTGTGATATACAATTAATATTGAAAGTTTTTATGAAACTGGACTGGGGAATTCATTTTTTTTATTACTACATGTACATCAGTGAGTATTTTAGTAGCGTAAGCATGCTTGCAACAGTTTATCATATACATATGAATGTGTACAGTTGGGGAAAGATTTTTCCAACTGATTATGTTTTAAATGAGAAATATTTAGGCTTTGCATCGTTCTTTATTTCCCCCATTTTGCCATGTACATACTGTTTTATATTGAATGTTGAAATAGTATTGAAACTTTTTTTACTATTACCTCATAAAACATGTGCATATTGTACAGTATTGAATATTACGGTGTTATATGAATGTCTTAAATGTAAAGTAGTGTAATCAAATCTATTGCAATGTGTACAATTATTGTTTTAAGAATTCAAATCGGGTGTTAGCATTTGTGTGGTGCGCTTTGAAAACAAATGTAATTCAAATGATATCAAATGGTTGACCAATGTTTTTATACTTTTCTACTGAGCATTGTCAAATTGCTTTATGCAAGTTACAATTCTAATTTGATTTAATATGTGTAGTGTGTATAGCAATAGTTATGTGTAAGTAACAGTGAACAAATTTTGCTTCAATACTGAAATCAGGTGTACCGTAACATTAATATAAAAATTATTTTAAATTATTTTAAAATGTAAGAAAGTCAGCGATAATGATCCAAAAATTTCTGTATGTTTTGAACTTTAACATTTTCTGATGATGTCTAGATTAATTTAAATACAACAGGCAAATTAACTTCAAATCCATCAATTATTTTGTTAACAGATCAATTTTGCATTTGAAAAGTGATGAGTTTTAAATTTGTTGAGCTGCAAGGGGCAACTCACAGATTTGTTTTGCATTCCCAAAAAATTAGATTACATGCAGTTTTGGAAAATTGGAACTGGTTAAATCATAATTAATTTAAATAGACCCCCTTCCCCTTTTATTATATTAAAACAAAAAAAATTGAGTTTTCAAAATTATTGGAAATTCTAGGGAAGAGATATTTCTTGTAAATGGTGCTACATCCATTTTTTTGGAGTTGGGGGGGGGGGGCATGGAAATCAAATTTTGGTGCTGAATTAGGGGAATACTCACTTTTAAAATGCCAAGAAAAAAAAAGCACTCCTTTTCCACTTCTTTTGTTTGCTACATAATACAATGACTTCTGTGAACAAAGTGAAGAATAATTTATATAGTCAAACTTGTATGGAAATACCAAGTAAAAGAAAGATGTCTTGTTAAAGATTGCTTTTGTGGAAACAAAAATTGTGGTCTTTTTAGGCTGGTAACTTGTCTTTTATGTGCTGGTTTGACTGTGTATGTTTTCACTAGGGCAGGAAATTGACCGAGAAAGAACTTTGGCATTAACCCATTCTATTACTATTATTACTGTTATTCATAGGTAAAAAGGGTTACATGAAACTGTTACAAAAACTGTTCTACATTTATTCACTGTAAAATTTTTTACACACATTAACCAAATGAAGATGGACGACGGAATTCATAAAGTTTGCTTTAATTATGAACACACTTTTTTGTTGGGGAGAAACTTCATTTATACATCATCGGTTATTTGTTTGGTAACACGCATACGCTTCATTTATGGCATTTGGCTTGGTCATTTTACCATTGACTCATGTACCTGTTAAGTTTCATTTGGATTGATTTTGCATCATTTCTTTTCTAATGTTATAATTGTAGTACCTAAACTGTTACAGCATGCAACAAAAAAGAATGATTAAAGGCTAAGTTCACCCCCAAAATAATTTGCTTTTAATAGATGCAGAAAAGCAAGAGAAACAGAGCAAAACAAATTTGAGTAAAATCAGATAACTAATAAGGAATTAATGATTTTTGTTTAAGTATGAAAAACTATGGAACTTAGAAAATTACTACACATATTGCCAATTTGGTCATCAGTTTACGTCATTGCCTCACTATTTATCAATTGCTTTATATATTTTTATGCCATTAATTTCCCTTTTGATCCCCCAAAACTTGATTTCCCCATGCCTTTGCCCAGGTTATATGATTTGTATCATATTGGATGCATGACATTTCACAAAATCGTTTATGAACTTTGAAGAATTGATACTCTTTTCTGAATATTGTATATTCATAATCATTGATTTTTATATAATTTTTTTATCAAAATTCAAATTTTTAATGAATTGACTGACAAAAAATACTCTATATTAGTGCATCCACACAAAAATATACTACTATCACTATAACTTGGTTGCTGTTGTAAGGAAATAAGATTTTAGGGGGAAAATTGGAAATTCATGTTATAAAAATAAAGAAAACAATGAGTGAGGTAATGACTTCACAGACTCATGAGTGAGCTGCCAATTTGTCTAGTGATTTTCAAACTTTTTCATGTCATTGAAAATGTATAACTTTCTTATTAGATATCTGATTTTGCTCAAACGTTTTTTTTTAATGGTGTGACTGATTATTCTGCTTCTATTGAAAGTAACTTGTTTCTTGGGTGGACTTGCCCTTTAAGTTTGTTTGCTCTTGCAGGTTTTTCATTAGATTGTATTTATTTCAGATTCTGTATAATTTGTTCTTATTTTTCAGAGTATGTTTATTTTTGTACCTAAGCTGTGCCATGCTTGAGTGGAACTCTTCTATTTCTTCATCATTTCTGTATAGTAACAAAATTTAGCATTCCATGATTTCTGAGTGAAAAGGGTACTTCTCTATGTTCAAAGCTGTAGTTTAATGAAATGCTTCTAATCATATCACTAGAAATTTTGTTTGCCTATATGTGCATGTTCATGCTTAACCTGTAATGCCATTTGTTTGATAAAATAATCAACTTTCAATAAACCATTTTGTAATCTAGTCAAGTCAAATTGCATGCATAAATCTTTGTTAAGTGCCATGTTACAAATCATATTATTTACCTGTAACAAATTATTGTATTTCAGTAGTCCAAAATGCAAATTGCATACATTAATTGTTGCTAGGTACGACAACCACTGTGGCTTGTCCAACCTAACAACATTAAATGTATGCAATTTACATTATGACTGTTGAAATACAATTATTTGTAACAGGTGAATTAAATCATTTGTAAGGAGGCCCTTGACATAGATTTGTTCATTAAATTTGATTACGTTACGAAAATGGCCTATTGTTGTTTATCATTTCTATGTTCACATCACTGTCTGTGTTGTAATTTTAGTTTTTCTCCTCGGATAATTGCAAGCACTAAAGTGATGAGAAAAACTTAAAAGGAGTCAATTTGTTTGGGTAAAGATAGCTTCCATATGTACGTTTAAAGTTTCCACTCTCCCATGAGAAATTGAACCATAATTCTTCCTCTAATAATGAATAAAGGTTATTATTATTGTCTTACCGGTAGTTAATTTTATTATTATCTTAGGTGTTATTATTATCAATTTTTGGTATCGCACTCAAGAATTTGGGTGCATTCACCAGATTCCTGTACTATTGAAGTTTGATTTGTATATTTTTTACGTAAGAACTACATTGATGCTGCGTTTTATTTAATTATATTCAATGCCCTTTTGGCTCGAAACAGACAAAACTTTTGATCATGTATTGCTCATGTAAACCAATATTCTGCTACACAATTTTTTCATTCATACTTATATTTGTAACCATGCACCGATATAAAACATTTAGAGGAAAAAAAATACTCAATTAAAAGTCATTAATCAGTCCCTCATAATTATAGCATACCATATTTGACATCTGTAGCATGTATAAAGCCTAACAGCAAGTTGATGATTTTTAGTATTGCTTATGCGAGTTTGACCGTTTGTTATCGTTTGCTTTGCTTTTATTTCAGAATGAAAAAAGCCCCAAACATTGCTTCCAGAGGTGAACAAACTTTTTGCATATGTTGTAGAACTCCATAGGTATATGTTGCTGTAGCCATGAAGACGAAAGCATTTCATCATTAGAAAATATTTTGTGATGTCCACAAAACCACTAGGCAGCTTGTTGGTTATTATTCATTCACTGTTAGCACTTTTGGCCTTATGGGAAAAGCGCGGTATAAGTAATAATAATAATAATAATAATAATAATAATAATGCAATTATAAGTGTTGGGACAGAGAGAGTGTAATTTGATTGTAAAAGTAGGTCTTTAACAAAAAAGTAGAATGTATTTGTTGGCTTTGGCAGAGGTGACCGTTTTTGTTTCTGTTGGGTTCCTCATGACATTCTAACTCCTCAATGTCGTATAAATGCAATAGAGTTTCTCAATTTTAAGTGTGACAACATTTTGACAGATGTAGATATTCACTTTAATCAAATTTCCCCCTAGGCGTACTTAAAATTGCAGCAAACAATGAACTTTTATGAAAATGCCAATTTCAGATGGTTAAATATTTTCTTGCTACTGACATTTTAAGATACAGTTGTATTTCTTGCATTCTTTGTCTCATGTGTTTTCTAATTGCAATACTTTGTGTACACTTCATCATTGGGTCCACATGATTAAAACAAACTGAAACTGAGGGAACCAATAATTTCGGTTTGATAGACGTTTTGGTCTTTGGTCAGTTAAGCCAATTAATAATCCTATGCATATGACATTTGCTAATCTGCACGCCTCGCCTGTATTGTAAAAATAATATTGTATCGTTTGGCCAAATGTATCATGTCTTTGTTTTGGAGAGCGTTTTACCGTCACGCAAAGTGAGACTTAGTTCTCAATCATGGATGTCTTTAATGTATGCTGTAAATATCTATGTGTGTACAATGATGTGTTTGTATGTTTGTACCTTTCCATTTGTTGATCGTTGAAAATACTTGTACATTGAAATGGGTATTCAAGTGTAATTGGGTACGCTTGTGTATAGGTTCCGAGATGTATTTGGAACGTGTGATTTTTTCGTTAGCACCCTGGAAAGAGAAAATGTTACGGTTTTATACATTTAACTGGGAATAAATTATGGATCAAAATTGTATACTTCAATTCATATAGTCTGTTGTATCATGTGTTCATGGTTTCTCAAATGTTAAGCAGCTATACATTTGATTAAGAAATAAACATGAATCTTTTCCACTTTCCCTCTCTTTCTTGCCCTTTCTCCCTCTCTTTCTTGCTCTTTCTTGCTCTTTCTCCCTCTCTCTTTCTCTCGCTCCCCCTTCTCTCTCGCTCCCTTTCATCATACATCTGTACTAGTAAGTTGGAAGAGTGAAACTTACAACTCAAATAGAGGAAACTCACATGAAATAGTAACATGTTCCAGTATGAAAATACAGTCTTCTTTATTTGTTTTATTGACATTTTACCCTCTCTAAAATATTTGTTACTAATGACAATAATGAGATAAATAGGTTGTGGCAAGACTTGGAGAAAACTGTATCGAGAAACATGTAGAAGCAAAGAAAACTGATTAAGATCTAGAGCAAATACTAGGAGGTATTGTAAAGAAGTTTAATTAAAACAGACAAAAAGGTTTTTTGATCCAATTTTTTCCCCCCAGTAATGATGAAGACCCAAGCCATATGATTTTTTAAAAAAAACACTCCCAATGAAAAGAATTAAAAATATGTCCAAGGAAACTCCCAATTGTTGACACTAGCCTGGTACTTTCCTAATGGTATCCCTATCTATCCAGTTTTATGTGTATTTCCTTTTAAAATTACTGCAGTTCAAGTTGCTGTTCAAAGTCTGGTGTTCAGAGAATTTTTTCATCTTTTTCTGGCTTGCCTAAAAAAACAACCTTTCTGGTACACTATAAAGGCACTTTTAAACGACAGTTGTTAGATACAAAGCACTTGTGTTTTTTCCCTAAACAGACAGAGACATTTCTCACTGACCTTTTCATTAATGTTGGTCAAACATGCACCATCTTGTCATGCGCACTTGGAGCAGTGCATGAATATGTTTGTGAGCTAGTCAGAGTGCTCTTCTGATTACTTGCCAATTGCACATGACAAGAACAAACAAATTCAGTTCAACTACCAGTACTGGGGAGTGTTTCACAAAGACTAAGATCAACTTTAAGTTAGACTTAACTATGGCAGGCTGTTCATGCCACTGTTTGCTCTCACCATTTACTCAAATCAATCAGGGAAAATAATACATGGGGGCTCGGGGCACATTAGCCCCCAAAATGCCCAAAAGACCCCCTAAAAGTCTTAAAGGGATCCGGTAACTTTGTCTCAGATTCTGAAACAAAATTCTGGATTTAGCTCATGATGCAATGATGATTATAAACCTTTAAGGTCAGTCAGGAACCCCATGACTTTTACAAGCCGATCGCCTGTCTGATTATCAAAATATTTATGATTGGAATTACAAATTTTGAAAACCGTTCGCCTGACGGTTTTCATAACACTACAGTCTATTGGGGAAAACGAGTATGGTAAAACCGGTCACTCAAAGATTTTTACTTTTTTTGAGGCACTTCTTGATCATTTTGAAGCGCAATTTTTTTAGGGCTTCAATATTACACCATATCACAGACACTGATAACACGTAGGGCCATGTATCTCAGATTTAACATTGTTAAACGATCCCTTTAAAAGAGCCCCCAAATTTTGCATAGAGTTCAATGCAAAAAAAATTAAAGAGTGTTATACAACACCTACGTGGATCCTTGTCATTGATTGGAGGATTTTTGGTCACATGATATTCAATAGATGTTATATTGTACGGTCGTGCATTTTTGGTCATATGCGTCATGCATTTTTGGTTATATGCAGACTGCGTACCTCTCAGTGCCATAGTTAATTCAAAATTAAAGTCGATCTTAGTCTTTGTGAAACACCCCCCTGATTGTGCAGAAGCTGTTTAGTAATTTCTCCAAGATTATAAAATTGCAGCCCCTCCAGCCCTCCCTCTTCCTCCACCCCTGACTTTTGTGTCTATGTTAGTGATACAGAGTACAGGAACTACTTGCTAAAATATTATTTATTGCAAAAAGCCATAACCCCCCAAAATATAGCAAAACAAATGAAGAGCTTAATTCCAAAAGGAGCTAAATTCACTTTTCGTGAAAATTGAGTTGTTTCAATCAGAACATTGTTCACTTAAGCAGCCAACAAAATTATTTACCTAAATTTTGGGAGCAATTATGAAAAAATTCACCTTCTAATGTCACTTTTCCATAGACGCCTGTACAAAATCTAATTTCTTTTTTCTCTGAAGTTACAAAAATGGATTTAGCTCCTTTCGGAATAACGGTAAACTCTTCAAACAATAACAACAGAAAAATAAAATGTACAGTTAATGAGATTTGTCATGCATTCGAAGCAACCATCATCATCTTTCGGCTGAAGGTGTTTGTTGTTTTCTCCTTTTAACAACCTCCACAAGTTCCTTGTAGCGGATTATACACTCCTCCTGTGGTTTGAGATGGGTAAAGATGCAAAGGAAGATATGAATTAGGGACAAAATATTGCTGGCTAGCATATTGTCAATAATGGCTGCCCCATTCGACTGACAATGACATAAACATTTATGACTATAAATATTTCCATATCTGGTCTCCCTTAAGTGAAAAGAATAATGAAACTGAAGCTGGATCATGCAATTCATGATCACAAATCTACAGAATTTACATTTTTTGATAGTTCACTATTGAAGGAGAAATATTATCTAAAGATCATAATTGAGAGACCAGTGGTATGAATGGCATGCCATAGTTAAGTCCAACTTAAAGATAAAGACCAGTTATGGTCATGCGATTGCATTGTGAAAGAAATGTTGTGAAATCGATCAGAAAAGGTTGATCATCTAGCATATAAGTATTGCTGTGTACTGCAAGGTTCTGGAATCATCAAAATGATAATAAATTTGGCCCAGTCTTTGTAAAGTTACAAGCACTGTACACAGAAAGATGTATTGCGTTTATCTCTCACAGTCCAATAGATAAACTAATTTACCAAATATATCAATTAGTAGGCGGTTTCCTGGCAAAATTTTTATCATCATGTATTAGTCAAAACATATGCTTTCACATGATTGGTAATAAAGAGCTTCCATTTCATTTTTGGAAATTGGGACGTTTCCAATACTGGTCTTTACCTTTAAAGTCAATCTTTGTCTTTGGGTAACACCCCCCAGGGCCCTACTTCATAAATCATATTATCAATAATAACTGCCACAGATCTATGATGAAGCCGGTCATACCCCATCAATGAATTCAGAAGCTCTTACCATTTCTTGTAACTTGATATCAATAACAATTTATATAGCATAAGTCTTTGTAGGTTTATATAGTTGGGCTAGAATCTCATTGGTTTTAAAGACCATCTGCACTAGTTTGGCCAGGAGGATAAGACCTCCCTGCAAGGTCACTGACAGGTGGTTATCTCATCAAATTAGCTCTCAATTAACATAAGAGAAAGAGAACCATGGGGGGAAAAAGAGGACCATGGGGGACCAACAGGCATTGTTTGCTATATAGAGGGCGCAAGTAGCCATAAGTAGTGCAGTCCCGCATTAATACTAGCCTTTGTTTTGCCCGGTACACTGTCTGCAATCTTGTCCCATCTATCGTCCACACTTCTGGGGTAGACCTGCATGGCTTTCTCTAAGACCTTCTGCTGGCGCTGAGACCATGCACAGCTCTCATTGACAAGGTCATCTGCACATAGAAATGCAGGTAATGAAAATAGTGATGATGAAATACAAATGATCGCGGTATTCATGATAATTTTATATTAAAATGTAATGCTTCCTGCGAGAAAATTCAATTGTTTAAACATATTTGTGGCTTACACCCAGTAAATAAGATCGATTGATCGATCTGTAATTGAAAAACAAGTCAGAAAAAATCTTGAACTAGAAAGGGGCGTTGTGGCGTTCGCCTGTAATCCAGCTAAAAATGGAAGTTACAAACTGATTCAGCCGAGGACGCAGGTTCGAAACTGAGTCTCGTCTTTCGGATGGTGACATTAAAGGTCGGTCCCCAGACGTAAATAATCATATCTGAATCAGTTCTTGTTTAACTCTTTATGCGCCACTTAAAAAAACCCCCTGTGCCACATTCTTTTAGGGTCACACATTTCGAGGGAATCTTTATTGACTCTGCTGAATCAAGAGGCTATAACTCTTCACTGGATGATCATGATGAAAAATATTGTGCAGCAAAGTTGTAGACCGGAAAACGTGCTTTTCGATGAACCGTCATTTGTTATATTTTGAATTATCATTTTTATAATAATCATAATTATATAATGTTTAATTTTTCTTATTTACGGCAGTTTTTTATCCCTCTAGAATTTCTTATTTAGCAATGATAAGACATCTTCAAATCGAATCTATTAGAAAGGTGGACTTCTTACCTTTCTTTACATACCTTGCTCAAGTATTCTAACAATTCAGAAGGTTAGTATTTAGGTTGTTGAAGAAAAGAAGTTCAATAGGGAGAGACTTGAAAGTACCCCGCTCAGCCACCCTTGACAATGGGCTAATCTGCCCATTGAAATCCCTATTACCCCAGGTTATTGTCAATGTCCGGTTTAGCGGGGCATGAAAAGGGACGTCGTGGGGATGTTTTTCTTTGTTGTGCCATGATAAGTCAATAAGAAATAAGAGAATGTTATTGATTTTGCCCACTGGTATGAGCATGTAAAAATGGTATAGGCATAATATATTATATGTGATATACATGACATAATCAGCATCTTATTGAAATGTCTCATTATGAATGTTCACCGCATCTGTTCTCTCACCTTCTTTACCCCTCAATAAAATTGATTTCAAGTACATTTATCACAGCCATAGATATACAAAGAAAGAATGAATCAATCTTAAAATATAAACTATATTGCATTGTTTTCCATTTACTTTATTGTGAGAGAGCTTATTATCAGAAATGATTGACGAGTGGAGTATGCAATGAATAAAATATGGAGAACGGACGTGAGAGACATTATGAGAGAGAAATAGTGATATGAAATGAAAGGACTTTACTGTGAATAAAGATTATAAGAGAAAGAGATAAAGATGACGGCAAGACAGGATACATATTGATACGAAAATAACAATAATAATGAGATAGAGATGACGGAAAGAAAGAGAGTAAACACTGATAGCATAAGAATGAATAAAGATAATAAGAGAAAGATATAGAGATGACGGCAAGACATAGGGTACATATAGATAGGAAAATGATAATAATAATAAGATAGAGATGACGGAAAGAAAGAGAGTAAACACTGATAGCATAAGAATGAATAAAGATAATAAGAGAAAGATATAGAGATGACGGCAAGACATAGGGTACATATAGATAGGAAAATGATAATAATAAAAAGATAGAGATGACGGAAAGAAAGAGAGTAAACACTGATAGCACAAGAATGAATAAAGATAATAAGAGAAATATATAGAGATGACGGCAAGACATAGGATACATATTGATAGGAAAATAATAATAATAATAAGATAGAGATGACGGCAAGAAAGAGAGTAAACACTGATAGCATAAGAATGAATAAAGATAATAAGAGAAAGATATACAGATGACGGCAAGACATAGGGTACATATAGATAGGAAAATGATAATAATAATAAGATAGAGATGACGGCAAGAAAGAGAGTAAACACTGATAGCATAAGAATGAATAAAGATAATAAGAGAAAGATATAGAGATGACGGCAAGACATAGGGTACATAATTATAGATAGGAAAATGATAATAATAATAAGATAGAGATGACGGAAAGAAAGAGAGTAAACACTGATAGCATAAGAATGAATAAAGATAATAAGAGAAAGATATAGAGATGACGGCAAGACATAGGGTACATATAGATAGGAAAATGATAATAATAATGAGATAGAGATGACGGCAAGAAAGAGAGTATTACACTCATAGCATAATAATGAATAAAGATAATAAGAAAAAGATATACAGATGACGGCAAGACATAGGGTACATATAGATAGGAAAATGATAATAATAATAAGATAGAGATGACGGAAAGAAAGAGAGTAAACACTGATAGCATAAGAATGAATAAAGATAATAAAAGAAAGATATAAAGATGACGGCAAGACAGGATACATCTTTCTTTCATTAGTTTTATTCATTCTTATTCTATCACTGTCTACTCTCTTTCTTGCTGTCATCTCTAGCTCTTTCATTAATTTTTATTCATTCTTATTCTATCAGTCTACTCTCTTTCTTGCTGTCATCTCTATCTCTTTCTTTCATTATTTTTATTCATTCTTATTCTATCACTGTCTACTCTCTTTCTTGCTGTCATCTCTATCTCCTTCTTTCATTTTTTTTATTCATTCTTATTCTATCAGTCTACTCTCTTTCTTGCTGTCATCTCTAGCTCTTTCATTAATTTTTATTCATTCTTATTCTATCAGTCTACTCTCAGGGAACACTTTTATCACTAGAGTCTTCGTCACTGCTCGATTCGTCGGAATCAGAGTCCATGCTCCATGCTTCCATAGTAACAAGATCTCGAGCCTCCTCTACACTAAACACACGTTGACGTTTTCCAGCAGGTGCCATCGTAACATCAGTAAAAAAAATCCAAAGAAAACCGCTAAATACACGGTAATTTCGAATGTAACACTATGAAGAAAAACAGTTTACCGGAAAGTGTGCGATGTATACAATGTAAACAATAGTAAACGCAACGCGTGGCTACACACTGCGAGCGGTATTATGAATGTCTAATTGACTCGTATACATCTGTGCAAAAATGCGAAGTTGGCACGCCTACGTCCGTGCAAATCGGCGAACAAAGCAAACAAAGAGTTAAACAAATGATGTGCACTGAGTAGATTTTCTGTACAATGTTCTGCCTGTGGTGTGTGTTGGTGTTTCTGTGTGCCTGTGAATGAATGAGGGTGGGTGTATGTTTGTTTTGATAAGTTTTACAATATTTGTTATAATAATTTGCTTGTATGTTTATTTTTGTACAGGGCCCCATTCTCACAAGCTTTGCTTTTCTTGGGGTTCTTCCGATTTTGCTGTTAATTTGTTATGTATTTTATTTTGAATTTTAATGGAAAATAAATGAAATGAAATGAAATGATTGATACACATCTGTAAAAACCCAATTACACACACACACACTCTCAGAACCAGCCATCTACTGCTTGCCAGGCTGCGGCTCTACCACCAGGCCATCACTGGTCCATGGCAATGTCATGATGAACTAGAAACAGCCGCCCAAACTCTCCTGATTCCTTCTAACTTATTAATATTAATTAGTCTGCCATAGGACAATAACTTTTATAAATTAAGAAATTCAAGTCCCGCTGGTTCCAGGATTTTTTCTGACTTGTTTTTCAATTACAGATCTTATTTACTGGGTGCAAGCCACAAATACTGATTTGATTTGATTTGATTTGATTTGATTTGATTTGATTTGATTTATTTTCCACTCAAATATCCACAAATTAAATAACATATATAAACCATACAGTAATACAATATATAATAGAACAAATGAATTATACAAGTAACGAAATACTGACAAGTATGTTCGTAATCAAATAAGTTTACAAAGTATTCAGTATACTCACCCACTTCTTTGTTTTGTAAGACTCGATTACTGACACTTGTATCACTTTGGTCACTACTTTGTTTTTCAGAGGCAATCATAAGAGTTCTATCTTTTGATCTGACAGGTTTGGTCGATCTGTTCTTTTTAGATCCAGCCTCTTCCCAATCCACCTCGTCAATTGAATTGGTGATTACGCCATCCGTTATCAGTCCCAAACCAGTTCTTTTGCTCGATATCGTGTGTTTAATACCCCCTGTGATGCCTGCAAAATGTCACAAAATTGTCAAATAGGTTTTGAGGGTTGATTGTATTAAAGAGAATACATTCACAAAGAAGTACATGCAGCTAATAATGAATGTTCAAGATTACAATTAATGATGCATATCTGTGATATGATTGTTGTACAAAATGTAGCTGATCAATCAGAAAATACTAAAGGGATAGTTGAGTACTTGAACCGCGGACCTTCTGATTCACAGTCCGGTTACATAGCGACTCGACCACGACACCTCTACAATCTCATTATCAGAACTCAAGATGCTCTAGCTCTTTGTGGATCAAGTTGACAAGCAAAATGCTTCCCTGTGGGTATCTAAGTATGTCTATGAATGATTCGATTGAAGCAATTAAAGCATGATATACAATTCAGGGGGCGTTTCACAAAGCTTGTCATCAGTGGTAAATGACCGTTTTTGTTATAAGCTCCTGAAATCCTTGCTTCTGATTGGTTATCAGCAGAGTTGTCACTGATTTTTGTCGTTTGTCACTGGAAAAAGGCTTTGTGAAATGCCCTCCTGATCTAAAACAGTGTGTTACCTTGTGCAGCAGCATCAACATTTGTTGCAAATTTTTGACTTTTCAACTGTTTTGCTTTCTTGGTCACCTGCATGAAAAGAAGGTTTGAAAAAAATACAAATCCTTTTAATAATTCAGACATCACACCTTTGACCTGAAAAGGAAACAATTTATTCCACGTACCATTGATTTTCTTTGTTTTAAACCAAAATAGTAAAGGCAGAATGTAAAATTAAGTCTAAACAATGAGGTCTGGTTAGGGACAAGATATTACAGACACTGTCAGAAGTTTAAAAAAATGTAATATAATATAGTGCTTATAAGCCATGGAATATAATATTAATAATATACTACTTTAGTGACTGTCAGAGGATTAACAGCACTCTGAAAACTTGAAAACTAATATTTTGATGACATCATGTTATGTGGAGTACCCGTATTCACAATGAAAGTATTTGTTATTCCATTGTATTTGAATTCTACGTTCATTCAGCTTTCATTCAAATAAAGTTGTACTTTCATCGGATAGGGTCTTTAAAGATCACAAATTTCTTGAACTTAAACATTTTATGAGAGGTACCAGTAGGGCTCTGAAGAAAAAAATATGCTACATATGCAGATTCCTCAATTTCCTATCTAAAATAGAGAAAGTTTAAAGGAAGCAGAGATACAAGGATAGATGGATGAAGATAACAAAAAACAAGGTTTCTGATACATGCCAGGGGGGTGTTTCACAAAGATCCTAAGTCGAACTTAACTCTAAGTTGGACTTCAATATTATGAAGAGCCATTTGTAGCCTTAAAATATAATATATTCAAAAGCAAACATTCAAGTATTTTTAGACTTTTCATGAATTCCACATCAAGAACATGAAATCTCCTATGTGATAATAGAAAATATGAATGATTTGAATCAACCTATTCAGCCTTTTAAAATAACTTTTACAAAACATTTTCAAAGATGCTAATGGCTTTTCATAACATTTAAGCCCAACTTAGATTTAAGTTCGACTTAGAATCTTTGTGAAACACCCCCCAGATAGAAGGGCAAAGTTTACTGCTCACCACATCAACTGGTTTCTTGATTTCCTCCGCTATTCTGGTCCACCTATCAGTTGTTCCTCCAGGATATTTAGACATAATTTTCACTAGACTGGACACTTCTGAAGCCGTCCATTCAAAGCTTGTCTATGAAAACAAAATAAAGGTGTCAAATTTTTAAATAATGATATTCAGTTCTTGTATAGCGCATATCAAATTGTTATAATGTCCCTATGCGATACCAAAGAGCTTTGAAAAATATTACCCTAGCTTTAATGCAATAGGTTTTATTAAAAGTAATGCTCAGGAAGAAATACTACATTTTTTACCATGTTTTGGAGTTTGTATTTAAAGCTTCTCAGGTATACTACTTGGTTTTAATCATTTAGCCTGAAGAGTCGAACACATGCTGGATTCCAATGCATTCTATAAAGCCTGATTACAGCTTGGAAAGAGAGAAGAAACAAGGATTGAAATCAGGCAAAACAAGAAAACTTGTATTACTGGCATTTAAAGAGGTATTTGAACAAGCAAAGGTGGTTCTTCTATTTTCTTCTATGTACATGTACATTGTAAACAAAAAACACACCCAAACTGTTTACTTGACTTAGTGATTACCATGTCGCTTCGTGGGACTTTAGGAGTGCTTTTTATTTCTCATTTTAATGGGTAAAAAAAAATGTATTCAACGATATAATAATTAACTTGGGGTAAGAGGCGCGATAGCTCAGTCGGTAGAGCAGTGGTCTTGTAATCCGGCGACCGGGGTTGGAAACCAAGTCGATGCGCTAGTGCCTTTTGGTAAGGTATTAATTCTTATTACCAGGTCCCTCAAAGAGGACCTAAAGCAGTCGGTATTCTGGTTGCTTTACTAACAAGCATTTATGCTTTCTCAGCAGTCAGGTGAAATAACCACCACTATCTATCTATGACTAGTGTATAACTTACTTTAGTTTTATCAGAGTCGCTTGCACCACTTGCTCCAAGACCTCCATTCATCCTGGCTGCCTCTCCGGCAGTCGTCATCGTCACAGAGGCACTGGCCGAGCGATCGTAATCTAACATCGCCGGATCCAACCTCTGTTTCTCCCTGGGGCCCTGCTCCTTCCTCCTGCTACTCTCCTCTCCCTCTTCATCCCCTTCATCAAGCTCCTCCTCCTCCTCCTTTGCTTTCCTTCTGGCTCTCCAGTACTCCAGGACGCTCCTGTAGGTTCCTGGAAGGCTACGGATGGTTCCTATGGTCAGACAGGCCAGCCTCCAGGGGAGGATGTCGGCAAGCTTAGGCTTCTGGATCAGGTTGGGATCCTGTAGGAGAATCTCTGTGATCTGTTCGGTTGCGGCCTGGTTGGCAGCTTGTTGTTTGGCCTTCTTGCCCTTCTTCTCTTTCTTGGGCTTGATCAATGCTTCCTGGAAAAATAATAGAGAAATCTATTTTAAGGACAAAACTCACACTTAATCCCTTGATTACAATGTGATTTTGGTGCAACATGCATTTTATACACAGATTCCAGTCCACTATCGGTATTTCAGACTAATTATTCATGAGAATATAAATCCTACAAGATTTACAAAGTTTATGCTGCTGCCAAATGTACACTGGTATAGTCTAGTGCTTCTAGCATGACGAGTGGTGAGAGCTAAAACTACATGTAGACTTAATTGCCTACTCAGATTGAATTATTAGAATGTAAAATATGACTGAAGATTACAATGCACACTTCTTCTGGAAAATGCATATTTGGGGAGCACTTCAAAAAATTATTTAATTTTGTCATTTTTTTCCAAGTTCACTGAGAGCTTTCCAAAGCTGTCCTTTCTCCATTACTTTTGTTCCCTGCTGAAAGTCGCTATTTGTTTTCTTCCTACAAAATATGTAAAAGAAACTCACTATTTCCAGCATCCTTTCAAAGTACATTGACCAGATGACCAGGTAATGGCCCACAGACAGGATGACAGAGAGTAAGAGGCTGAGTTCAAGGAGTCCCATCTTACGGACTCTTCTGTAGTAGAACACCGGCTGTCTCCAGTCGGGTAGGCCATGCTCCACAATCTCATCATACCTACACATGTCAAGCACACCATCAGGGCATTAATAATGTACAGGTGACTGATCATTCAAATACTCAAATCTGTAATTACTCATTAAAGGTATAAACCAGTTTTGGAAATGCCCCCCTCTCAAATGAAATAGAAGCTCTTATTACCAATCATGGGAAAGAATATGTTTTGACTAATACTCAATGTTACAAATTTTGCCGGGAAACCGTCTACTTATTGATATATTTGGGAAATTATCATATCGATCCAGCCTGGATAGATAACGCGAATGCACTTCAACATTGAACATTTGGGCATATATTTCTGCTTTTTTGTGAATTTAGGTTGAAGTATTGCCATCTAAACCTCTGAAGGCAATATTTGAACAATATTGAATGGATATTTTGCACCCAAAACCCATAAACCGCAATTTTACCACTACCGGTCTTTACCTTTAAAGCAATTGTTCAATGACGACATCATCTGTTTGGAGGAAGAAGGGTGTTAATTAACTCGCATGCTATAGAGTTAACACCCTTCTGGCTCCGAACAGACAATATCATTCTCTTACCTGCCCAAAATGAATAAGCTTCGAAGGTAAAACTAAGAATTCAGTATATTTTACATGCTTCTACACAGATTATGTGAGAAAAAGAGAAAATTAAGGTCCATATTAAGCATTAATTTAACTTCCATAACATAAAAAAAGATTTGGGACCATCTGTGCTATAAAAATTATAAGTGATTGTGACCCTATGGTATAAACTCCTGGTATACCAGTAACTGATTGGAGGTATCACAGTAGCAGCCACACAGTCTAACAAAATAACTAATTTGCTTCTTTGAAGGAAAATAGTATGATGAATTTCATTTTAACAGTCTTCTTTTGAATGTCTAATTTTTATCGCCCTTGATTTGAGAAAGATTCATAACGTGCTTTTAACTGCTATGTAACATTCCAACAGTTACATAAAACATTGTTATGAAACTCACCTCTTTCTGGTGTCTTCGTCTTTGAGAATTTCTGCTACTGCCACCAACTAAAAAAAAATCAGTAGAGACAAACATAAATAAGACATCAAAAAAAGTGTTGACTATGTTAATACATTGACTCTCCTGAAGGGTTTAGCTTAGTAGCCTTAGCAGAATTAAAACCTTCAATTTTTTCTTTACCAGGTAGCTAATTATTATACACTTGGATCAAGAGAGGTGGCTTGAGATGAACTGCCTTGTCTAAGAGCATTAAGCACCACGGTATGATTCAAAACTCTGGAGCTTGTTGTTGAAAGATGATTGTTATGAAAAACTTTGTATATAAGGGAGTTTACAGATAGCACATGGTACAAATGACCCCAAATATCCACAGATCTTCTACACATGGAGAAGTTCCACTTTGAACATCTTAGAATAATAACTGCCAAAGTCATTTATGTGCTTCATGAATACCTTTTGTTTGACCTCTTGAAAAGAATACTTCCACCTGCGTATCATAGAATGTACCATTGGTGCATAAATGAGTAACTTTCATGAGCGCATATCCAGTATTCATCTCTGTGGGTTTCACCATTTTGGTACAAATGACCTTTATCTGCCCATGCGCAGATTGTATCTGTGAACTGGCTTATTATGGTGCGAAGATGTTACTGTAGACAGCACTTTAAACTAGAGGCAACTATTTGAAAGTCATCCAATTCTACAGAAACATTCACAATTTGGACAGAGGTACTGTAAGTAAATTGAAATTCATGGAATAATACAAGCTAAAATGACTTTGAATGAAGTGACTTTAAGCTAGCTTGAATATAAGAATCCTATGTGTGAAATAGTCCACTTTTGATTGGGAATGATAGTAAAAAAATAACTACATGTACCTGTCTGAATTTTTCTTCCGCATTTTCTTCTTTGTTCTTATCAGGATGCAGCTGGAGACTGAGCCGTCTGTAAGCTCTACGAACGTCTGACTGACTAGCACTCTGGAAGAAAAAAAAAGGAGAAGCAATAACGAATTTCAATCCTTAACAAGCCGTGAAGTTTACAAACATAATTAAGGCACCAATGAGCTTTCGCACCGGGCATGCTTCAATCCGCCACACTTTAGTTGTGTGTAGTCTGGAGTGCGAATAAAGCACTCCAAGAGGTGGTGCGAGCGCTACATAATCATCTAAAATAAAGAATCATAGTATAAATTTCAAAGTGTCCACACACACGAATCTTCATATAAATAATCATCTTAAATTCAAGGATGTCCATGAACAGAAGAAAGTAATCCTGAAACTCTACAGTCTGGCCTCCTTTCGCTCGAGGTCACGTTAAGCCCCGCCCAGTTAGTTACACTAGTTACACTCCCCCTGTCCACACACAACATTTTCTGATTAGGCGTGATTCTTTATTGAGTTTCAGTTCGAAACGATGCCCAAACCTGCGTTTCGTTAGACGCGTTTCGTTATACGACGTATCGTTAGTGAGCGTCCACACACACAATTTCATCGTAAAACTATCGCGAAACGGTATCACTATCGGGAAACGGTATAGCTAATCACGGAAAATGTTGTGTGTGGACGGGGGTAAGTCTAGTTCACAGTTCTAAGGTAGTTTGTAAGAAGAGAGACACTATATCGAGGTTTGGTTGCCCCTTTCTGTAATATATACCGTACTACTGAGAAGGGAAGTTGGACTTGGGCTGACGAAGGTTCATGTCCAATGAACTTTGACCTGAACATGACCCTTGGAAGTGGGCAATTAAAGTTAAAAACTGCCTCTTGTTGATATTAGGATGAAGAATCCATTTTCCCCTCCATAGATTTCTTCTCCTACTACCTTTTTTTTTTACCCCTGCCCTCTGACAAACTGTAACTTAAACTTAATACTATTACTAGATCTAAAGTCTCACAACTCTTCCTTCAGAAACAAGAGTGCTTGACCTTCCTTCCCCTTCCTTCCCCCCTCTTTCTTTCTCTTTTTCTTTCTTCATTCCTCTACTTCAGTTCTACCTAGGCTAGTACCTTTCTCTTTTTCTCTTTCAAACCAAAAAATAACCTACCGTATTTGCCGGCGTAAAGGCCGCAGTATTTTTGTAAGAGAAAATATCAAAAAGTCGGGGTGCGGCCTATGCGGCGAAAGAGTAAAAAAAACAAAAAACTTGCAAGTCCAAACCAGGAAACACAGCACAAATTTGTACATATGGGACAACAATGAAAGGTGATGGACATTTCTAGAATATTTATCTAGAATAACACATGTCTTACCCAAGGCGCACCCCCGAAATTCTAAAAATATCTTGGTCAAAACAGCGATTTAAATGTTTGCATCCTAGCTCCAAAATTTGCCACTTTCCTGAGCTGCGCCCCCCGGGCTTACATGTATGTCCAAGCTAGACGTAAGGAAAATATGTATGCACTTATTTTTTCGCTAGCCCCAAGAGATCACTCGCCCCAACAGTTTAAAAATACCCTTCCCACATTTTTGGAATCAGTTAACAAGGGAGGCTCCGCGATATTGCCATTGACTGTAACGTGTATTCACTTCCGGGGTTTATCTTGCGAACGGCTTTCCATACTTTCAGATGTTACGCGATGTAACCATGGTTTGGACTGAGCGGAGCGCACGCCCCCTAATTAGTTGATCCACCAAATAGCGAGAAGGGTATTTTTAAACTGTTATCAGTTGTGATCCCTGGGGGCTAGCAAAAATATAAGCACATAGAATTGTTCCTTAGGACTGGGACTACTTATCGATCGGGGCGTCATATCTCAAAAGTGACAAACCTCAGAGTTAGCCAGGACACAATGTTTAAATTGCTGTTTTGACCAAGATATTTTTAGAATTTCGGGGGCTATGCCCCTTTGGAAATATTGGAATTCACCTGCTCTTTCATATGACACCTCATTCATTGATTATCACTTTCAGGATCACCACAGATAAAGGTTTGAATCTCGAATTGAAAAAAAAAAATTGACTTTTTTTTGCATGGTCGCGCAATGCACGTAGACTGCATAGGGATGCGTGTAATCTCTATGGGAAGAATTTTAGCACACAACATCGGGTGCGCGATCAGACACCCTACTATTATGAGCGATAAATCCTTGGGAAGACAGACAACCCATCAAAGACAAAGTAGACGGTGAAACAGATTATTTTCTAAAGCAGTATCCATTTTTCTCATCGACAGCGGGCGGTTCTGTAACCCAATCTGCAGAGCGCCGATGAAAAAAACGTCCGCAAAAATGCGGATCCTCATTTTTGAGGATGCATTTTGTCCGCGTCTATGTAATGAAATTTCAAAAAATACCAGCATAATGGCGATCTAGCAGTGCTTGATTATTACCAATGCCAGTTGAGATTGCCATGACGTGATAAGCACGTCATGGCATATGGCGATCTCAACTGGCAAACCGCACGTTAGCACGCTAACATTTACATTTAGCATTCCACATCACAACCATCAGAACATCCCAGTGTCGCACAGCATGTATTTCATCTATAAACAGCACATTCACCGGAAACAGAGGTCAGCGCCATTGATATGTAGAGCGGCCATTCTCACGCTGTCATGTGTCTTCTTCCCCAGCTCCATCATTCTGGTAAGAAAATTGCCCTTATTTCCTTATTTTTTCCTCCGATTTTGATAATCCGGAGTTAATTACGATTAAAAAACACGTACAATTTATCAAAGCCACTGTCCAATGTTGGTCGGGTGGGGGAAAGTGTGATTTTGGACCACTTTTGAGTTTTGTTTACATGCCTCTCCGTGCAGTGGTATGGGAGCCGTTTAAGGCTCTCTGGAATACAATAATTATAAAAAAAAACATTTCCAGAGAGCAGGCTAGTTATGATGACTGAGGACGATCCTCCTTCTCGGACCAGCGCCCCTCCTGAAAATTACGCAGTTTCTTCATCAACCTTCAACAATACCCTTGAATACCTTGAATACCAAAGCTTCTGGAAGAAAGCCGTCTCCAGCTGCCAAGCTTCCAGGTCTAACTTCAGTCACTTGAATACACAGCCAGGATTAGTAATGCTGGTACTAGACCGAAAGCTTCAGTCTCTCTAATCGTCGGTTGTTCCACTGAGACTACGTCTGGCTCCACTAGACCTCCGATTAGAGAGACTGAAGTCTGGGGACCTCTTTCTGTGAGGCACTGTACGGAACAAATGGTTCGGTTCGACCGGACCGCGATGAATGAGATATGCAACGAGATTTTCACTCTTTACATCCTCATAACTGCTGCAATTATAACACAAATTAAAAATAACATATATATAGCCAATTTGACTTACGATAGCTTGCTCATTTAGATCCTAAATTAATGATTAATCCGAGAAAGTCTCGTCAACATTATCCGTCTTGGTGTTAGTTGATGAATATTCATTTTTTCTTTTCGAACGTCCAATAGCTACCGTAGCTACGTACGAGTAAGCCCAGCTTGACCAACGAACTCCCACGAAACGAGTGCTCTGATTGGCCATTTGGCTATGTTTTTGTAGGTTGACCCGGAAATATTTTGGCCGCCGGGTCATATAGATCTAGCCCTATGTTCCGAGTGCATGAACGTTCGGAGATACAAATTGGATAATTCATATAGACTCTAGGTCTAGATTTAAGTAAGTCCGTAAATTATCCATTTAATATTGAGTTATCAAATTTTGATAACTGTAATTAGGACAAATGACATAGATCTACCGACCTAATTTACATCTGATTTAGAAATCAGGAAATTAGATCTAGATCTAGAGTTGTGGCTCTGGTCTGCGGCCGATCGGCGGGAACTGCCGATTCTATTTTTATTGGAATACTCACAGAATACTTCAATACCCTCAATAAAGAGTCCATATACTTACTTATTAAATAGAAGTCACAAATAACCTAACTGACCCACAGCGTGGTCAGCATTGACCACGTTTCGAAATGCTTCGAGTTCCCCGGTTTGCGGGCACGCATTACCGGTTTGCGGCACGCGTACGTCACAAAGCTTTATGCGCTACGTCACGATGAAAGCATGTACCAAATTACTACGGGTAACCCAAATTCTCACGTTTATCTGTTGCTACGGTAAATTTGTCAAGTTTTAAACAATTTCACCTTGTCCTCGAATGGATCATCCCATCCGGGGGTAAGTACTACTAGAAACTATCGGGTCATAGCGGGTACACACATCAGCACACATACCATCATACACGATCCCGCATGTTATGTGTGTATTAACACCCCCCGCCGCAAACCAGAAAAAACACGTAATTACGTGCCGGTTTGCGGCCACCCCATGCAACTGGCCATGCGGTGGCACAATCAAAATATCTGCGATAGGAGACAGACCACAGCCATCATACTTCAACAAAAACATCAAATTTCACCTCCAATCGGACAAATATCGGACAAATAGAGCTACAATATTGATCTAGTCATGCCTCGATCTCTTAACTTAAAAGTTAGCACCTGCTGGAATTTTCATCGGCGACTGGTGCCGTAGATTTCCGACATCGCTGACGGATACTCCGTACCGACAGGAGCACCTGCTACGGACGTTTTCGGCAAAGCAGAACTTACCGTGGAATCCACGGTAGGTTTCAATGATTATTATCGAGTCATATTCATTTTATTTTTAAAACAAATACCCCTGGCCGCAAACCGGGCGATGCCGCAAACCGGAGACTCTACTCTAGATCTAGAGAAAATCTAAATAGATAGAATAGATCTAAAATAGATCTATTCTTTCTTTAGATCTATTCTATTCTTTCTTTAGATCTAGATCTATTCTTTCTTTAGATCTATTCTATTTCTTTAGAATAGATCTAAAGAAAATCGGGAAGAAAATGTCGTGAACGAAAAGATGTTCATAGCCATCCCCACGGTACGAGATCTCTGGGTTACCATCTGTATTGGGGAATGACAACAAATGTCAGGTTTATTAAAGTAGGGAGGCCAATGCCCGGGCGTAAGGCTTCTACACCTACGATTTGTGCGCTCGTTGCCCACTTCAAAAAATTAGCAAAGGGAAAAAAATGATGTAAAAATAAAAATTGAAGAAAATATGAAAAGAAAATACAATTATACATTTCACAACATACCTATAATCACGGATCTGTAACAGTCTTTCACCATTTGTTGACAATCTTGCAGATTTTGATGTTTTTTAATCCAATAATTGTGGTTGCAGACGACCTTGACGCACTCGCACCACCGACTAAGAAAATCCTAGAGGGCGTAGAGGTTTGCTCACTAAAAACCTTCTCATTGGCAGAAGGTAGACCCTAAAAATATGGGATCCGTTTTGAGTAAAGAACTTTTGATAGAGATCAACATTTCAGATGTTCACAATTGCCACTTCTAACAACTAGAAAATATAAAGAAAAAAGATTAAATTTTTTTAAATACAGATTTTTACAAACTGAACATTCGAAAGTAGATAGAGTACGATGTTTCTGTCAATCTTGCGTTGGTTTGAGCCCTATAGATACATCCATCTCAAAATGAGAAGGAAAACAGTGAACAGTGACGTCATTGTTCGCGCCAAAAATAAAGGGTATTGCGACATAATCTGAGCTCCGGTCAGATCGTGCGCAAAGCGTAGTCTTATTTATAGACCCTAGTACCTTATTCTCACAGCACTAGATACGAGTGTCGTGCAGTAATGTATGAGAAGTGTTAAAAAAGATATTTCAGTAAAAAAAAAGTCTACGTGAGCAGTCTATACTCCAATTGAGAATTGAAATGAAAGCCATGATTTGAAGGTGTGTGTTGTATGATACATGGTTAGTGAGTGTGTATGTTACGTATAGCGAAAGGGAGAGAGAGAGAGAGAGAGCGAGAGAAATATTAGTACACGTACGTTGCATGCATGGATGTGCGCTATGATTGTGTTCGCTGCAAGATGGATTTTAATTGGACCTCGTAACTTCTCGATCGTTGATAATAAGGAATACTCATGAGGAAATCAAATTATTGGAATACACATCTAAGGTAAATATCAATGAATTATATATATTTCTCTTCTTTTTTGAACCATCGTCTTCGGCTCGTAGTAGTAGAAGATGTAATCGTTCGCACATTGATGCTGGACTTCAGCCTGCATCGGGGCTTGCCTGTGTCGGTGGAGGGATCAACTAAGAAGAAGAAGGTGTGTACGTGTGCGACCGATTCAAGGCTAGCCGCTGTTGAGTGATTGCACTTTCGCGCGAAGTTTTAAACTTCATCATGAACTTTGTCCCTCGGGCCTGTCTAATTATGAACGTAACTTTGCGACATGAAATATAATTGTTTCAAGGCTCTTACGTACGGAAAGGCGTAGAAGGAAATGGCTACAAACCAGCTGGATATCTCCTATTTGATGGAACCTATGGAGTCGGCAGATGGGTGGATTTTCTTAGTGAAAGTAAATGCTTTCTTTTAATCTTAGTTTTAGTATAAACAAATTAGTAATTAAAAAGTTAGATTTGGGCATTGGCCTCCCTAATTAAAGAAATGACCCAAATCAGATGGTTATTGCTGTCTATGCTGGTACTAGACAGCAATAACCATCTGATTTGGGTCATTTCTTTAATAAAACTGACATTTGTTGTCATTCCCCAATACAGATGGCAACCCAGAGATCTCGTACCGTGGGGGTAGCTATAGCCAACAATGGCAGCTTTTTGTGTCAAAACATTTTCTCCCCGATTTTCTTTATCTAGATCTAATTTTCTGATTTCTAAATCAGATGTAAATTAGGTCGGTATGTCATTTGTCCTAATTACAGTTATCAAAATTTGATAACTTAATATTAAATGTATAATTTATGGACTTACTTATATGAATTATCCAATTTGTATTTCCGAACTGTGAAACGGTACGTTCATGCATTCGAAATATTACCCGGCGGCCGATATATTTCCGGGTCCACCTACCAAAACATAGCCAAATGGCCAATCAGAGCACTCGTTTCGTGGGAGTTCGTTGGTCAAGCTGGGCCGACTCGTACGTAGCTACGGTAGCTATTGGACGTTCGAAAAGAAAAAATGAATATTCATCAACTAAAACCAAGACGGATAATGTTGACGACGAGACTTTCTCGGATTAATCATTAATTTAGGATCTAAATGAGCAAGCTATCGTAAGTCAAATAAGCTATATATGTTATTTTTAATTTGTGTTGTAATTCCAGCAGTTATGAGGATGTAAACAGTAGGGGCGCTGGTCCGAGAATGAGGATCGTCCTCATAAACAAGGATATCCTCATAAACGAAGACAAAATGTGTCCTCAAAAATAAGGGTCGTCTGCATTTTCGAGGACGTTTTTTTTCGTCGGCGCTCTGGGGGTTTCACGTTACAGAACGGCCTGCTGGCGATGCCAAAAATGGATTTCCCAGGGGAAAATAACCCTAGTTGTCCGTCTACTTTTATGGGTTGTCCGTCTTCCCAAGGATTTATTGCTCATAATGTGAAGGTCTCTGTACAAAGTCAATGTAAATTGCATCAAGAAAATCATTGCAGAATCCGTTTTTTGCATCGCCAATGCGCCGATCAAAAATATGAAACGTCTGCAAAAATGCAGACAGTCCTTATTTTTGAGGACGCATCGGTCAGTGTTAAAGAAGACGATCCTCGTTTATGAAGACGATCCTTATTCTCGGACCAGCGCCCCTACTGGTAAAGAGTGAAAATCTCGTTGCATATCTCATTCATCGCGGTCCGGTCGAACCGAACCATTTGTTCCGTACAGTGCCTCACAGAAAGAGGTCCCCAGACTTCAGTCTCTGTAATCGGAGGTCTAGTGGAGCCAGACGTAGTCTCAGTGGAACAACCGACGATTAGAGAGACTGAAGTTTTCGGTCTATGCTGGTACTTGCACTAGTGCAGCTGTGCAAATGCCAATTGCTACGTGCGGGTGTGGATATGGCTGCGAACAGGGCAGTGCAGATGCGAACAGCTGCATAGTCTAGCCACTGTAGCTATTCCAGCCTGTCTGTGAGGCAGCGCATTAATAATACGCTGCATGTCGTGCCGTCTAGACTGAGCTAGGGATGTGTCATCAGTGGTCTGCAGAGTAGAGTAGGTCCTACAGCTGAATTAAACTCACCTGATCAATCTCCAAGACTTCATAGAAATTCAGCTGTATTTCCTCTACCAAATCAAACAGTTCTAGGTCGGTTTGATCCCAAGCATCAGACGAAGAAGAAAATGCCAACAGAAACAAAATATACCAAACAAACATTGCTGAAAATTCGGAAAAGTTCAGACAGTGGAGATATCGTCTGCTTCTCGCCATGTTGGCAAATGATTTGTGTCATAGCGCCCGCTGCGACAGTGGAGCTACAGGTGGCCTAGACAGAAAGTGGAAAATGCCCCCGGTGGGGGGTACTCAAATTTGGTTTTACAGTGAGTGTGCCACTCAAGCCTTACCCACTCTTTGAGATCATTTTGGGTCATTTTCTCGATATAAGACCCATTTATCACATTTTTGTTGTATTTTTCCATGCAAACACCCGAAAATATTGCAATTTTTCTTTGGAATTATAAAAAACGCATGTTAAGAGATTTTTTTGTTGAAAAATTGACCGATTAAAGCGTCACACCCCCGTCTATCTTATTATGTGAGTACCCCCCCCCCCCCTGGGACGGGGCCCGGGTGTGGGTGGGAAATGCACGTGTAGGATCCTTGAATAAACCACGAACAATAAAAAAAAAAAAAAACAACAGTGCCCGACCATTTTGGAGTTCATGTAGAACTTTTCAAACATAAAATCGTCCACTTATGGTTTTGAAATAGTGTTGTTCATTTAAAATGGATGCCATGAAAATAAGCCATAACAGACCTTTTAAAGATTGAGTAGACCTACTTTGTCGCATGGAACTTTTTTGTAATAGACTTTTAATCGTCTGCAAAAGATATCCGACCTCATCTCTACTACTCTAAATGAAAATCACTCGCTTGGCTTAATTCGTGCATTAATGTGCATTCCCTGTTTGTTTACCATCTTTCTGTGATAATAACGATAATATACCTGTATTTTTATTACGCACGGAGTCCATCCAAGGGCATCCTTCATGGCGTCTTCAAAGTAGTAATAGGCAGGCACGTAGCCAGAGTTTGATGTTTGGGGGGGGGGGGGAGAGTGGTCACATACGTGTAATCGATCGAGGTAAAAAAAAGGGGTCTAAAAAAATGCAACCGATCCTGGAAATTTAGGGGGGAAGTGCCCCCCCCCCCCCGGTGGCTACGTGCCTGGTAATAGGGACTTTTAGATTTGCGTGGACTGATCCGTGTGACGTCCATTCAAGGTAGTGCATTAAAAGGACGTTGACCGCAGCAATCCATATTGTCTTCGTGCAAATCTAAAAGTCCCTAATATCACCATTGCTTTAGCCCAGCTATACCCTAAGGCGTTAAAGCACGCAAACGAACAGACGAAGTTTCTGCTACATATCTTCATGTGAAACACTCGATTTCGAAGATTAGCAGAGGCAAAAATCCGTATGCCTTTTCGATTAAGGCAGGCGCGGATCCAGGGGGGGGGGGGACCGAGCGGGCCTTGCCCCCCCCCCCCCCCCCGCAAAAAAAAGGAGACAGAGAGAGGGAAAAGAAGGGAAAGGGAAAGAGGAAAGAAAGGGGAAAAAAGAAGACGAAGAAGAAAGGAAAAGAGGGATGAAGGAGATCGGGGAGGTGGGGCAAAAGGACTTGCCTCCCAGGCTGTTGCCTCCCCCCAATCAAAAAATAAAAATAGAAGGAAGGAAAGGGAAAGATAAAAAAAAGAAGAGGAGATAAAGGGAAGGAAAAAAGAGGAAGAAGAAAACAAAAGAAGGGGGATATCAGTTGCAATTTTCCCGCCAACAGATTGTGGATCGGAGGGGGGGGGGGGACAAAAGGCCCTTGCCTTAAAAGAGGAGAGCTAAAAGGGAACAAAAAAAAGGAAGAAGAAAGAAAAAGTAGAAAAGAAAGGGAGATCAGTTGCGGTTAATCCCGCCAACAATGTGTAGAGCGAGGTGGGGCCAAAATGACCTTGCCCTCCTCCAGCAAACATAAAAGAGAAAGAAGGAAGGGAAGGGAAAGGAAAAGAGGAGAGAAAGGGAAAGAAAATGAAAGAGAATGAAGAAAGGTAAGGGATATCAGTTGCAATTTTCCCGCCAACAAGGTGTAGATCGGGGGGGGGGGGAATAAAATTCAAACGTGGTTTATTTTTAATTCCATAACGGTGATTTACAAATAATGCTGAAATGACATAATGTTAAGTATATTATACTTTTTTTATGCGTTTGTTGGAAAATGACAAACTCCTAAATTTAGAGCCAGGCAAAAAAATGCTTCTTGAGATACATGTCAGGGCTCGCGGAACGGCGGGGATCGGGATCCTCGAACCCCACCCCCCTCCACCACCCACTTTTTTGAAAAAGTATATTAAAGAGAAAAAGAAAGAAAGAGAGCAAGAAAGAAAAAAAAAAATAGTTAACTGCCAGTGTCACATTATAATGAGGTATCAAAATATGCTCATCTGACCATGATTAAATGCCTAAAACCCCGAGGGCTCTGCCCCCTGGATTCCACCTAGGGCCCTAAGGCGGGCCCTTAGATGCTCATCTGTTGGTAATTTAATGCCTAAAACCCCTAATTTCTGTGGGCTTTGCCGCCTGGACCCCACGCCAAATAGTTTCCTGCCAGTGTCACAAAATAATAAGGTATCAAAAAATTCTCATCTGACCGTAATTAAACACCTAAAACCCCTGAACTTCCGGGGGCTCTGCCCCCTAGACCCGACAAAGCCTTAAGGCGGGCCCCTTGATACTCATCTGACCGTAATTGAGTGCCTAAAACCCTTGGGCTTCCGGGGGCTCCGACCCCTGAACCCCACGCCAATTAGTAACCTGCCAGTGTCACAATTAGGTATCAAAATAATGCTTATCTGACCGTAATTAAATGTCTAAAACCCCTGAACTTCGGGGGCTCTGCCCCTGGACCCCGCCGAGGGCACTAAGGCGGACCCCTGAGTGCTAATCTGACCGTAAATTATTGCCTTAAACCCCTGAGCTTCCGGGGCGGACAAGGTATCAACATAATGTTCATCTGACCGCAGGCGCGTAGCCAGGGGGGCGGTGGGGTGGTCCCCCAAAAAATGCTGGCCAAAAAAAGAGAGGAGTGAAAAGGAAAAGGGAGTAGACAAAGAACATTTTGAAATTCGGACAAGGATTAAGAGTCGAAAACGTTACAACGATTCGTCTTCTTTCTCTAATAATTTAATGAAACGTAAAATCTTCCGCGCTTCGCGCGAGAGGGGGAACCTGAATTTAGACGAAGATTAAGAGTCGATAACGACACAACGAATCGTCTTCTTTCTCTAATGATTTAATGAAACGTAAAAGCTTCCGCGTGAGGGGGGGGGGGAAACAAAATTCAGACGAGGATTATTTTTGGGAACGGTACAACGAATCGTCTCCTATCTCTAATAATTTATTGAAATGTCAAAGCTTCCGCGCTTCGCGAAGGAGGGAGGGGGAAAACTCGTCCCTCCCTGCACCCACCCCCCCCCCCCAATTACATCACTGCTGGTCACCATTACGACGTACCAATATTTGGCTTGCATAATTTCAAATTTGGGCCCCCCCCCCCCCCAAGAAATCCTGGATCCGCGCCTGGTCGGCCGTCTGGTTGCTCACTCACAAGCATTTATGCTTTTTAAGCAGTCAGGTAAAATAACCACCTAATAACCATTAATGACGTGGGAGATAAAGTAATACCATATGGCACTTGTGTTTAAAGGAGAGTTGGGTTCTGTGGCCAAGAAAAGTTCTATCTATATGTAAATGAGACAAAATGTGAAGATATAGAAAATCCACATTTTTAATCACGAGTTAAATTATAATGTTGATATGTGTATGTGTTTTTACGCGTAGATCATAATCAAAATATTATACACGGTTCAGCATTTGCTCAAAAAGCTATATAGACCATGATTAAGGAACAACATACCATAACTCGACTGTCTCCAATAACATTGATAGCGGCTTCGGAGAGGATCTCCCAGTAAACCTATACAATATACAACTGTTGGAATGAGGCGTGGTGAAAAGTTGCGCCTTTACCGCTTAAGCCATTGTTACATTTGTTTGGAAAAAATCCGCATCCATTTGTTTGTAGTGTTTCTACATCTTTTTAAAGCCATAAAACGTTGAAAATCCGCGTGCGTTTTCGTTTTAATATGGCACAAAACAATCGTGGTCTATATTGTGACGTCACGATAGACATACGCGTGAAAAATGTTTTGTTTATTTCCGGTTTTTCTGATGACAGCACAATCGGTACGTGTTTATGCGCATGTGTTTTGCGCGTCTAGATTCTCCACGCGCTCGCGTACGCGTGCATGCTGACTTACTTGCCATAGAAACAAATGCGCAAAAAATAATCACAAAGTTTTTGAAATCGCACAGCAGGTTCTAAACGATTATGAGTAGGCCCTAGCCAGAGAATACGCTGAAGTGAAAAGGACAGACGAAGCATTCTGCTACATTTCTTCATGTGAAAAACTCGATTTCGAAGATTAGCAGTTCTTTTTTTCACTCGTGCACATTTTTATTACAAGGTCAGTAAATGATGATGATGATGGTGACGACGTCGTTGTTGCTGATGGTGGTGGGGATGATGATGATGATTAATGGTGATGAGCAGAGCATGAGGGCTGAGGAAGAGGATGATGGTTCATGCCACTGTATATCTACTGATGAATATGTTGATAATAATAATGACGACGACGCGATGACGATTGTGATGATGGTGATGAATTGATGGTGGTGATGAGGATGATTATTATAATGCCATAGGCCTAGCCTAGACTGCTAGAGTCTAGACTCTAGATCTAGATCTAGATTCTACTCATATAAATTTGCTAATGATTATGATGAACAAGACGCAGGCGCGGAACAAGGATTTTCCAAAGGGGGCGGGGGGGGGGGGGGGGCTGGAAATTTGAAGATCGCGCAGGCTGTTAATGTTATTCAACTCAACTTGGCAAACTACTGACAAGGTCAAAGATCTAAAACTTAAAAGCAGGTACCAATGATGCTCGGGAATTTATGCGGCTGGCCCCCTTCTTGGATCTTCGATTCTTTTCCTCCTAAAAACTCCGAAGAAGAGTTTTGACTGGAGGTGGTGGAGGGTGGATGATTACATTTTGGAAAAAAGTTATTTAGTAACTGTATTTTTAAATGAGAGCGGGGAGGTTTGGTCGATGGTTGCTTGTTGTAGGTTGTTCCATGTCTTACAGTCCTTGGGGAAAATGAGTTGGCATAGACGTCCGAGTTGGTGTGGCGAATTTCAAATTGGTTGGGGTGTCCTCGTCTACGTCTGTCTGGCTTAGGTTTGGTGTGAGATTGGCAGTCGATGTCGAGTTGTCCCTTTATCATTTTGAAGAGGCAGGTAAGACGGTGTGAAATGTCCGGTGAGAAAAGGGGAAAGACAAGGAAATGGCACTAATTTACAGTAACGACGAATAAGGGAAAACTGTAATCGGGAGATTTGGGGTCATTGCAGAAGGCTTGGCATAGTTATTGAATAGAGGGTGCCGGGCCGGCCGCATAAAATCTCGAGCCTCGGATTCAAAGATAAACGTTAAAAACAGCCCCTGCGCTACAAAGTTCATCACTCTTTAGTGAGAAATTTGATAGTTTCATTTTCCCTTTAAAGCAAGCGCGTAGCCAGGGGCGGTAGGGGCAGTCAGAGGACAAAGGACGAAAAAGGAGCAGACAAAGAAACATTTTGAAAATTTTGACAAGTCGAGAACGGTACAACGAATCGTCTTCTTTCTCTAATAATTTAATGAAATGTCAAAGCTTCCGCGCTTCGGGCGGGAGGGGAAAATCGAATTCAGACAAGGATTAAGAGTCGAAAACGGTACAACGAGAGTCTTCTTTCTCTAATAATTTAACGAAACGTTAAGCTTCCGCGCAAAGCGCGGGAGGGGGGAAACTGAATTCAGACAAGGATAAAGAGTCGAGAATGGTACAACGTATCCTCTTCTTTCTCTAATAATTTAATGAAACGTTAAGCTTCTGCGCTTTGTTCGGGGGGGGGGGGGGGGAATGAATTCAGAGAAGAATTAAGAGTCGAGAATTGAACAACGAATCATCTTCTTTCTCTAGTAATTTCATTAAACTATGAAAGATAAAAGCTTCCGCGCTTCGTGCGGTGGAACCGATTTCAGACAAGGATTAAGAGTCGAAAACGGTACAGCGAATCCTCTTCTTTCTCTAATAATTTCATGAAACGTCAAAGCTTCTGCGCTTCGCGCGTAATGGAGGATTGGGGTGGGGGGGGGGGGGGGCAGCGAACTGCCCGAATTAGAATTTTTGATATCTTTTCTCGTTTATTTTGGTGATAAATAACACTTTCACAAAATACATATTATGCTCACATTTTTGCTCGCTCGCTTCACTCACCGTCTAGCCGAATTGTGAAACCAGAAAAATTACTGTTTCGGGCAATAGGCTATAGCCCCCCCTCCCCCGCGATGAAAATATCACAAATTGTAACGGTATGGTGCTTCTAGTATGATCTTGTCAGTATTGGTAGATCTATGTCAAGTTGAAGAAAAAAAAAGGTCTGCGCAATTTTCAAATTTCCGCCCCCCCCCCCCCCCCTATTGGAAAACCCTGGATCCGCGCCTGTCTTTGTAGGGGCCGGACGCGGCCTTATCATGTGTGCTCTTATAGACTAGTCTAGATCTAGGCCTAGATCTAGATCTAGACTAGGCCTATGATTTTTTTAAAATAAATAGGTCTAGATATAGGCCCCTTATTATAAATTATGCCTTCGGTATTGACCCCAACATTTCCTGCTTACTTTTTGTTTACGAGCGCGGCCTTTTGTGAAGTGTTTTACATTAACCTGTTGAGGCACTAGATCTACGGCTTAACATGTACATGTAAGCGTGCTTAGAATTGTTGAAAATAAGCTGAATTCCGACTCAATTTTGCACAACCTAAGAATTAGAATACGGTCAGTCACCCCCCCCCCCCCATGCGCGCCCATTTCACACGCGCATATCCCTCCCCCCCCCCCCCCCCAGTTTTTTCCCCTTATTCCGGCATGTGTCACTTAGATCTAGTGTCATTTCCCTGGGCCCCGTTGCATAAAACTTACCACTGATGGTAACTTAGTCTTTGCTATCAATAGCAACTATCATGGTAATAGGGTTTCCATGGTAGTTACCTTTGATGGCAAAGTTACCATCAATGGCAAGTTTTGTGCAACGGGGCCCTTGTCTTTCTTTCTCACCCCGGCTTCTCTCTTCTGTTTTTCTCTTTTCCTTTCTCTTTTCTCTTCTTTTCTTTCCTTTTTTTTAATGCGCCGCGACCGTGTTTAGCCCCCCCCCCCCCGTATCCCCCCACTCAGTGTTATTTAGGGTACGCATATGCGTTGGCCATCTTTTTGAAAACACCCCCTAAGTCCGGTGTGTAAGGTCAATTTTGTATATGTACGAGCCGGACTTTGGTGCGTAAAAAGTACCCCTTTACCGGACATTTTGGTAACACGCATGCGGTCATTCCAAACCCGGAGTGCGGGGGGGGGGGGGGGGGGGGGGGGGGGGGGGGGGGGAGGAGGCGGGTGTATCCCCCACTGCTACGCGATGACGACGACAACGATAATGATCGATGTTTTCTAGACATATGATGCCGACGACGATGTGCATTGCTCTTGATGATAATCATAATGATGATATTCTTTGTTTTTATTTTTATAGATCCACATTTAAGCATCATGGGTTTCCATCAAATTTTAGTCACTGTAGTTGCCCTCGCTTTAGCCTCTGTCAGAGCCGAGTTCCCATCCCGTACCGACTCCCCTACTGACTGCCCCGAAGCAGATCAAGGGTGCTGGTGTCGCGGCTCCTTCGCTCAGTGCTGGAGAACGTATGAAGATGCAGGAATGACAGAAGAAATTGGAAACAGAATTACAAAGCTGTAAGTTTAGATTTGGCGCCTTTTCCATGAGATGAAAAAGTTCATCACATCATTTGAAAATTGGGTGTACAAGAGAATGACGAGAATGTCGAGAATGTCATGGAAAGATATGCAAACTAACAAAGAAATACTAAATATGGCAGGGCTTAACAAAATATCCTGGATGGTAAAAACACGGAAAGCAAAATATTCTGGCCACATTAAAAGACATCAGAGTCTCTTGACAGATTTATTGGAAAGAAAGTAGAAGGTACCCAGACCAAGACGGGAAACCAAGAACTAATTTGGAAGGGGTGAATTGGAATGCCACTACAAGAGTATACTAGGGCGGCAGAAAACAGAGATGTGTCGAAAAATGTTGCAAGGAACCTCTGAGCTAATAAAAGATACCTCAATAGATAGAATAAATATATTCAACATAAAAATAGAGGCAAATTTAATGTGGTTCCTTTTCATGATGATGAATTCCTTCGTCATGCGGAGGAACTCATTAAAAAGAAGAAGAAGATGATGATGATGATGATGATGATGATGATGATGATTACCACGATCATACCAAGAAGAAAGAAGCCGTGAAAGATAGAAAAAGAAGTGATGACAAAAACATGCAAACACAGACGGAGCTAGAGAGAGAGAGAGAGAGAGAGAGAAAGGGAGAGGGAGAGAAAGAGGAGGTGTGGGGTGGGGGCAATTCGGTTTAAAATATGTAAATATAATATAATAAAGATCAAAGTGTAGATCTTAATCGAGTAGAGAAGATGGAGGCAAACGATGAAGAGAGTCTTGAGAAAGTTTATTTTTAAATGCTGTCAAGAATGTTGAAGAAATCCATGCGTCTTTCATTCCAAACAAAAATGGAAAAAGATTTACTCAAACTTATTCGACCTTCTTTCTAATTAAAATGTCTCTTCTTTTAATGAAACAGAGACTTATTGTATCAGCCAAGTGAAGAGATTGTGACGTACATAAGACGTATGAGCGCCATGAGGGAATTAAGGTAAGTAACCAAGAAATCTATAACTTACAGGTTGTATGCCATACCGTATGAACTCCATGATTTTAATACCAACATTATAATAAAATGTTTGAAATTGCTACAAGTATGATGGTGGTTGTATTTCCGGACGCTTAACAAAATTAAAACCGTCACTTTTGCCCTTGGATTTTAAGAAAAAAGAATGCATCAAATAGAACTATCAATCATATATGTTCTATATTTAATAATATTCTATAATACAAGTCTTAACTCATAGCCTGCCATAAGGCTGCATGCACGCTATCGTTATACTGCTTTGTCCATGCGAGAGAGCTATCGCTTGAGTGCCATGTGCGTGCATTGCAGCATTGGTAATAGCAGTTATTCTTCATGCTCATTGGACTGTGCTGTGTGTTTTGCACTCGCTATCCATAGAACCATCGCGTTAATCAGATCAGATCTCCAAAACAACCTGGCACGGGGGATTTGGGGCTTTGCACAATGGGAATTAGCCCTGTGGCATGATAAGAGTTAAAAGATTTATGAAAATAATGCATGAAATATTTCTTAAAATTGCTGGATTAAATCAACTGTCCAGATACATCACCTGTCCGGACACACATATGTCATCCTTTTTTTTTCACGTCTTACAGAATTTCAGAGGATGGCGTTAGCTTAGATTGTTCTTGCGACCTCATCTATGCCCTCGATGACAAACATGTAACACTCGTTGACCAGGCCGAGCTGACGTTCAGTAACTGCCAGCAGAGGGGATGGCCTCGTGATAGCATGACTGCCAGATCCTTCGTTAATCGCTGCCGTAAGTGGACCTTATTAACTCATTGGTCGCCCCCCCCCCCCAACTAAAAATAATAAATAAAACAAAATGACACTCGCTATTAAAAAGAAAACGTCACCAAAACATTTTTTAATTTAAAGAGGCAAAGATAAAAAGACTAGAATATTCTCTCTTTTTTTCTTCGAGCCGAAGTAAGTTTCAAGATTTTAGAATACAATAATTTAAAACCCAAGTCCGTTCCAGAATCCTACCATCAACTTACTCTGGTAGGACCAGGCGCGGATCCAGGGGGGGGGGGGCCGAGCGGGCCTTGCCCCCCCCCCCCCCCCGCAAAAAAAAAGGAGACAGAGAGAGGAAAAGAAGGGAAAGGGAAAGAGGAGAGAAAGGGGAAAAAAGAAGACGAAGAAGAAAGGAAAAGAGGGATGAAGGAGATCGGGGAGGTGGGGCAAAAGGACTTGCCTCCCAGGCTGTTGCCTCCCCCCAATCAAAAAATAAAAATAGAAGGAAGGAAAGGGAAAGATAAAAAAAAGAAGAGGAGATAAAGGGAAGGAAAAAAGAGGAAGAAGAAAACAAAAGAAGGGGGATATCAGTTGCAATTTTCCCGCCAACAGATTGTGGATCGGAGAGGGGGGGGGGGGACAAAAGGCCCTTGCCTTAAAAGAGGAGAGCTAAAAGGGAAAAAAAAGAGGAAGAAGAAAGAAAAAGTAGAAAAGAAAGGGAGATCAGTTGCGGTTAATCCCGCCAACAATGTGTGGAGCGGGGTGGGGCCAAAATGACCTTGCCCTCCTCCAGCAAACATAAAAGAGAAAGAAGGAAGGGAAGGGAAAGGAAAAGAGGAGAGATAGGGAAGAAAAAGAAAGAGAATGAAGAAAGGTAAGGGATATCAGTTGCAATTTTCCCGCCAACAAGGTGTAGATCGGGGGGGGGGGGGGGAAATAAAATTCAAACGTGGTTTATTTCTAATTCCATAACGGTGATTTACAAATAATGCTGAAATGACATAATTTAAAGTATATTATACTTTTTTATGCGTTTGTTGGAAAATGACAAACTTCTAAATTTACAGTCAGGCAAGGAAATGCTTCTTGAGATGCCTACATGTCAGGGCTCGCGGAACGGCGGGGATCGGGATCCTTGAACCCCCACCCCCCCCCCCCCACCACCCACTTTTTTTTGAAAAAGTATATTAAAGAGAAAAAGATAGAAAGAGAGCAAGAAAGAAAAAAAAAATAGTTAACTGCCAGTGTCACATTATAATGAGGTATCAAAATATGCTCATCTGACCATGATTAAATGCCTAAAACCCCGAGGGCTCTGCTCCCTGGATTCCACCTAGGGCCCTAAGGCGGGCCCTTAGATGCTCATCTGTTGGTAATTTAATGCCTAAAACCCCTAATTTCTGTGGGCTTTGCCGCCTGGACCCCACGCCAAATAGTTTCCTGCCAGTGTCACAAAATAATAAGGTATCAAAAAATTCTCATCTGACCGTAATTAAACACCTAAAACCCCTGAACTTCCGGGGGCTCTGCCCCCTAGACCCGACAAAGCCTTAAGGCGGGCCCCTTGATACTCATCTGACCGTAATTGAGTGCCTAAAACCCTTGGGCTTCCGGGGCTCCGACCCTGAACCCCACGCCAATTAGTAACCTGCCAGTGTCACAATTAGGTATCAAAATAATGCTTATCTGACCGTAATTAAATGTCTAAAACCCCTGAACTTCGGGGGCTCTGCCCCTGGACCCCGCCGAGGGCACTAAGGCGGACCCCTGAGTGCTAATCTGACCGTAAATTATTGCCTTAAACCCCTGAGCTTCCGGGGCGGACAAGGTATCAACATATGTTCATCTGACCGCAGGCGCGTAGCCAGGGGGGCGGTGGGGTGGTCCCCCAAAAAATGCCGGCCAAAAAAAGAGAGGAGTGAAAAGGAAAAGGGAGTAGACAAAGAACATTTTGAAATTCAGACAAGGATTAAGAGTCGAAAACGTTACAACGATTCGTCTTCTTTCTCTAATAATTTAATGAAACGTAAAATCTTCCGCGCTTCGCGCGAGAGGGGGAACCTGAATTTAGACGAAGATTAAGAGTCGATAACGACACAACGAATCGTCTTCTTTCTCTAACGATTTAATGAAACGTAAAAGCTTCCGCGTGAGGGGGGGGGAACATAATTCAGACGAGGATTATTTTTGGAACGGTACAACGAATCGTCTCCTATCTCTAATAATTTATTGAAATGTCAAAGACAAAATGTGAAGGTATAGAAAATCCACATTTTTTACCACGAGTTAAATTATATGTTGATATGTGTATATAATTTAACTCGTGATTAAAAATTTGGATTTGCTATACCTTCATTTACATGGGAGATAAAGTAATACCATATGGCACTTGTGTTTAAAGGAGAGTTGGTTTCTGTGGCCAAGAAAAGTTCTATCTATATGTAAATGAGACAAAATGTGAAGGTATAGATAATCCACATTTTTAATCACGAGTTAAATTATATGTTGATATGTGTATGTGTTTTTACGCGTAGATCATAATCAAAATATTATACACAGTGCAGGATTTGCTCAAAAAGCTATATAGACCATGATTAAGGAACAACGTACCATAACTCGACTGTCTCCAATAACATTGATAGCGGCTTCGGAGAGGATCTCCTAGTAAACCTATACACGACTTTTTGTTAGCAATGGAATCCAATGACCGGGGTAATATGTAAGGCGTTTAGACACATAGGAGCTCTATACAAACGTGACTATTATCTTTAACCTTGAAATCCATTTTACATAACCCAAGAAAATGTCAGACAAAATCCATTAAACTATAACTCCAAAGCCTGTGCCTAAATTAAAAACTTTAAAAACACCCACTAGTAGATAGAAACGCACTCTCTTGAATGCTATTTTTGTAATTAGATTATCCAAAAATTCTGTGGAAACAACATTTCCCATACGATGAGGTAGAGTAATTGAGTGCCTAAAACCCTTGGGCTTCCAAGGGCTCCGACCCCTGAACCCCACGCCAATTAGGGACCTGTCAGTGTCACAATTAGGTATCAAAATAATGCTCATCTGACCGTAATTAAATGCCTAAAACCCCTGAACTTCCGGGGCTCTGCCCTCTGGACCCCGCCTAGGGCCCTAAGGCGGACCCCTGAGTGCTAATCTGACCGTAAATTATTGCCTTAAACCCTGACCTTCCGGGGGCGGACAAGGTATCAACATAATATGTTCATCTGACCGCAGGCGCGTAGCCAGGGGGGAAGTATGGTCCCCCAAAACCGCCGGCCAAAAAAAAAGAGGAGTGAAAAGGAAGAGGACAAAGGGTGTAGACAAAGAACATTTTTGATATTCAGACAAGGATTAAGAGTCGAGGGGGGGGGGGGGAACTGAATTTAGACGAAGATTAGGAGTCGATAACACGACACAACGAATTGTCTTCTTTCTCTAATGATTGAATGAAACGTTAAAGCTTCCGCGCGAGGGGGGGGGAACATAATTCAGACGAGGATTATTTTTGGGAACGGTAAAACGAATCGTCTTCTTTCTCTAATAATTTATTGAAATGTCAAAGCTTCCGCACTTCGCGGAGGAGGGTGGGTGGAAACACGCCCCTCCCTGCACCCACCCCCCTAATTACATCACTGCTGGTCACCATTATGTACCAATATTTGGCTCGCATAATTTCAAATTTGGCCCCCCCCCCCTAAGAAATCCTGGATCCGCGCCTGGGTAGGACATAGGCAGCGGCGGACTAGTAATTGATAGTTAATTCTTTTTCGTGAGCCTCGCTTGGTATTTAGTGGTCTGCGGTCCAGTTGCATGGTCAAAAATAGAAGAATGAGTGGGTCGCCTAGTAATTCCTGTGCCAAGACCTTAATCCCAGCTCGCCTTTGACATAGCCATTAATGCCAAACATTTAATATATAAACAATTCCACTTTCATAAGTTAAAGTTTTATTTTTGGATATTAAAACAGATGTTAGTCGCATACAAGATGGCGATTTACGCAAGCGGAGAGAAGCTGAGGATGTCGACGACGATGATGTCAGCAAAAGGGCAAGTCCTCGTAAGGGGGACGAACCAGCTGGTCATACTCTTAAGGACCTCGCCCCCCAAAACACCAATCATCTTGTTAGCATCGATGGTGCCGACAAACATCCAGCCGACGAGCTCGTCAACTTCATCTCGGGGCATTCTCCGACTCGACGTGCGACAGACAACGATGCCGCAGTTTCTGACGATTCGAAAAGAGGAGCGCGTAAGAAGCGTTACGTCAACACGATGGGCTACCCCCAAGCCATGAGTCCGCAAATGGGAGGTGTTAACTACGGACAACCAGCGCAGCAGGGTTACGGCGCTCAAGGAATGGGTGGACCAGTCGGAGGTGGACCGATGGGTGGACCGATGGGTGGACCTCCACAATTTGGTGCGTTATCTCCAGGGCAGGCAGATACGGATTTTGGATCCAGCTCCTCCAGCGTCGACGGAGGTGATACAACGATCAGCGCCAGAGGTAGGCCTATATTTATTGACCATTATGTGTATGTCACATTTAAAACTTGTTTGTTTCGTTTTTGTTTATAGACATACTAAACGGACCATGTTTCGTTAGAAATTTCGAAAACTGCGACTATAACCAATTTCTGGTATCTTTGGCTGGCATCATAATACTTGTTAATTCAGTTATATTTAATGAAGCAGTCTGGTATGACCTAGGACCGATCACTACATTGGTCTTCACGCTGTAGTCACACCAACTAGATAACAACCCAAACATGTTTCATTATATGCAGTGGCCAGGTATCGGTCAGTTGGGGTTCGGTGTGACTGAGGTGTCGTCACGATCATCCAAAAGTCGTGACTCTGGTCTGAATAAGAGTCGGCTTAAGGAAAGACCAACTCGCATATTCCCTAGTTAGAAAAATTGATTTTCACATCTCTCGAGTTTATCGATCAGAGATCAACAATGAGGTTCACCTTATAACGTGTTAAAGATATTAAGCCTCGTTCAGATATGCCACAGTAAAACGTGGTATCTTTCGGCGAGCAGTTAAAGGCTGCGCATTGTGCTAGCCAAATTATTTTCATCGGGTTTTTTTTGCCGTTACCAAGGTCTGGCCTGAATGAATTTTTTCTTTAATAGGTAAAGTCCTTGATAAGAAACCTTTTGCGTCCACGCAGTCACCATGTACACCATTGCTCATTCCGTGAAGGGATATATATTTACCAGAAAATGTATTGACAAAGCTCTCTGATCAACTTTCCTACGTTATACTTAGTGCTTACGACTACTTCTTGATACCCCATGATCATTTCTTACTTTACGTCAGTGCTCAGTTTTTATCCTGCACGATCAACCATTACTAGTTATTGTATTTGAAATTATGATTCTAGTATTTTCCCGCGATACAAAAGTCTTTTGGGGCTTCTTACCAGTTCGTGTTTTTATCATTCCAGTTATGGACGACATCAAGGCGGTGCTCGGTGCCACGAAGATTGACCTACCAGTAGACATCAACGACCCTTACGATCTTGGACTCCTGCTACGCCACCTCAGGCATCACTCCAACCTTCTAGCGAACATCGGTGACCCTGCGGTTCGGGAACAGGTCCTAAGCGCGATGCAGGAGGAGGAAGAAGAGGAGGAAGAAGATGCAGCCACCGGCGCCCAACAAGGCGTCTTGAACGGGAACGCACCAGGCCAAGCAGGCTTCGGTGGCGGAGGTGGAGGAGGGGCCATGATGAGTCCTCAACAGATGGGCGGACAACCTCAAGGGATGATCGGACAACCTCAAGGGATGGGCTTTCCACATCAAGGGATGGGCGGACCACCCCAAGGGATGGGCATGCCACATCAAGGGATGGGCGGACCACCTCAAGGGATGGGCATGCCACCTCAAGGGCAACCGTACGGTCAGGGTTATCTACAGGGGTAGATCTAACTAGATATAGACGCTAATTTGTTGTATATCGGGGTGATCTCGAGACGTTTGCAAAATATATTCTGAGAGTGGAGTTTCTCCTTTAGAACACGAGTATTTGAATTGATTTTTCAATTTTCTTGTTCGGTGAGGTGCAACATCATTATAGCTATTTAGTTTAAAAAAAACGTTTCTTTTTGGCAAATTTGATACACGTATTCATTGTAAAAAAAACCAACAACACCGACATGAAATATAAGCGACGATAAAGAGAGAGAAAAGGGTGAAGCAGGGGGGGGGGGGTGTATCTTAAGATGGTAGCAAGCGGGAATCGTATAGAGCACAACTGGTTGCCATCATTATTCGTTGCTGTGAATTACATACATTTAATAAAGGGAGGGATAGGAGATATTCCGCAATGGAACAGATGCATGTTATATCAATGTTGTTTCTTGATTATAATCATTTTATGATATACTTTGAGAAGTACGATCCCGGGGTACGATCATTGCATGATATTTGAGATTTTTCTTTCTATGGTATATTTGTTGTATCCGTAATAAACTTTGACACACTAATTCACTTACAAATGAGTATTTGTGTTCTTTCTATAAAAGTTCCTTTTGTCTATCATACCGTGGGCCACGAGCATAGAATGAAGTCGTTTTTTACCCTCATTTGAAGACCTCTGGCCCTATTAGGAAAGAGATCGATAGAAATTTAGTTAAAGCCTATCTGCACTTGTTTGGCCAGGAGGTATTAGACCTCCCTGCATGGTCATTGACGGGTGATTATATCATCTAATCAGCTCTCAATTAAGAAAAAGTGGACCATGGGGGACCGATGGTCACCGACAAGGCATTATTTGCTATAAAGATGGCGCAAGTAGCTATACGTAAGGAAAGGCAGATAGCTCGAAGAATATGAAAAGACCAAGAAGAATTATTTATCGGTTCGGATGCCAGTCACCGATCCCAAAAAGATAAAGAATAAACTGATAGAATATAAAGCTATGTCTTTAATTACAATAATTGATGGTGATAATGATGTTGATGATGATATTAATGAGATCGATGATGATGATGGTGATGACGACTATGACCCTGGTGGAGGTGGTGGTGTTGATTGTAAAGGAGATTATGATGCTGCTGCTGCTGTTGATAATTTTGATGAGGATGATTATGATGATGACGGTGATCGTGGTCGTTGTGGTGATGATGTTAAAAGGGGTTATGATGATGATGTTAATGAGAGTGGTGACGATGAAGGTGATGAAGACGAAGGTCGTGGTGAACTGGTGATGATGGTGGTGATGGTGGTGGTGGTTGTAATGTTAAATGAGGTTATGATGCTAATGATGACGTTGCTGGTAATTCTGCTAAAAGTGGTGGGGGCAGTGGCAATCATTAAAGGGAGTGTAGCATGACGAAACTACGTGTCTTTCCCGTGACCTGGGTGGTGGGGTGGGGCGCTTAAGCCCCAAATGCCTCTTAGAACTGCGCTTGCAGTGGCGCAACTATATACATATAGCTCCGTTTAGTCTCATTTGACAACGCCCCCTATAGTCAGAGTCAGCAGCCTAACATGTTAGCCCACGGAATTTTACCAAAAAATTCGTTAAAAATTAATTTGTTGTTTAAACGAAAAGCACATCCACCCGACGTACGTTATCACTAGCTCTTTCATTGGAACCCTCATGTCCCATTGACTTTTGAAAGTTCACCCACCGTAATTTGATCAAAATAGATTGCAAGCTCGCCATTGCCTACATAACACATGTGAAACAAGTCAAACTTTGGACTCGGTTTGCCAAACGGTTGTAAGGTTTTAGGTCAAGCACACGAAGGATAATAAGCATGAATTATAATGATCAGTTCTGATCGGTTCATTATTTTCATTTCATCAAACCCCCCACCGTAATGTTTCCATTGAAGATAAGCAAACATTTTGCCGAGGTAAGCAAAAACATGAATATTCATGATCGCCATGGACTATTCGATTATTTAAAGAGGGGTGCAATTGTGCACCACCCCGTGCAACACATCAAACTCCCCTACTTTAAGTCAAGTATTTCATTGTATTATGTAGTTTGGTAGGTTTATTTTAATAACTGTTTAATTATCAGATATCAATGATTGTTTAAAAATATGGAAAATATTCTTGTATTTTATTTTTAGCAAAGCAATCTCACATACAAATTCACTACCAAGTGTCGTCTAATCCGCCGATTGTCGTCTGCTATAAACGTCCAGCGAGCGAAAATGAGACAACCGGAGCAATATGCAAGGCAGAGGCGGATCTAGGGGGGGGGGGGGGGGGGGTTCCGGCGGTTTAACCAAGGCCAAGTGAGAAAGAAAAAGAAAAAAGTAAAACGGCACGATTTTTGGAAAATCCTGGATCCGCCACTGGGTTAACCCCCCCCCCCCTTGGCAAAAAGTTAGATCCGCCCCTGCAAGGAGGCATGGAATACCTCCTGCACCTCTCCATTTCATTGTCCGAATAAGACAGGTGTCCCACGGGTTCTAGGACACCTCCCCCCGAGACAACTACCCTCTACCAACCACCCGCGGGCCGCATGGCGGAGCATTGAAGAAGTGATTATCAAATTAGCTCATGAATTAAATGCGGCCCGCATAGCAGCGATGAAATAGGGTAAAACATTTCAAACAGCTATCTCTATTTACATAATTTGTTCCCATCATTCACAACATAGTGAATCGTTACGTGGTTGCTACAAAATTCTTCAAATTTCCTCTCATTACATTACATTAACGACATTACACCCGGGGGGGGGGGTGTACTCACATATTAGGACATACGGGGGTGTGCCGCTCAAATGGGTGACTTTGTCAGAAACAAAATTCTAAAACATGGGTCCCAATCATAACAAAAATACCATTAAAAATGGGTCCGTTTCTTCAAAATTTTAAAAATTTTAAAAATTTTCCGGCGTTTGCCATGCAAACACTCAAAAAACATCCGAAAATTGTGGAAAATAGGTTGTTTTTCTCGAGAAAAATGACCACTAATATTGGGTAGGGATTTCAAGGCTTGAGCGGCACACTCCCGTCCAAACCAACTCCGAGTATACCCCCCCCCCCCGGGCGTTAACATCACTCGCCGTGTTAATTTCAGTTTGTACATATACAAATTAATGTTGTAAATCGAGAAATATGTTTGAAATGCCATACTTGTCTTGAAACTTACAGCCCTTTTCTCCCGCCGTTTGAATTTTCTCATGAATCTTAGTCGTAAACTGGATTAGTCCCTTTTCCTTTACATGTACCGCGTTCAATTTTTTTCTTCACTGATTTTGTTGTTTGCTTGTTTGTTTTTGCAAAATTGCAGGTGTGTACACGTATTTCATGAGTAAGTTTGGCCACCTCGCCCCCAGTTAACTACCCCTAGGACAAACACCCCCTACGACAACTACCCCCTACGACAATCACCCTCTACGACAACTACCCCCGGACAACTACCCACATACGGTTCTAGGACAATTACCCCTCGGGCAATTACCCCCCCCCCCCCGGGAAATTACCCACGAAGAAATACCCCCAAGGACAATTACCCCCCCCCCCGAAAATTAGCCCCCGGAAATAACCCCCGAGGACAATTACCCCCCCCCCCCTCCCCTAGGAAAACTACCGCCTAGGACAATTACCCCCCCCCATCCCCCAGGAAAACTACCGCCTAGGACAATTACCCCCCCCCCCCCGGAAAATTAGCCCCCGGAAATAACTCCCCAAGGATAATGACCCCCCCCCCCCCGAAAATAAATCTGCTTTATTAAAACCAAATTCATTTACACGCTTTTCTCCCCTTTAACGAACGGGGGGGGGGGGGGTCGTCCTCGAAGATGGTTGTCCTGGGAGGGGGGGGGTTAACTGTCCATTGAGGTTATTTTTAGGGGCGGGGGTAATTGTCTTTGGGGTTTAATTGATATCAGGGGGGTGTTATTGTCCCTGGAGGGGAGGGGGGTAGTATTTCTGGGGGTGAGTGCGAAGGGGGTAATTGTCCTAAAACGCGGCCTCACGATGCTTTAGAGGGCCGACTCAGATCAAGCTACGGCACTGCGCGGCTGTGTAGCAATTTGACTACCCCCCCCCCCCCCCCTCTCTCTCTCTCTCTCTTTCTCTTAAATAGAGATACTTTTCAAAACTTACTGGGTAACAAGGGTTATATTGAAGAAAGGGAGAGAGAACACATGCATCCGTGTCCCCTGTATATGACCGTACTTTAAGCTTCACACCCAACTCTTTTACAACATGTATAAATGTGACTTTATCGCGACACGTATGGATTTCGACTTGTTCGTTTTTTGCAGTGATGAATTGAGTACATGGACATCAAATAACATTATAGATGTATGACTGTCACGGTAAGATCATCTCAAGCCTGTTCAGATTGAACTTAGGTTTCATTTTTCAAAGACAAGGTAAATCTTTTATCTTTTTAACTATTCTTCATTTTGCAATACGAAATATGTTTTGAATACGGTTAATCTCAGCGCCAAGTTTATTTAAAAATGATAAATCCTTTCTAAATGATTCGGATCAGGGAGGGGCGTTGAACTATACCCTCCCGTCTTACATATCTTTGCAGGCTCACGGAAAAGAAATCAATGTACATTGCGGTGGGAATATGTCAGTCGGTGTACACAGGCGCGTACACGGGGGGGGGGGGGGTTTGGGGGGTTAAACCCCTCTCTTTGTTATTTTTTTGTGTGTAAACCCCCCTAAATTTCCCCAAAACCCCCCCCCCCCCCTTTTGGATTTTTTTTTTTTTTTTTTTTTTAATTAAAAAAAAAAAAAAAAAAAAAGGTCCCATGGCTGACCTAAAAAAGCTGACCTTACCCCCCCCCAACGGAGCAAAATGTCAATTTTTCAAATTTCGATACCAAAAAAAAACAAAAAAGTGTCCTCTTACCCCCCCCCCCCCCCGGGCCCCCCCCCCCCCCCCCCGCTTATTCAGCGGCTGGCTGAGTCGTTGCGAAATTTTCGGCCCGATTTATAAATGTTAAAACCCCCCCCCCCCCCCCCCCTTGAAAAAATCCTGCGTACGCGCCTGGGTTTACATTTGATTCGCTCCACCCCCAATCACCCAGGGAAAACTTTGGGAATTTTATTTGTCATATATTATATATTTGAAAGGTGTTTTAACGATTCAAGCTCTATTTGCTTATGTTTCATCACTTCGTGTGTTCATTCTTTAAACTGTATATTAGTTGCAACTTGTCTTTGATAAAACATTGTTATATTATTTTTCACGTGAGGTGAAATA